GGCCAAAATTGACCACTATGGCCAGGTGACCACTATAGAGAATCGGCGGTTACGTTGCCCCCCCCCCCCCCAAAGTGACACATTGCTTTCAGTACCATTGAACAAAGATGTATTTATGTCTTTATTCTCAAACATATGAAAACATTCATTGCACAGGTAAGTCTCTTTTCAAATGTAACATTACATGTTATAATACAATTGTTGTTCTTTTGCTTTAGTTGTGGGCTTGAAAAAAAAATTATGTATCAAAACTGCATGCACTCGACATGATACTACTGAAACCTTCCCACTAAAATATACAAAATCACTGGTTGCCATTTACTTTTCTTGTGTACGTGTAACATCGATGTTACCTACAGAAAACTTGAAAGGGAATCAAGCAACAAAGTTTCTGTCGACTCCAAGCCATGTTTCTTCCGACTGCAAACTCCTTTAATCTAGCTCCTTCGACCGGTAATTCCCTCTCACTCGCTGTCAGTTGAATCACATCCACCTTGTGAAATAAGTTCGACGTCTGTCTTTCCGCTTTTGCCATCGTTTCTCCGCAATCGCCACGTTACTAGTACCGTAAGTCGAAAAGTGGAAGAGAATGACATCGCCATGTTTTTGTTCTTTGGTGAGTGCTTCGCATGACCGACATCGCCACAACGAATTCCAACCATGTAAACAAGATTTTTTTGTACCAAGATGCTGTCCATTTAGTTAACAGCAAAATAATTGTTCATCTGTTGCCGTTTATTTTCCGTTTTTGGTCATTTTTGAACATGAAAACGTAGCGATGCCAAGGTGACCGCTAGTACAGGTTTGACTGTATCAGTAATCTGAACTGAATAAGTAAGCTATGCAGCACAGATGATTAAAAATATCTGACACCTTGGCCCTTTTCTCACTAGGATAAAATGAAATTGGATACAGATCAGGACAATTATGTGTGGGGAAAGGTCCTCGGTAATTTAATTCCCAACCAAGAAATTCCTCACGTCCACATACCTCGTATCTGTTCTTCGGCTGGTCAAACCTGGATAGGGAAGTCCCAAGTGTAACGCTCCCCAGGGGGCGCGAGTGTCGTGCCGACGTCGGAAACACTTCGGGCCTCGTCGGCTTTCCGAGTAGTCCCGAGTGCCGGTCGAACCGACGGACGGCCATTTTGGAGTGTGGGGGTGCGTTAGGTCAGGAGGTGAGTTGTAAACATGGCTTTGTGCTCCGTTCTACGCTCGTATTCTTCATAACACTGAATGAAAAACTATTTATAACAAATCCGTGCATCATTTAGCGGTATGGTTGTGGAGTTACGCATAATAGATACACCGATATCTGGATGGAATATAGGTCGCGTTTCGTGACGCCCTCCCCAGGCTTTGGTACACTGCACCGAGGCCCCCTGTAACATTTAAAATCTGCCTTCGCTTGCCAATCTTGGTTCCTTTTATATTCTTCAAGTCACTAATTTAAACGACTTAAGCTTGAAGGTAACCCATAATTGACAGATACGTGTAAAGTGAGGCCTTGCTTTGCGAGGGAACTACCTGTCAAACGCGATGGGCGTTCCGCTATATAGCATGGGGGAGGGGGGCAGCCATACTACATGTGTATTCCAGAGGGAGAAAGGAGTCGTAATATTATGTCATAGCATTCGAAAATTACTATTATACAGAAGAAATTTGTAGGATCATATCATATCTCCTATGCATGTTGATACTGATATTGAATCCGGGAGATACTGATATTGAACCAAGGGTTAAAGTTCCATGATATAACCCCATAAAATATTACACAGATATTTCAAAACAAACAAAATTAATACACGTATTATGATTATTTGCATAAGTAAGCCTTGCGCATTCATATTGATTTTTTAGTACTGTTAATTAGTACTGTTTATTGTATTTACTGAGTATTGTTATTATGTAGGATTGTTAGAATTTATGTCACTATATAAAATCATAACGACCTTCCAAATATCTTTGATTATGCTCTGCTGTGTTTTTCTATGCCTTTGATATGTAAACATGGGATATGATATTTTTTGTTACATTGTTACATATCATTGTTATACTGAATATAAAGTTTGTTTGTTTACAGAAGACCAGTGAGCAGTCTTCAGAGACTGATATCACGCAAACCAGCAGAGATTATAAGGTTTGTACTTAGTTATAAAACTTTTGCTTGTCACTTCACTGTTACAGATCCTTTTTGTTGTACATACTGCAAATATTGATATCAATATAATTTATATCTTGAGGAAGCTTTGGTGAATTATGTATTGACTGTAATGTCCCATACCTCCTCTCACATTATTGTGTGATAATTACAATATTAGTAATGATTTGCACTCTTCCCTTGAATGATTCTCTCTCTAATCAAAAACCTATAACAGCAAATACAATGTATGGTGAACTAAAATAAAATCTTAATTTCTAAGCACATCTTATGGTGGCTACAAGGCAGTATCAAATTAGCAAGACTTGTACGTGTATATCAAATTGGCAGTGTCCAATACGGCACTGTAGTCTGGCTAGCGGAAAAAGTGATACAGACTACCAATACAAAAAAGAAAACCTGATAAAAATGCCTATAAACATGATTGTCAGAAATGAGATGGAGCCTAAACCTCAGGCTCTGCTTATAGAGTAACCAAATTGAATGTCCTTGACATATTGTACATTCTTGTTATTCTGGGTGTGGTGGTTGTGTGCAGTGTCCTAGCTATTTTACACACCTGATTACCTCTATAGTATAGACAGGCACTCTATAGTCTATGCAGCTGCTGTCACAAAAATTGACAAGAATTTCACCAGCAAAATACATGTATCAATCATTTTAAACCAAAATTCATTGCATCACGCTGACTATCCAGGGCTCAAAGTACTGGGACAGGGTGCATATGCACCTTAGTGCAGGTAAAATTGGAGTTGTGCAGGTATTTCTGATGTCTACACGCACCTAACCTGCACTGAGTTTAGATTATATACAAATGTACGTAGGTGTATGCAGATTTTTATTTGCTCCATTAACTGTTACCACCCATTAAGTACATGTATAAAAGAAATGATTGCAATGGTTTCTGAACAGTTTTAATATGGTCCATTCTTCTCAAAGTCTGAGTGGTGCAGTAGCCTTATACCCAGATGTGACAATTTGCTTGGCATAAAAGACAACAACCAACTTGTGCTGTATACCTACAATGTTGTATGTACATGTACATGTATAATGATCTTCACTCCCAACATCTGCTTGGAGATAAACCGCTGGATAGATCCCATGCCAGGACATCTGAAAGTCACATTCAACTTCAAAGATTTTCATCCGTACATTGCACATCACAGCCAAATTTGGCAATGAAGGATATAGAGTAGAGAGATGACTGTCATATTCTAAAGCGTGTTTGGCAACCTTTTGGCACAGATAATGCTTTCATATTCAACGTATTTGAAGGTCACAATTTCTTTCATGGGCATTGCAAATTTGTGACACTGCAAATATACTTTGAAGAATGCACAGCAGTTTTTTGCAATTTGACCATTGTTGGTCATGTGTCCCTCTACTCGTGTCTGGGGCTGGGTTTGTCATGGACCAGTGCAGGTAGACATCACAAATTCCTGCACAGCTCCAATTCCACCTGCACTAACCTGCATATACCCAGTACATGGACCAGTGCAGGTTAGGTACAGGTAGTTTACCTGCACTAACATGCATATACATTGTACCCAGTACATGGACCAGTGCTGGTTAAGTGCAGGTAGACATCAAAAATACCTGCACAGCTCCAATTTTACCTGCACAAACCTGCATATACAGGTGGAATATCTTGAGCCCTTAATATTAATGCAAAATTAAGACACTGCAAAAACCTTCCATTCCCTCCTTTTGCCAAAATATAAAACCACTGCAAAAGTTTCTTGATCTGCAGTACTTTTTTCGTTCAGACTTCTTAGAAATTGCTGTAAAAAATAATGTGCCACTTTGTTTAATAATTAAGGAGGTGACAGGCAGTTAGACTGACAAACAGTAATGGAGATAGACATGCAATTAGTTCTCCCACTGACCCAATTGTTCATAAAGGTAGTGATTTCCCAGGACAATGGCTGAATTTTTCAGCAGAGGGCCCGAAGGGTCTTTGTAACACCCGCTGTGAGTTAAATTAGCTGTAGACGATTTTAATGCCATCACACTCACCCACACACTGTTCAGTTTAAGGTATGATGTTCTCTGGTTACCTGTAAGTCTCTCTCGGGTTACACGCAGGGCGTGCTTGCATGCAGGTGTTATGGCTTCATTGTAGCCTGCCAGATGCTATGTCTACATGTATATATTAAAGGCCACACTGACTTAATTCAGTGGATGACATGATCTGAAGAATCCCAAACTAATGCACACAGGCAAATAAATTCCAACCAAAAAACGTTGCTAAAGCACAGGGATACAATGTGGCCTAAATTATTCACTTTCTAGTACTGTAGTTGCATATTTTTGCAGTGGTTTTATTTCGCAGTATGAGGGAAAAGGAGGTTTTTGTGGTGTTCTTCTTGGTTAAAACTACTGTGAAATATATGAATCATACAATAGGAATACAAAACATATATTTATGGTGTCATGATTTTGCTTTAAGGTTAATAAGAACTCACTGCAAAAATGGCGAAAATAAAACCACCGCAAATGTAAGGTATAAAGGTGTCACTTGTTACAGACTTAGTATTTTCTGCCTTTTGCAAATGTGAGCCAGTGTTAAGCTCCTAAGTATGCCAAGTCCTAATTTTGTAATTGGATCTTGATCATTCTTCACCAACTAAACTGTCATTGTTAAATAGTGATGCATACCGGCTTGCTGGACTTGGATCCGGACTTGTAAGAATGTTTAGGTTCAAGTCCAAAAAAACCTAAAAGTCAAGAACCGAGTCCGGACTTATTACCATAAAAGACCATTTCACATACCCCTTTTCTTTCCAAACCACCTAAAACCTTCCGTAGATTGCAAAATCTTTGCTGCAAAATGAAGAAAACATTGCCATCGGGCATTGTCAAATACCGGCCTCCATGTTATGTGGCCAAAGTTTTTATCACCCAGACAACATTGCAAGGTTGCCAACATGCAATTTTGTATATGCCATGGGTTTAGGTCCGGACTTACAAGTCCGGAACTGAACCTAAACCTCTGGACTTGAATCCGGACCTGAACCTGAAATTGAGTTTAGGTATGCATCACTATTGTTAAATGATAGCAGCTTAGGTTAGCTCTGTAAGTGTAACACAGTTCATACTCGTAATAAAAGAACCAGCGGAGTGTTGTTGATATTCCTAGGTACTAGGTGAGACAGTGAAACATGTCACAATGACTGTATCATTAAGTTTAACCTTGTGTGGCCTGGGTAGGCTGTTCCCGTGGGAATGGGCTATATGCCAGGCATTGTCAGCTTGTGTTGTCATTGACCTTCTAACTGAGTAGAGCTGTTAAGAGTCTTAAAACCCGGGTTACACGCGGGCAAAAACCTGACGGTTCGAAAACCGCATACGTGAGAGTGTGAAAACTATGTACGTCAAATTTTTCCTGCATGTAATTTGTAAATCGGCCTGCCTCAGCATACGTCCAAGACAGTATGTTCAATAATGTATGTTACCTCAAGTGTTGGCATATGATCTGAACGCAATACACTTTTGACATCATGCAATCCAAGCAGAGGTTTGGGTTTTGGCTTGTTTTTGTCATGTTTTAGGCTTTTTATCGGGCTTTCTTTTTTGCACTGGTGTCTATTTTTTGGGGGGTTGGGGTAAAACAAAAAGAAACCAGTGCAAAAAAGAAAGCCCGATTAAAATGCCTAACTTCTACTAGGAAATATACGTAAAAGCAGGCACTTTTACACGCAGGAATTATTATAAATCAACAAACCCAGTTTAATTACTGTAGGTAGTCTCGCTTGTGTACGCCATTTTCATACCGCCTGGTTTTTGCCCCATTGAAAGTTGGGTCTAGTAAAACACCTTTTTAAACCCTGTTGAAGCATAAGATGCATAAAAATAATCATGTTTCTCCTTAAGAAAATAGCATACTGATTGCAGAATGCAGAATTCATTCCATGGTTGTAGCATATACATTTATAAGGAACACAACATGACTAAATTCTAACAAATGTGCTTCCATCCAATGTGGTTCTCCTGTGTTTTTGATGTCCATGACTCCAGAATTTTCCCCGCAGCAGACTTTGTTACATTTTTGTATTTCAGAGGTTCTTAGTTGATTTCATCCCCCATCCCACGAACATCTAGATCTACACACCAACATGTCAGGTGACTATACCAATTATGAAACCCAAACACAATACTTCAAGATCTCATACATTACTGAAATCATACCTATATAAGATCTGAAACTAATTTCATCAGGTTGGTAACACATAGGATATTGGGATTTTCTTATACACATCCAGATATTCTTCCTACCTTGCTTAAGTTTTGGTGTCTATCAGACACCTTCCTCAGACACTTAGCCATGTTTGGAATTGTGTTCTTGCCGCAAAAGCACCACGTACATCGATATCGGCTATATATAGTATTGAGAAGCAGTACTCCAGTCAGGAGCTCTGAGGAGGGTGTCTCACACATCGAAACGTAAGCAGGATAGGAAGAATACCTGCAGCTGGTCGTGTATAAGCTTAAGAATATCCCGATATCTGATACTATAAGATGTGACCATTAGTCTAATATACCTACTCTAAGTCAGCAGCATCGGTGCACAGATATTTGCTAGAATGTAAAAAAAAAACATATTGAATTTAAAAAAAGAAATCCAACCATCATGTGTACTTGAAAACATACAAAAGTTTTAATTTTAATTTTTGATACGTTTATATCACCTTTCAGTAATATTTTTGTCCTGGCTATTCAGTCTACCATCATCATTTTGGGCAAGTTTGGAAGACTCATAAGTCTACTCTCTTCATCCTATGAATGAATTCTTTAAAAGAAATACTAGTATGAAGTCCATACTTCCTAAGAAAAAATATATAATACTATTAGATGTAACAAGATGTTGTTGATTTTTAAATATTGCATGTATGGAGCTTGAACACATAGCTGGAATGTCAACTGTCTAGAAATCAAACCAGTTTTTAGCTGCCCCAGACAACTAGATAGACATCATTGATATAGAGATACTATTGTAGTAGTACAGTATGTTGGTTTTTGCCATTGAAGATGGATAATCCCCATGTTATAGGACAGATTGTGTGTGAATGGTAGTGGCTCTGCTTGCAATTGAAGAAAATAAGGTACTGTATACTCAGGCAAACACACCTATAAAATTGTTTGAAGCGCCGAGGGGCGGGTCTGACGATTTTCATCACGTAAGTGGAAGTGATTATGTGTAATCATAGTTTGACAGCCCGTCATTTCAGTAGGTCTTCACAAAGGGACTGTTCAGGCAGGGTGGAAATTATGTCACCCAAAGTGAACTCCCAGTCCATTTACCCTCAGGATGACTCTTACCAAGGACGTTAACCTCCTGGCTTTTAGTCTAACCAGAGACATTATACAAAGTATAATGTCCTTGGTCTAACAAAAACTGCAGATACTTGTTTTCTGTACCATATATGTCAATGAGTTAATATGATATGCAGGGCTTGAAATACTGGTGAAGGTAGCATTAAAAAGTACCTGCACTGCTCAAAATTAATAGAAAGTACTCAACTAAAAGAACTATGCCAATTATTTCTCATTCACTTCATAATTGGTGATAGTCAAATACAGCTACATGTACAAAAAATCCACATATATGTACATGTACACCTACAGTACATTAAAGTATAAAAACCCAGTACATACACTTAAAAGTGCAGGTAGACATCTGAAATACAGCTTCAACTTTACCAGCACTAACCTGCAGCTGCATATGCAGGTTGTATAGTGCTTGATGTCACTGTACCATGCCGTGAAGCTGGTGTGTTATGCTTGGTGATGCTGGTTTATCATTTTATTAACACATGCATCTGTCAAAATTTCTTGATGTCACTACTGCACATGAGGCATCTCTTGCAGTAAAAAAAAACATACTGCATGCTTTATGGAAAGCATGAACAACAAGCCAACAATATGCTCCATTTACTTTTTATCTTTACTAAACTTTTTGTAGTGAATGTTCTCAGTCCCAGATATTGCTATGATAGCACGATACAGGAAGACAAAAACAGATGGCGCATTATAATGTTATCAGTGTGTTAGAGTGGTTACCTGGCATCTGTTGGGAGGGACTATTGTTATATATCTTTCTGCTCCCAACACACCACTTATCAACAAAAGACAGTCATTAAAAGGACCAATTTACTGTACATACACCCATTCCTGTCAGCATATGTTTGGATAGTTCGTCCCAGGTCTGCCTACTACTAGTACTAGCCAGGTTGTCAATTGTCTGACCTACTAACAAGCAGTTTTCTGACTCAGGTGACTATGTTACAGCATTTTCTCAAAGTTTTGCAGAATTCTAAAATGCTGGTTCTGGCTGGTTCTAAAGAATAGCAGGAGCATGATTGTAGAAAAATTCACAACTTAATCTGTTTAGAGAGAAGTACATTTGTATGTATGTGCCAAGACAATATGGCTGTTCTTTTTAGCTTTCATAACAAAAGTAAAGAAATGTTACTTTTACGTTTGGAGCAGAGTTTTATATATTTACATGTTCACACACTAGTTAGTTTTAGCAGGTGTTATATAGATATACATATACAAGGACCTTATATAAGGCTATACTAGTATGCATGCACTTTTCTGTTCAAACAAGAAATGGTTTACATTGTGTTTGTGTGCAAAAGCCTTGCTGTTACCTCCATCAATTATTCAAGAGGCTTTCATCTAAATGAAATCCTAAGATGATACTATAGCTTTATCAATTATTAATTCTTTTTCAAAAAATTGTTTGTATTTGAAAGCCATTTGATGTGAAATTTCTTGGATGTTGACAATGGCCATCATTTTGTAATTGCTTGCCAATTTACATATAGGCAGTGGACCATGAGAAGAGTACTCGTTCGTTCGTATATGTGCCAGATGCTGTACAGTTGTCATGTGGTCTTGAAACATACATGTATATCAAGGTTATCAACCTCCACCTGTATATAGAAGAGGTCTGTATTACATGGTCCATACATGTATGTTTGATTAGCCTGGGTTCCAGCCTTGTTAGCTTTTCGTTGTCTGCTCTCACCGATTACTGATTTGTTAGCATTGTAGGAACAGACAATTTAAGCAAGAATTTTCCTTAAAGTAGGTTCTCAATATTTAGCAAGGTTCAGGACTATGTGGTGAATAAAATGAAAGTAGAGGTCTGACGCAGAAGATTCTAGAAAGGGCCTCAATCGTAGCCTGGGTACCATCCGGATTTTCGCTACACAACGCTCGAAAAAATCGAGCGTTGCGTAGCGAAAATCCGGATGGTACCCAGGCTACCTCAATCATGGATTTATTTAGCTTTGATCCCTCAGTTTGGAGGCAGTTTGTGATTTGTACCTTTTTTATTGTGAAAATTCATCCTAGAGAATGCACACTGGGGTACACAGACAGTACATGCAAACAAAGATTGAAGCAACTTTGCATACCCCAGTGTCAAACAATAATTGACATTAATTATCGTAAAATGAAGAAAATTATCTTTGTTGTTCCTCAGGTGGTCGCGACATGTCCCACTGGAGAGATACCGGTCCAATTGACTGTAAGGTTTACGTGGGTGACCTGGGTCAGTCCGGTACCAAACACGAGCTGGAGCGGGCTTTCAGCGCCTTCGGACCGCTCAGAAACGTCTGGGTGGCCCGTAACCCACCGGGATTCGCTTTCGTGGAGTTTGACGATCCTCGGGACGCGAAGGACGCTGTGGACGCACTAGACGGGCGGTAAGAGTGATGTCTCTGCTTTATCTGATTTTCTTTTCACTTCTTTATTAAGATTTACTGCATTTGTGGAAGAATTGACATAACTTAACACTCTCCATTAAAAAAAATAAATTAAGGAAGTTGTTAGCTATAGAAGATCAAACCCTTGGAAATCAAGTTTTATAAGCCGAAGGGGCTAGCCAGTTAGGACAAGATAAAATAAATGAAACCACAAAATTCAAAGGTCAGTCCAGGACACATGCTTCATAATTCACTGTAGCAACCATAATATGCTTAAGTCAAGATGCACATGTACCTGTATACATTTTTTTCGGGGTTACCGTTATTCTGAATTCTACAGTTACCTGTGTGGCCGGCGTGTGCGGGTGGAGCTGTCCCACGGCATGAAGCGTTCGTCCCGGTACCGCCCCCCACCTCCCAACAGTTACCGTGGTTACGACCGGCCACAACGACGGCGCTCAAGGTGACACCATGTTCACATTACCTGCACTTCCCAACAGACAGATTTTTTATAAATAACTTGTAATATCAGAGTATGTAAAGCAAATTATGTACCCTTAGTAGAATTTGACAGGTAAATGCTGAAATGTCAGTTGTGGGTGAGTAGATAGATCATACACGTTAGAAAATAGCACATGTTCATATAGCCAAAGATAAGATTGACTTTTTTCAGTGTGTAGCTTCATGTTTGAGCCTCAAAGTCTAATTTTCCCAAACAAAGAGTTGAAGGGATTCCCTCCTTTTTTAAGTTGCCTTACCTCAGATACAGCTGGAAAATTCTAATCTTGGAGGAAACAGCAAAATGATAGGGAATGATTTGAACGGAACGGTTTAGTTTGCATTCAAGCATATCTAAAATGCATGGGACAAAATGAAGGATTCAGAATCAGGAAGGAGAGGTGCTAAATTTTTTTTTTGGGTTTTCTTATCTTTTTATATACTGTATCCTTTGTGTTAACATCAGGATGATCTCCACAATATGATGATAGGGAATTTTTGGTGAAGGTGGTTTTATTGATGACAATATTGGTAACATAGTTCATGACTGTGTAAAAGGAGGGTGTAATGTTACATATATGTGGAGTGCAGTGCTGTAGAGTAGTGGTGCTAGCATGTTAGATGCTTTGATTCCATGTATTTGTGATGTCTTTCCGATCAATATGCTCGGTAATTTTTGGTCTGGTTTTCTATAGACTCTAGAATCCTCAATATTAACTGTCCCAACAAAACCCCTTACAGAGTGGCCATCTTGCTTCTCCACCCCATCAGACTACATTAGCCAATCAGCTCAGCCCTTGGCAAGTCACGTGACCGTCGCCATCCAATCAGCATTACCTGTCACCTCAACTACACCTTCAGCCCCTCCACCCAGCATGCCTTGCTGCAGCCCTTCTGGCCAATCACAAAACAGCACCCGACCTCAGGCACAAAGAAAGCATCACACCTTCTACAGCGCGGCCTCCTATACAGTCTCAAAAATGCGACAATTGTGCTCTTCCGTCCCTACAACCGACCAATGAGGACCATCCCTCATCGATCGCAACCCCCTTGACGAAATCTCACCTTTACAAAAAAAACAGAAACAACTTCTACAAGCCAAACTACAAAAAAAAAGCCAGCTTCTCCGCTGTCTGCAACACCCACCTTCCCCACCACATTTGAGCCGTCTGTCTCCTGCCTAAAAAAGAGCCGGGTTTCCACGACAACTTGTCATGGACGATGCTGTTATGACCTTGCCACATCTTTCGACCACCCTCCAATACCGCCTGGCCCGACTTAACAACCCCGCCGCCTTTCTACTTTCAGCCTCTTGGGCCGGTGTAGGTTATCTGTTCTTGTCTCTAGACTAGTCTGTAGTTAGACACACACAGTTTCTGCCACAGAAACTTGAGAACCTTATAAGAACAAACTCTCTGACTTTATAAAACTACTTGCCACCATTTAAGAGTCAAAATTCATTCATGTAATCCAGAATCAGGAGGATCATTTCCTCCCAATCTCAAGTCTGTGGCAGCTAAACATGTGTTGGGACGTGTGTGAAAAATCTGAAGGAATTGCTTGATTGATAACAACTAAGTCTTGTTAACACCATCTCTTGAAAGCACTTACTGCTAATCAATATGAATCAGTGAACTTGATCTAACAGTGATGCCCTCCGCAGTGTCCATGGGTGTCCTGACACTTGGCTGCATGAAGGCTGAAAAATTAACATTCTCTTCATTTTCTTCATACTGTAGTGTGTGATAGATATAGGTGGAGTTTACATTTTTTTTCAACAGCTACTTGTTTTGTGTGCTAGAACATTTTTTTCAACAGCTACTTGTTTTGTGTGCTAGAACATTTTTTCAACAGCTACTGTTTTGTGTCCTAGAACATTTGAAATTTTGGCTAGAAAGCCATAGCATACACTCAACTCAACAACATACAACATATGGTGTTTGTCTGTTGACATCTATGCAAGACCACACTTCTATCAACTAACTTCTCTTCTACAGCACCTATGGTAGGAACCCTCAGTGCTATAATTGTAGTTTAATTGGTCAACACAGTCTTGCACAGATTCAGTATTTAACAACACCATGATAGTCAAAACTTAATTCACTCTCAAGCCACAGCTAACATTATAGGTTAGTTTAACAACCAGCTACTTCAGTGACTGAATAGGTTTCAAAATCTATCGCACAAACTATACATTTGACATCAGATTATTGTTTTGTATCTATCATTGCCTGTAGTACATGTCTGTAAGGGGAAAACAGTGGTGAAGACGACATTCCATAAAAATATATACATTTTTATCAGTAAACTACTAGTATCTTGTGCCATTTGCAGGATTATATTAAGAATGAAAGAAAACTGTGGGAGAAAACTTGTCTCACCACAATGATAAAGTCGCTCACAAATCCATTGGGAAGAATCCTTTGCATATCTCTGATCTGTCATTTGAACATAAAATGTCAAACTACTTATCCATTAACCACGGTTGAGTAGAGTCCTGTATCGTTACTGGCAATGATTCAAATATTCACCACCTCTATAAAAAGCAGCCTACAGGCCGATTTGAGCTTCTCGTTGAAAAAACAAAGGTTCAAACAAACAAAGCAACACAGTAAAATCGACAAAAAATTGCCAAAAGATTATTTAGAAATTAGTTATAAACTAAATCGGCAGTTATGAAAATGAATGATGAAATTGATCTCATGCAATTAGCAATTTGATATTCGCCCTGAGATGTATAATTTTCATTCAATAGATATGATTGAGATGTTATAAAGGTGGCTAGGCAGAAACATAAGTCGTCCTATTCCAATGAAAGCTCATCTGTGTTGGTAGAATCTATACTGTTATAGATGTAGAGTTTGCTCCAACACAAGAAAGAAACTCGCCATAAATTTTCACCAAAACATCACACTTCTCACAAATAAATTCGAGGGGATTCATTCCTCAGCTAACCAACATCTTGCACAGGCAGTCGTCTCTCAGTAAGACATCTAGAGCCGCATAGTTCCTGGCGACTCCAGGTGTCTTACTGAGGGACGACTGCGTGTGCAAGATGTCGGTTAGCTGAGGAATTAATCCCCTCGAATTTATATCACACATCTGATGAAGGTTGACGAGATTGACTGAAATTTATGGTGAGTTCCTTTCTAGTGTTGAAACAAAGGTTGACTATTCTGTGACTTTTAAGTCGTCCTGTCCATCAGGCAGTTACAACACAGGGACTGGTGAGGCTGTGCTATGCTGCTCCTACCCTCAGCCCAATCTTCCAACTCCCATCTCTAACTGAGAATGTTGTTCCAAACAGGTCCTTTTCTCCGTACCGAGGAGGGCCGTACAGTCGCAGCCGCAGCAGGTAGTACTGAGCATGCCCTGTTTGTGTTTGCAGTTTGACAGCCAATCACAGTACAGCGTAGCTGGGTGAAGTTGCCTTGTCATGCGGGTCATTCAAGTCACAAGTTTTACTTCAGTTTTTTTTGCACGCAAAAAAAAATAAATCAGTAAATGCACCAGGCCCCCTGCTACAGTACAGAATAGGCCTTAATTCTAAAATTCCTTTTTCTTGGCCTCCCACTAAGAATTAATTACTTATAACTTGACTTTCAGTTGATCACACTACACAACTTAATGATTGTCTAGTTCAGAAGCTTACAAAATCTCAAACTCATGACTTAGCAGCTCTGGTGGCGGGAGTCTGTGTGTACTGATTGATTCATTTTGATCATCTAATTCAAATCAGTTGGGAAAATTATTCCTCAAAATAGTCAAATTCGGTTCAACACACCCACCATGACTATGATTTCTGTAATATTTTCCTGCACTTAATTCCAGTTCCTGTCTCATCTCTTTGTTGCTTTGCAATTTCCATGTTGATTTGAACTTAAAAGTTGTATAGAATGTAGAGTCACCTTTCTTTGACAACAGCCATGTAACATGACATAATTGTTTATACATGTAACAAGCTTTACTAACACTTGTTCTGGGGTTGAAGGAAAGGATTTTGAAAATATTTTTCTTGCTGATTATAATTTAACCACTTCAATTTCAGCTGGATGCTGCAACACAAACTTGTATCTTTCTTCCACCCTCTGAGAACATGACAGTTTATCAGCTTTAATTTTTTTTTCTTGTTGCCACCTCCAGGTCGCCACGTGACAGACGACGGAGCCGTTCTCGCTCCCGTTCCAGAGACAGGAAACATTCGAGGTCTCACTCTCATTCCCGCAGGTGATTATCAGCATGTCAGCAGAACGTACTGCACCTGATTGAAACCCATGACATGTTATGCCGCAGCACTTTGGCAGAACGTCTTGATGTTCACTGAAGGAAAACATATTGTTTTTGCTCTGTTTCCTCTTCTTCTCCAAACCAATAAGGTCAATGACCTCAACCAGACGTCTGTCACCATGGAAACTAGTGTTGGGTTACATCATGTTGCAATTTTATAGCAGGAGGGATTTAGACTCCTGTCTGACCATATACATGTATATGAATGTGTTTGAGTAAGAATTAAAGAGCAGACCATATGCGAAGGTAAACATTGTGCATTTGCTTTGTTGCAAATGTTACCCTTCTAGTTTAATGAAAATCTTATTAATCTTATTGTTCATTTGAGGATTTTTGTACTCTCCAGCCTAACTATACTCTGTTTTTCTTCCAGTCGGTCAGCCTCCCCTATCAATCTCAGTCCACGAGGCAAGAGTCCATTGGACGACTAGATCTACCTGTGTGAGCCTCACGGGGACCTTTGACCCACCAGCCTTCCCACAGTCCTTTGAGGGGCCTGTTTCATGCTCAACTTTCCTGTAGTTGACAATTTGTTCAAGTCGTAATCTAGTGATTGTACCTGTTACGCCTCTAGTGTTGCTAGGAAGGCTTTCTTTTATGTTATCAATTTATTTTTTAGCAAGCTCAGTTGTACAAGCTTGTGTAGTGTACAAAATGTATCCTTTATCTAGAAAGCTCTTGTTGTACATTGTAATGATTATTGTGTATTGTAAGAATTCAGTAGTCATTTTAGATGCTGATCTTTTCATTTACACCAGAGGGAACGCTAAACTGCTTGTTAGATCAGTCTGTGCTCAAGTTTCAATTAGAAAAAAGTTTATATACATTTATACCATGTGAAACTCTGACAAACGAAATGACCTTATCAAGGACTATGTCTAGACATTTTGTTGTTTTAACTTTTTTTAGACAGTTTTAGTCAGAAAACAAACACCTGTCATTTGAAAAAGAAAAAAGATTCAAGGTGAAAAGTAGAAATCTGCAATTTTGCAGGCCAAAAATTCCAAGCTCTTTACTTATCGGTTTGGCAGAAATAACTATTACATGTTGTACCACCACATTCAAAGTGTTCTCTACCATGTAAACAAAATTGGAGTAAGGTTGTATGTTGTATAGAAAACTTGTAGACCCTCTTGCAGGTGTTTTCTTCTTAGGGATGATCTGTTATATAGAAATACTAAAATGTAAAGACACTGTTTGCAACATCTGCGAAAACGTTGTATGATTGTCATGTTATACAGTACTACAGAGAAACAGTATCTTTGATAGTCTTCGAATATATGCCTCTGCCTTATTTCTTTGTAAACGACAAGTACCCTTTACAACATATGTTGTAATGTAGACGGACTAATATGAACCAGCATCATGTAAGAAATCATCCAAACTTTATTGGCCTTTTTTGAGAGGAGACATTGAATGATCTCACTTATACACAGTGTTCTATGTCTCCCTAGTATACTGTCAGTTAGTTGGCGTCATAGATCTCACTGTTAGGCCAAACCAATTTAATTTGCTGGTTCATGGATTTTCCTGCTTGATTTTTTTCTGATTTGCACAAATTCAGGCTCTGAATCAACTGCAAAATGATCATATTTTGGCCCTAACAGTTGAAGGAAGTCCCTTGTCTTTGGAGTTGTTACAGTTTTTTCCATCTATCAATGCAGTGGTTTGATTAAAAGTTTGAAATTCATTGTTTGAATTGCAAACCAGCTTGGTATGTTGACTTCATGGCTCCTATCATAGCATCTGGGGCTATCATAGGATGCCTTGGCCTATTTTTCCATCATTTCATATATTTTCTGAGGAAATCCGAGAACCAATAAATCAAATTGGTGTGGCCTTACACGGCACACTTACTAACTTGTGCATCACTTTTATGTCACCCAGGACTACTGTGTCCCTGACAGGCACGCATTCATGAAAGTTTTGTTTGACAAAGACTATACCAGTATAAAGCATACAGTATATATTGTAGTACTTGAAGGCACCAATTCAGAGCCAAGGTATCAAAAGTGAACCATTTTATTTTCTTGTATTATATGTTAGTAGAAAGAAGGTGGTATTGTTGGGTCTGTATTGTACCTAGCAGTTAAAGTCAACCCCAAGTTTATATCCAACTCGAGGTTTATTGTAGTATTGTAGAAAAATGCTTGAAGTTGAAGCTCTCTGGCAATATATGTTGGGAAGTTCTTATATTATGAAGCTTGATTATTGTAAACTTTGTAAGCTACATATCGTATATGCTACCTGTTGGTACTCATTTATAATTTCCTTGTTTTAGAGCCGGCAGCCTAGCCTCTATTGCAGACTTCTAGCGTGGTGGGCATTGGAACGGCATTATTGGGTTTTTTTGGGGGGGGGGGGGTTGTTCGGGGGAGAGTTGTATCACCTTGTGCCACAACTCCCTCCACAACTCCCTCAGCCTCATTAGAGAACTATAGCCAGTGTGAAAAAAGAACTCTCACAAAAAAATAAATGCCTCTGCTCCAATAAGTCTGTAAAGGAGGCTGTTGCAGTCTAAAGATTCAGTATTATCCAGCTGTCACGGCCAGAAGTCAAAAGTGCTTTACTGTGATGTTTCCCACCTTTAGTTCTCATTAAAGACTGTTATTACAAGTTAAGAAGTGAGCTTTGTTGTATGATTTTACCTCACAGTTTGACAAACACTCAGAAAACTTTTATTTTTCCTGTCCCTTTTACGACAAGGAAAATAAACGAATTCATGAGAAACCAGCCCAGCTTTGATGAAAGTAAGTTTGTAAGAATATTCCACTTGGGATAATGTCCATTGGTGAATTGTACATGAAGACTGCATTGTGATTCAGATGGGCTTCAAGAAGATGGGGATAAAGTTCATAAACTATTCAGATCAACTCATGGTAAACCATTGAACAGAAGTAACAAACTAACAACGACTACTAGACCTTTTCAATTTTAGAAATTACATTGAAGACTGCATGGTGGTTATTATTGTAAGCCCCTTCTTTTATTTTGAAATTCTATTGAAGACTGATCTGCCAAAGAAACTTTTATTTTGATTTCTGAGACTCAAAGGCCAAAGAAAAGAACTTTGATTTTGATTACATCGTAATGTCAACCACAAACTAGAAATGTTGCAAAATGGCTCTGGTAACTATGGTATTGAAAAGTGGATGGATTACATCAAACAAAGTGGTTTCGACCAAGAAGGTTAATTTTAAACCTGCTTGTTTTGACCAAGAAAGTTGAAAAAGCAAGAGTTCTGTGTGACGGAACACCCCTCCAAGTTTGAGGTGGAATAGTCCTTAGCCACGTGATGTTGCACTTGTCTGACGCCTGCGCAGTGGTGTCGGCTTGGGTGGCCATCTTCCCTGCTCCTGTGTGGTGTGCGTCCCTTGGTCAGGTGAGTTATAAACATGTTTTCCCGGTTTTTACCCCAGCAAACTCGCGGTCTCTGCTCCAACGCCGTTGCGGTTATTCCTAACGAGGCCTGTACACTTCTGAGTACTCGCAAACTTGTGATTGGACGCGAAATTTCGGGTCTAGCGTCGGGCGTGCTCTCTCGACTCCGGTTACAAAGAATTTTTCACGCCGCCCAGACAGATCTTAGCAGCTTGGCTACCGGTCGCGATGTTGTTTGCCGTATAAATGCCCTGGTTGTGCGTAGTTTCACATTTGTCGGTAATGTCTTTAAGGTCTTATGTACTGACTTTCTTTGCGGAGATGGTCTGCTTCCGGGAAGCTTCCGCCGCGAGTTTGTTCTGAGAAAAATCCATGGTCACTGACTTCAAAATAGCCTCTACCAGGCTTCGGAAACGGCTGGAAAGAGTAGAAAATAATATATTTTGGCCAAATACGTAGGCAGATAACATGCCAGGGGAGTTGGCCCGCTTAGGAGCACATTTTGCCAATAGTTTCTACTCTTTCCAGTTGCTTCCAAAGCCTGGTGGAGTCTACTGAGAGGCTAACGGATACACACACTAGCGCGCTTGGGGAGGGGAGGGGGGTAATTTGCTAAATTACTTACCACTAATTAGCCTCACGTCTGACACCTTTCTGGGATATGGACTGGTGTTCCAGACAAAAAGAGGGGGAGGAACATTAACACGCAGAAATTAACTGATTTATCACAACAAAAATGATAAATTCATGTTATTTTTCATCAACTACCATGTTCATGAATTATTTTTTTGTTGAGTAAAAAACGTTTACAAATACAAGCCTAGATACACAGACCCCAGGAACTGGGTACAAAATGGCGATGATTTGTGGCAAATTCTATAATTTTTGAACCAGCTGAATTTTGTATTACGAATTAACAATGGACTTGTAAGAATTGAGCTATCCCATGGGACGGGATGCGGTATTAAAATTTGGATGCAGTTTGGTGGTAAAGTCGTGAGAACAAATTAATTCCGGATTTTGCACACAAATAAATTGTGCAGAAATGACCGATTATCCATGCATGGTGAAGTTAACATAAACATGTTGAATAAAAATGTGGAGAGTCCGACCGTTTTCTCTCAGTCAGACTCCTCAATTTGTTAAACTGGCCCAAAATTTGACAATTTTTTGGAAGTTACGTAGTACTATCATCACAATATCGGCATGAAATTTCCCTCCAAAGTACACATTTGTTTTTATTGGCTATGCCAGGTTTTCTTATTTGCACAGTATAGGCCACTCCCTTGTGTACTCCCCAGTGTAGGCTGGTTTACTCACCAAATATGGCTACAAAGCACATCAGCAGGCAGTGATGTATCTGTAATATTAAATGTCCTGCCATGATGGTTTCCAAAGAGGATGAAAAGCACAAGTAAAAGGTGTAGAATTAAGGAATTCTGCTAAGCTTGGTTCTGATCAAATTTTATTAATATCATTATTATATAATAAATTTAATTTATTATATAATAATGATATTAATAAAATCAGCCATATATTTTCACAAATATAATTATTATATTTGTGAAAATATATGGCTGAGGTGTGCAAGAAGCATGTTGTAGTTGTACTGTTAGTTGCAGTTGCTTCAGCTTCAGACCTTGACTTGTGAAATGTATTTGGAAAATTACTTGTTCATGTCATTATGCACATGTGCACAAGTACAAGTCAATTGTCTGTGGTAGTATTCGGATCTGATCAGAAAGCCTTTTTGTCAATACATGTGCATACATATTAAACTGTTCTTGCCCAAGTTTTTAAAATTCCTGAAACTATGGTCCAGTTTACACGGGACAAAAATATCATTTGGCCTGTTTCTACTGATGTGCACATGCTGCGTCGCACTGCGCGTTTTGTACAGCAAATTTTTAGCGTGTAAACAACCCCCGCCACCAGCGCACTGCACCGCATGTCATTTTCTGTGGTACATCCAGGAGGTGCCGCAGGAAAATCGATGCGCATCGCGTCTGTGACGGTGGTTGTTTACACGCTAAAAGATCTGTAACAGAAAACGTGCAGTGAGGCACCACGAGCGATGCAGGCCAAATGATATTTTTGCACTGTGTAAACTGGGCCTATATCCCTGACCCAGCAAGATTACAGTCCACAGTGACACTATGTTCTGTATCTGTATAGCCGGTATAACCGCCTTTCGGTGTAACACACCAGCTTATGTTGCTGGTTTCACACAAATGTCTGACACTGACAGGTTGTTTTTTGGGCAGAAAGTCAGCCAAGGCCACTTTGTCAATTGATTGAAATCAACTACTACTAGCAGTATGTGTTCTGATGTGGTTTGGCTGCCAAAAGCCAGATGTCACTCTCTCTCAGCATCTGCTAACCGCAAAGGGCAGAAAGGTATCACAATGCTGGTCAAGAGGAAAATATAATGTGACAACAGTGACCATCTTGGTGGGCAAATTGTATGTGGGGTTCTTGGGGCATTTTGAGCAAAATCAATTTTCAGAGTGCTCTAAAGTCCTACTTGTCACGACTGTGGCAGAAATTGCCTCCGGAAATAATCAAAATGGAGGACAGGTCTGGCATACATGTATGGACACTGTGTGCCTGGCAACATGGATTGAAAACAGGTGTGGTATTTTTTAACTGGAGGTCAGTTCTGTTTAAGGTGTTAATTTTTCTTTTTTTTTTTAAATTAAACCCTGACAAAGGCTCAAGCAAAACTGCCTGGTCTCATTTGCCAATGCAAACGTTAAAGTTTGTTGGATGGATTTTTTTATACACCTGGTTGGGGAACGAAGCTCAGAGTAAGAAGCAGTGCACCGCCCAGTCCGCCCACACGTAAGGTGGATGACAATATCAGCAATTTCTACATTCATTGATGTAGGTCAGCCTTTTATGTCAGTATCTGGAACAGGTGGCTGAAATGAAACATGTCAAATCCTACAGGATACACACACAAAGTGGTTTGTTGGGAGCTCCAGGCAGGTGTCTGGTATTGTTGTGTGTGGAGTCCTTTGTTCTCACGGTACAGCACCTGCCCCGGGATCAAGGATTTGAGCCGCGGGGTGTTACCTGAAAAACAAGCCAGACAGAATAATTGACCTCCCTGATAATAATCGGAACCATTTACCCGCATATTTTAGAACAGTGCCCAGCCTTGAGTCGCTGGTCCTCTTTGATATTTAGTACATAGACTGAGCAAATTTTGTTTCATAAACTCTCCATCTCTGGTAGTCTGAAGGAACTGATAGGGGTTTGATTTCGGAGTTGACTGTCTGCGTGTGGCTATCATGGGGAAAGGTTCTGGAAGAACCAGAGAGAGTTCGTGTACGTATAGAAATGTTGGTGCTTTTGGATGAAGGGCGTTTCTGCTTTTTTTGTTTTAACTGTCATGTGCTGTCTATTACCTTTGAAGGCTTTCTGTGATCCTTGTCTTGCAAAGTTTTTGGAATTTGGTTGTTCTTCATCATAAATTTTTTTTATGATGATTATGATAAATGTTGAGCAAGTATGATACTGCATTTTTTTCTGCATTGCAAGCTGTCATTGGTCCAGATGGTTTTGCTCTTCCCTTTATACCATATTTACAGTAATCACATTTCTAACACCTCCTTTTCAGATCCAAGAGGCAGCTACAAGATGTCACATCGCAGAGACGCCGGTCCGATCGACTGTAAGGTTTACGTGGGTGACCTGGGTCAGTCCGGTACCAAACACGAGCTAGAGCGGGCGTTCGGCGCCTTCGGACCCCTGAGGAACGTCTGGGTGGCCCGTAACCCAGCGGGATTCGCTTTCGTAGAGTTTGAAGACCCACGGGATGCCAAGGATGCTGTGGATGCACTAGACGGGCGGTAAGATTGCCGCGGCAAAGATCAGTTGTTTCAACTTAAAAATAATCAAGCCATTTCTCACTGTTACAGTGTACAGTAATAGAAATTCCACACGGGAGAGAATTTTTACTTTTGTATTCAAGAGAACTTGCAGGTTTGGAAAGGGAATCGAGAGGTATTTTTCCATCGCAAGAGATGTCATACAGACTTATGATTTAAAAAAGAGGAACTCTGGTAAAGATAGGTAATGTTTCAAGCCATTTCTCACTGTTACAGTGCACAGTGGTGGAAATTTCATGTGAGAGAGAATGCTTTATTATTTCTTAGACAAGTTGCAGATTTGGAATCAAGGGGTATTTTTATAATGCAAGAGATGTCATACATGATTATCATAGGTCTGTATGACATCTCTTGTGTTATGAAAAAAGAGGAACTCTGGTAGAACAATGTTTCCTGATTTCTGCCTTGTGTTCGTCAAGAATTTGCCATGCTGATATAAGAGACTCAAACTAATTAAACTGTCCTGTTCCAGGTATATCTGTGGCCGCCGCGTCCTGGTTGAGATGTCGCACGGTAAGAAGCGCTCGTCACGGTACCGACCAGCGCCCCCGCCATACCGCGGCTACGGAGGCGGCGGCGGCGGTTATGACTACTACCCTCCGCGCCGGCGATCACGGTGAGCCTTCTGTCGTAGTGACTATTGATGTGTGCGATCAATTGCTTTTATGTATCTGTGTACATGTAACTTTCCCAAACTGTTCGTACTAGATGTGCTATTGTCAGTTTTGTACATAATCATTCAAGCCTCTGATAGTAAAAGTGAGTACTTGTGTTTTCTTTGAAAGACACATATCTCAATTACTATGAGAAAAAACATTTTGTGCGTCTGTGAAACATGTATATGTAGCTATAAAAAAAGTATAAAGGTCAAAACAACCAGTGGTGCTTGCCTGAAATGGTCCACGTAAGCCTAAAAATGTTCAAAGAATGTGAATAGAGTAATTGGTTTTTGGCTTTGATCATCTAGTGTATTCTTCCATGTCTAATCGTGTTTCACACTTCTGGCAATATTTTATCACGTTTTTAAATTTTATTGAATCTTTGAAGTTAAGACCGGCCACCAACATTCTATTTTATTGTTCTTATACACCTAATGCTTGCTACATTTTCTTTCCAAGATTGTTTTGAAGTATTTAAATAAGGGATCCTGTAAGATAATATTTTTCTGGCTAAGGTTGTTTGGCCAAAGCAAGCACCACTATTACTGGTGTGTTTAGTATTTGTATGTTAAATTCTCTGTCTTAGAAACTTGGTCAGCTTTTCTGTGTCTTTCTCTGGGTAAGACCAATAGTTTGCTTGGTGATTTGTGGGCAGGTTTTCTATAGAATCCTCAATATTAACTGTCCCAACAAACCCTTACAGAGTGGCCATCTTGCTTCTCCACCCATCAGACTACATTAGCCAATCAGCTCAGCCCTTGGCAAGTCACGTGACCGTCGCCATCCAATCAGCATTACCTGTCACCTCAACTACACCTTCAGCCCCTCCACCCAGCATGCCTTGCTGCAGCCCTTCTGGCCAATCACAAAACAGCACAAAGAAAGCGTCAGTCCCACCTTCTACAGCGCGGCCTCCTATACAGTCACAAAGCTCTTCTACTCTCCAGTCCCTCCAACCACCAAACTCCAATAAGGACCGCCTTTCGTCGCAAGCCCCCTAGACCAACCCACATCCTTACACCAGCGTCTTTTAACAAAAGAAACAGCCACTACAAGCCAAACGACCAAAAAAAGTCGCCGACTCCTCCGTCTACTGTCTGCAACACCCACCTTCCCCACCACATTTGAGCCGTCTGTCTCCTGCCTAAAAAAGAGCCGGGTTTCCACGACAACTTGTCATGGACGATGCTGTTTGGCCTTCTCCACATCTTTCGACCACCCTCCAATACCGCCTGGCCCGACTTAACAACCCCGCCGCCCTTCTACTTTCAGCCTCTTGGGCCGGTGTAGGTTATCTGTTCTTGTCTCTAGACTAGTCTGTAGTTAGACACACACAGTTTCTGCCACAGAAACTTGAGAACTTGTTTCTCTGTTCTTCTAGGAAAGCCATTGTCCCAGTGTATGTCACTGTTAGTAAAACAGCGCTGGGACGCATTGCTTTCACTGTCTCAAGTTCGTGGCAGTTAAACATGTGTGTGATCATGCGTGCAAAATCTGAAGAAGTATTTTGCTAAAAAGTCTTGGGAGAGCTCACAGCTAACCAAGAAGAAACCACGGTTTGAGTTGTCTGATACAAGAATGGAGCTCTTTTGGTGTAAGGTTCTGACACACAAAATTGCATGAAGGCTTATAAGACTAACACTCTTGATTGTGTTTTGTTTGCCATGATGTTTGCTATGCCACAGTTAGTTTTGTAGCATAGCAAGACATCGTATTGCCATATTTCTGCTTTGACTGCACCAGGTTATTATACAGAATCTCCTTATTCTTGCTTTTCTCAGTTGCAACTTTAATAACGTATTTCCCTACCTGCAAAAATTTACACATCAAATCGGTTCGTCAATTTTCTGTACGAGACTGATCACAGATTAAACTTACGTAACAGTAATCCAAATTAAAATATCCCTTTAAGTTTAACAGTATGGAAAGTGACTCTCCATGCTTTTTGCCCTTGGTTGAGCAGTTCAAATCATGTACTGTGCAGAGCATTGGTTTTATTTAAAAACGCTGTTAACCAGAATATTGCCATGAAAGCTATCTAAGATCACTTGAGGACACAAGACCAAAGTTGACCAAGACCAACTGCTTTGAAAGGGGATCTTGAAAGAAAAACTTTTCTCACTTTTCATATTGAAATCCCTATTCAGAAAAGGGTAAGCCTCCTTGATTATAGTGATTACAGCCGCTTCTTTTATAGAAACAAAACTAGTCACAAACTTTGTGGTTAGGACAAAAAAATTCTACCCTTTGCAGGCCTGCTCCGCTCTACGCTTCTAAAACACCTTCTGTGTTAAACTTGTACATTGAGCATTGTAGCACTTGACCAACTCGGTGTGGTTAGATGATATAGCACCCAAGAGACAGCCTGTGGTGATGACTTGTCAGTGCTGCTCTGTGGGAATCGAACCCCGGATGCTGATGTTCTCGAGCTGATGATGAGTATTTTCCCAAACAGGTCGTTCTCGCCGCAGCGCCGCCGGCCGTACAGCCGCAGCCGCAGCAGGTAGTACTGAACCCCGCCTTGTTTGTTTGCAGTTTGACAACCAATCACAAGACAGTGTGTCGGACTAAAGCTGCCCTGTCACCTGTAGGTTCATAGAACCAGTTCAAACAAAAGCGAAATTCCTGAGAATACCCTCGATCTGGAAAGAAAAAGTTGCACCGAAAAGTCACTTTAACTACCTAGCTTCTGTCGTATTGGTCTTGATTCACTTGTTTTAAACAAAATAAAGAGATAAACAACAGTAAACAAGTGTAACTACATGGCTTTGACCATATTGTTGTTGATTCAGTTTGATACCAGAAGCTGAAAAAATTTGAGAGTCTATTTCAATCCCAGACAGGGCAGCTTTTTAGTTCAGCCATCTGACTGCACTGATACAAGTCTCACCTTCGTGTCTCAGGGCTCCACACCTGGGGCTATTCCATGCAGGCCTTCTTGGATGGGGTGGACATTAGCATTTTCACGTCTGGCACCCTTCATATTAACCTTTCATTCTAAAGACTTTTAATGACCACCCCTTCCTGAAACCCTTGCATGGAATGTCCCATTGTAAAGAGAGTAAAAAGAAGAATTTGTTCTAGTTTAGTTATAGAATAATCTCAAAACCTACTGTGTCATTTAACAAGCACGATACATTTACTAGTCATTTTTTATAGTTATTAATTTCTTTGTCTTCGAAATTTCCTGTTTGTCCTCTTTAAAACTGGTGTCCAAAACAAACCAAGCCTGTGTAATGAGCCTTGATGCATGAAATATAATTATGATTCATAAGTGATTCTCCAGATATATCTAATCTAATCTAACAACCTCACTTCTGGTATGTGGTAGTGTTTAGAAGGTTTTGGGTGTTGTTGGTTCTCTATTAATCTTGCATTTCAGCTGGGAGGTCCAAGCAGATGTTGCCAATTGTATGTTGGTGGGTCAGAAGCGAGTGAGTGAATGTTGTGTTGTTGTCTGCCCCGTGTACGCAGGTCTCCACGTGACAGGTCACCGAGGGACAGGTCACCCCGCGACAGGCGCAGGAGCCGCTCCCGCTCTCGTTCCCGCGACAGGAAGCACTCCAGGTCTCGTTCCCGGGATCACAGGTGAGCCCTGTTCAGTAGTGGCACCAGCCAGCAAGTGGAAAGAAATTAGATGAGAAACATGTTGGTTTTATAGTAGCGTGCATAGTCCAGTAGTTAGTGACCTGTACTAAGAGGTTGTGAGTTCGAATCCTGGCTGTTGTTGCTCACACACATGACTGCACACTACTGAAAAGGGTTCCTAGGACGGGACATTAAGCTGTGGTCCACTCTGTTCATTATGCTTTTCGCTAGTGGAATTTCTCCGGTACAATTAACCTGTAAATACTGCACATAGCACCTGTCTTCTCTGTCATGACCAGTGGGAGAGTAGATCTTCATCAGTGAGCTAAAACTGGATGGAGATCACTTTCCTTTTATGCTTGTTTTTAACCCTAATAACTTAATGGTCTTAATAGCCACATACTTACCAGTGACATTCAGAATGATTATTTCTGCAACTTCTTAGTCTAGTTTTTTTTGTTGTACATGATGTGATTAAAAATAATGGACTGTGAACAAGTTGCCATTTTTACTTTGGACTAAAATATATTTCTTGTCTGTCTTGACCAGTCGCTCAGTCTCACCGCTCAACAAGAGTCCACGAGGCAAGAGTCCAGGAGACGACTAGATCCCCCGCGTGCAGGGTGACCTCTGACCCACCAGCCTTCCCACAATCCTCTGAGGGCCCTGCACGGCACCAAGTACTCGTAATGTTTAAGTCAGCAGTCGGTCCTTTTATCTGTTCCTACCTAGCCGTGACATATAGGAAGTTTTTTTTGTTGTTTTACCTTTATTTTAGCTGTGTAAGTGAAAACTGTGGGACCTGTCTGTTGTAGCTTGGAGGTATTCAGCATACTACATGAAAATATTAGAGGAACCATTTCTATATATACCAACTACATGTGAACAAGATCTTTTTGTTCGTAGCTTACTGTTCACCTTGGAACTCACAGTTCAGTGGAAGATAACCCAGTTTGTTTTTGTATCACTATTAAAGGATCCTTTGAAGTTTGCATATTTTTTTAGTGGGTGATGACATCATTATTAGTATTCGCGTAGTATGACATGATACTAATTGTAATTACCCTGTATGTACTTAGCACAGTTGTGTGACAAACGTCTGTGTTGCTCTTTTGAATTTGTCTTCTAAAATACACCGTTTAATCAACATACAACTAGATGTGTTGTAAAATCATCCAACTGTCTTGCTACTCACCGAATCGTTATAATTTCTGTAGCAAAGTGATTTTGTAGCCCGGCTACCAAACATATTTTAGCTGCCAAGTCTTTCATCCACTCCAATATTTGCAGAGTGAGGAAAGGTACTCCACAGCTAAAGTATGTCTGGTAACCAGGCTTAGCCTAGTGATTTTGTGCTTACGTTCCAACCAAGAACCTGCATATGATTGTGCCAACATGGGTGCCTCTGTAGTGGCTATGTCAGGGAACCATGCCTTTCACAATGTCTGTATACATCAGGCTGACACAAGTGTGGTGTGCACTGGAAAAATTCTTATCAGTTGAGTCAATACAACTGCCTAATGTTTTGGAGTTGCACAGATTACGTGTAATGTCCTTGAACGAGTCATTCCATTGTTTCCTTCAACTTTGACAGCTGCCTAAAATGCGTCACAAACAAAGGTTTCATTGTCACAGCTGCAAAGTTTTGCCCTCACCCCGAGTGTAAGGCAGAAAGTTTTCGAATGTAAATCATTGAAATGGTAAGGTTTGTCACATAAGAAAGTCATAGTCCCTAACATACACTCACAGAGGCAAGGACAGTCAGTGAAAAACATGCTTGCTTGTGTACATGTGCATATTGTGACACTATTTTCATAATTGGTGGTGTGTCCAGGTCAGGGTTCAGGAACAGTAATTTGGTTTATGATGTTTAATATGATTGTGTATTCCATGATTGTATAATGATGATTGATTAGTATCACCAATAATTGTAATCATAACCATGGTGGGGCTTAAGATTTAAAAAATTAACCTTCTCCCTGTTCTAGTGTAGCTCACATACTGAATCTACTTGGTTTGGGGCTTGAGTCAGCAGGAAGAAGGTTAACGTTTGTTGTTACCAGTGTAAGTAGTAGTCCACCAAAGAAGAAACCTGCCATTGCTTGTATTGTCAATGTATCTTTGGAGAGAATAAAAGTTATTACATTTCTACCACCGAAAGGGCTTGTTTTATCTTTTCATTCTGCTGACAATTTGATATTTCTTCAACTGCATGAAACAATTTTGTTGAAAACACATGGTTAAGGTGGGGTCACATTTCCCAACCCGGGGCCCGTCCCGGCAGTTGTATGGAACGAAAATTATTATATAAGACAGCACACAAAAAAAGTGTTAGAAAATCAAACACAACCACTATTTGTGTATACTCTTGTTTTTCGTTCGTGCAAACAACCCGGCCAGGCCCCGGCTCAGAAATGTGACCGTGCTCTTACTGCGCTTTCTAGGTTGGAAGATTGTCCAAAGACTGCTACAGGTACTTCTGATTACAATTGTATCATACTTGAGTTCCCATTTGCGGATTAAGTGTGTGATATATTAATGCAAAATGTTTCACTAATCAAGGGACAAAATGTGTTCCCAACTTCTACATTAAAAAGACTAGAAAAAGCTGTGTTAATGTGGAATGTTCTGACTTCGATGGTGCTGGTAAGCACGGAGATTGTGCGAGACTAGTCTAACTCCATGGTATAATATTACGTATACGTAACGAAAGTTTCCTTTGGAAAATTCCGTGGTGGCACATTGTGATGGCGATTAGGGACATCATCAAAGGGTGCCACGTGATCCGATACGGGGGCTTGGCCACACCCAGGGACTTCGCTCGTGGGGCTGGGCCAAAAATCGGTGCGAACTTGATTCAGGTTTTTCTGTTGAGTATCTCAGCAGGCATGCCATGGCCTGCGATGAAGCCCAAATTGGGGGTGCGAACTTTATTGAAAGGAATACAGTAATTTTTTAGCGGCTTTTCTGGCTGTTTTATGATCACTTACCTGTTGTTATATAGCCAGGCACCCAGAAGGTCTATACAAAAGGCAGGGCTCTGACCAGCACAGGAAACAGCCCTGACAAGAGGCTACATGACTTTGTGATGTGTTCAGCCCTACATGACATGATGTGATGGTATGATATCGATAAGGATGGGGAGACTGTGCAGTTGTAGATTTGGAAGAACTGATAAATTATCTGTAGTAGTATACAACAGATGGGAGTGCTACAAGTACTAGTAGTTCATTCAAACAGAACCTTTTATTGAAAAGCTTCCTCACCAAGATAAGTCAGTAATATAAGATACATTGCACTACATGTCCCAAGCATTTTCACAAAAGTTACGTTTGCACACAATTTTTACATTCAAATGCCTCTTTTTCTGTCATTATTTTCATGCATGTATCTGTAACAGGCTGAATAAAAGTTCTAATTAGGAACTATGCGGCTCCAGATGTCTTACTGAGGGACGACTGCGTGTGCAAGATGTCGGTAGCTTGAGGAATGAATCCCCTCTACTATATATTATTTTCATGCATGTATCTGTTTTATGTGTTACAGCTGAAAGGATGTAAACCTGCAGATAAACAGAACCCTATAAATATCAAATCTATATTAACGTACATATTTATATTATAGTAAACAGTATACATGTAGCTATATTACACATTGCTATATTGCACATTGTCAGAATGTTAGTGTCAAGTGAAAGTCACATTCATCTAACTGATGTACATGTACATGTACACTTCATTTGATACACCATGAGATAAGCTTGCTAAATGCAAACCTTACTTATAAGCCCCTTATACATACAACATATATATAAGTAAAGTATATTAATACATTTTTGTATTTAGAAGATTGCATGGCTATATGAAGTAAAGGTTAAAACAATTTCAATGTTCTGGACAGAATGTTAGCAGAATGTCAAGATGTCTGTATGTAGTAAAATTGAAATCTTCGCATGCTGGAAACTTTAAAAGTATTAGGCTACAAAAATTGATTTCCCTTGTAAAAGTAGGAAAACCTTCCAAACAGGTAAACAAATCTTTTGCTGGTAGGCTTTAAAAAAAGTGACTGTAACCAGTTATATTTGGTAATTTTAGGCCACACCAATTCAATTTGTTTGTTCACGGATTTGCCTGCTTCATTTTTTTATTTGCAAAAAAAAACATTTCAGGCTCTGAATCAACTCCAAAGTGGTCATATTTTGGCCCCAACAGTTGAAGGAAGTCCCTTCTCTTCAGAGTTGTTACAGTTTTCCAGGTGGTTTGATTAAAAGTTTGAAGTTCATTGTTTGAATTACAAACCAGCGTGGTATTTTGACTTCATGGCATTTGGGGCTATCATAGGATGCCTTGGTCTTTTTTTGCCATATTCCTTCATATTTTTTCTGAAAAATCAGAGAAACAACAAATCAAATTGGCGTGGCCTTAGTAGCGATATTAAATCTGAGGATAGGGTAGTAGGTATGTACATAAGACAGGGATCGTACATGTAGCTGCCACCACGCCGCATGCCTGCGAAACTGGGAAGGGCAGTTATACCGGCTACACAAATACAGATACAGACATCAATGATCATCTTAATTCGCTTAGCTGACCTGCAGATGTCTGATGTGCTGGCACTAAAAACATGTGATTTCCACCTTCACTTTAAACGGGTTCCATCGGACAACTATGATCCTCACTGTAACTGCTCTCCTTCCCCGCCCGTTTATAGCAGGGTTGTACTCCAGACTACAGGGGTAGGACTGGATGGAGAAGTGTTGGTCCAGCTCCAACACCGTGTTAGTCCCTGCCGTCAGCCGCAGCCCCGGGGCCTGGAGAGAGGCTAGCAGAGCGGTGTAGTCTGGGACCAGGTCAGGCATGCCCTCTGCAGTGGTAGCAGGGTAATGACTCGGGAAGCCATGGATGTCTTCAATCATGTTCTCCAGTGTACCTGGATAGATGGAAATAGCATCCCAATTGTAAGCATACGGTCCTAGGATAAGAAGACAGAGGCAACATGTAAAAATGTCCCCTATTAGTAAAGATATAAGGGCAATGTTACTCTGGTAATGAGAGACAAATAGTTTGAAAGAGTAGTAAGGAAATTTGATAATCTTAATGTACTAGTAGGTACATATTACCACAGCTCTTTTCACAACCTTGCTAATCAGCTTGCTGAAGAGTAATAGATCATAAGGGAATGGCTGGTCATTATGGAACCAATGCAGCTGGAAAGGAAAGCTGGAAGAGGAGCCATGTACCAGAAGCTGGTAGTAGCATCGCCACCTAGTGGCGCTTTTAGATAGTGCAGCATTTTGCACACATTCTCGCTGTCTCAAAAATTACTGGGAAAATCATCTAGATATTGTCTTTCTACTGATCCCCAGTGACTCCTGTGCCTTTATCTTCTCTTACTTCGGATGGGAATGGCAGTGCCTCCGTCCAGAGCTGGAGAAGAGAAGTCGAAGGGACGGTCTTGCGGGTTGCCCTGGTACTGCAGGTTGGTGGTGGCGGCCGTCACGTACCAGTGGGTACTGACTCGTCTTGGCCCTCCCTCACAGCTGGGAACTGAGGAACAGGTAAGTAGTAGTAAATTATAAACATGCCTTAGTGTCACTATCGTCACTGTCTTTGGCTTTGAACTAGTATGACTATGAAATCACAAGTGTTTGGAAATTAGTACCATCATTTTCTGTAAAAATTGTTGTCTGTAATAATTACTAGTATATTCTACCCTTGGTGTAAGTGCTCGCTGTATTTTGAGGCATATATAAGTGCTTAATTTTTTTATTAAAGCCACAGCAAGTAATTTTTATGGATCAGCGCGCGCATTAATTTTCGCTTGATTTGGAAAAAAAACAAGAAACAAAAAACATTTCATTGCCCTCTGACAGTGGTCAACATGCGCCGAAAATGGGCAAAGATGTCAAAGTTGCCTTGCCGGAACATGGCTGGCAGCTAAACATGAAGAGAGGAGACAAGACAAGACTCTGATTTATTGCATTTGCAGATGGTACTGGTTGAGAGAAACATAAGAAGGAAGAATGCTGGTTCTGTAACTTTTTGACTGACCTGCGTCGATCTTGTACACGGACATTCTGAACCTCCCACCGCACTTCTGGCGCCAGTTGCCACGGCAACGGCTGTTGCATTCACTGTCACACACCCGTTGGCCCAGCCGGTTGAAGTCGGCCTCCCGCCCGCAGTGGCAGTCATGATAACGCCACCAGCGGCTGCGTGAAACCTCGGTAGCTGCAGAGCAGGGAAACTGTACTTGCAAATCACAGCCTCCTAAACGGTGCTGAATAAGCCACAATCTAGAACCACTATATATTCTGCAAGGTGCAACTCATAGACGGAGAATGAAGATTTCCCGTGGCTTCCCGTCAAATGAAGTTTTGTTTGGCTTGGCCAATGTTACCCTTCGTACCTTTTACTACAGAATACTAATGCGAATGATTTATATAAGGACCAACCAGCGTAGGTGTAGCCCGCAGTACGGCATGCTGCGATGCACCGTTCAGTCGTCATATAGCTTAACGTCGTCACCTTTCTCGGAAATCTGTGAGGAGAGCCATCCGGGTAACACCCAAGGTATTCTGAAAATGATAAAATGTATGTATTATGAAACAACATCGGGTAACTAATATGAAATGATTACAACGCCGAGTATACACATCGAGTCAATTAAGTCTCTGATTCCCATGTAGGTTACGGTGTGCGTAAGTGTGGACGTGTATCCAGAACCTTGCTGTCACAGGACCATGGTCAGGCACGGTTCTGGATGGACTGCGCGTATCCAGAACCGTGCCTGGGGCAAAGCTACGTTCTTGGATACGTGAAGACTAGTGAAGACCATCCAGAACTGTGCCAGATCCTAAACCTAAACACATTCAGGCATAGGGCTACAGTAAATAGGCACGGTTCTCAATACAATACGAGGGAATGGATGAGGCAGACTGTTGGTTACGACAGAGTTATAAAAATAGAACAGATACATGCAGATACAGACATGTTTATCCCTTTCTTGTGTCCAGGCCTTACCGTTAGTCTTGAGCTCCTGTACGTGCTGGACCACACTGGTCAGTCCCAGCTCCTCTAGAGTCTGGGGCAGGTCACCTGCCAGCTGGCCAATCTTCTGTTGAAGTTCCGCGAATTCTGTCCTCTCTCGTACTGGAACAAACCCTACCGGATAGCGGAAAAGGACACAAGCTGTACTCTATGATGAGAGGTTTTGGGTAGGAGTCATCTTTATCACTGTTTTCAGACATTTTCTACGATTCTATGTTCCCCTGTACGGTGGAGTGACGCCCATCGAGCTTCTTAGGCTAGTGTGTGACTGTGACAAAACACACGGATTTGGTGCGCCAATGTGCATTTGCCACCGAGAGTCGCATTTTTTTCATGTTTCACAAGAAGTGAACACGATTTCCACCGACCGAAGCATCTGTTTGGAGAGTAACTCAAAATGCAAATTCATGCCAGAGGGATAAATGCAAATCAGAGAAAAAAGGGACGAACAAACAACTTATAATACATGATGTTATATAGTATTTCGGCAGAACGTACTGCACCTGTGCGAAACCCGTAATGTATTGTGTAAATTAACATTTCGGCAGAACGTCCCATGGAAGATCGTATTCGCGAATACGAGGTTCACATTTCGTCTGTAGTTTTCAAATGTTAGGCCATGTTGATATGATTATATGGATGACATCCTCCGGGAACCTCAAAACTGATGCGCGCGTGCGAATAAAAAAAAGTTTGCAAAAAAAAAAAGTTGTTTTCATTATGAAATGTACGTGGTTTTGAAGGTTGAACAAATGGGACAGAATATGGTTTGGCGAATAATCTAGTCTTCAAGTTCATTTCTTTACAATTTCGTCTTTTGTCGTTTGATTTTGGCATTCATAGTTTTTATTTATTATTTTTTTGTAACTTACGGTATATTTTTGCTCATTTTGCAACTGTTTTGTACGATTTACAGTATGGTTGAAAACTTTTTTTTTTGGAAACGGCCGAAAATTCATGCGCGCGCGGATGTCATCCATATAATCAAATCAACATGGCCTTATGTCGGAAAAGATATCATCTGCAACAGGCAAAATTCTGATGTAACGTTGACCAAACATCCAACGAAAACCGTGAAAAAATAGCGCATGCACAGTGCGTTCTGGTGACGTACTGATGTATATATCAATATATATAATATTTGCCAAGGAATGTTGTTCCACGGCAATTCCGAGGGTTCAAATATCGGGCAAATTTAAATTTGCAGTTGATGTTAAGTCTCTACTAGCCTGGGTACCATCCTACTTGTTTGCCGGGGCTCCCACACTCGCTTCCCTAAGAAGTACTTCTTAGGGAAGCGAGTGTGGGAGCCCCGTTATACAAGTAGGATGGTACCCAGGCTAAGTCTCTACTACTTTTTCAAGTCTTTTTTGAATCTAGGTGATTAGAATAATAAACTTAAGCCCACATTGATTTGGGACATGTCCAATGCTGATTTGTCCTGTCGTCATGTACATGGAACACGACATCGTCGCCAGGGTCAGAAGCCACGTAGTCCGGACCATGGTGTAATGGTGGTTGGGTATATTCTTTAGGGGAGGAAGGAAAAGAGAGAGAATTTTTGCTTAAAAAAACACGTGTACAGTTAGATCTAAACACGTACAAAGTCAACATAATATATGATGGATCTGGGCAAACAAAATACTAGGAGAATGACCACCACTGAGGTAGGTCAACTAGTGGGCAAAAGACTCGTCCTACATCGGCGCAGGTTTCGTATTTGCTGTTGTTGTATTGTAGGTATTATGTAAAACTCGTGGCAAACTGGTGGACGTACCAACCACTAAGTATCTCATACCAGCTCAGAAAATAGCAAGAAACAGTCATGCTTTCAAATATCAGAGTTATCAATCAAGAATTGAGGTGTTAAAAAAACTCGTATATTTTGCAAGAACTTTCGTAGAGTGGAACACAGTTCCATCAATAGGAAGCTTTAAAACAACTCCTGCAATTAAATGTGCAAAGATTGGGTGTAACAAGTCGTTCGGTGTAATATTTCTATATAGCTAGCTGCCGCCGCGCCGCGTGCCTGCGTAGCTGGTGTGTTACCGCGAAGGGCGGTTATACCGGCTGCTTATACAGATACAGATACGCCGAAGGGTGCCGGTGGTTCTACCGGCTATACAGATACAAACACAGACACTGAATGTGCACATGTGTCAAGGGGTCAGCGTGGCCCGCGGTGCTCAATAATTATACAGTCTATCTAGCCCAGTCAACAGCCACAACTCAGCCTTTACCCCAGGGCACATGAGTCTTAATTCTGTTAACCTATCAACGACGCATCATTGGATTTAAGAAAAAACGATGAGATAGGACGTAGAAACAAAAGGAATAAGAGCAGCTTCCATTTTGCAAGAATGCGAATATGTGGCTACAGCTGTTCTAGAATAAAAGAAAAAGCAGTTTCTGAAGTCTTGAAAAAACACATGGCGCCACTGCATTTGGCCATTGCACTGGTAACACTGTACGTCCATGCACCGTGGTACATGTGCACGGTCATTATCAGCATCGACGTTACGTGCATACGACGGTAGTTTTCAGAAATTAAATGACGACTGCTTCGAACACTACCAGTTCTGCGTATCACACAGCTGGAAGATACCACAATGATTTACGGTTCAACTACACTGTATCCATCCGCGTCCTAACTAAACTAACGCACGGCAGCATTTCAACTACGTGTATGTTTTTATCTGCTTTCCCTGTGCACTTGATATCCCGTGTGTGGTCCAGAAAAAAAACCCTGCGTTATTGTGTTAACCCTGACATTTATTTCAAACAGAAAAGTTGTTCACGCAAATTACGGACAGGTTGTAAGATCTCAGGGATTCCCCTTTCTCTTCCCTGACACTGGCATCGAATACTGGTTGAACAGGAAACAAGGCGCGGCTGTGAAAATGGCGTCCCTTTGGTCTATAAACATTGGTCTGGAATAAGGTGTTCAAAAACTCATTCTTTCCCAGAACTATCGCAGAGTGGAACTCTCTGCCACCAAGTATATCTGAGGCATCGTCAATAGATAATAAATCAATCATCCCTATTGCATCAGGTTAGATAGAATTAGATAGCTTTAAACAATGTCTAGAGTTAGATGTTCAAAGGTTATGTGTAACAAGTCGTCCGGTGCTATGTAGCCAGCTGCCGCCGCGCCGCGTGCCTGCGAAGCTGGTGTGTTACGCCGAAGGGCGATTATATATACCGGCTATACAGATACAGATTGTATTCGTTTCTGAGTTAAAAACGAAGGAGTTCTAAGTAGCATGTAATCTACTAGTACGACGCTTACATGTAACGAAATATGATTTTAAAACGGCGTAGGGATATGTTGTAGGCATAAGAGACCAATTTAAGGTGAATCAGTTTTGTCGCACCTTGCTTGTTTTTTTAGTTATAAAATCCGTACACGTAAAATCTACGTTGATTTGTTTATTTATGATGTTAACTGTAGTAGTGTACAGACCCTTGTTGCGGGTCACCACCCATTTATTCTTATGTACACGTTAAAAGTTAGCACATGCGTGAGCGACACAAGTTCGTACCTGAACTTGAGATTCCCAACACTAGTCTACGGATCTCATATCTATCCTTACACAAGCAACATATGAGTGACGCTAAGTTAGACTTAGTTTGAAATTGTCCATACCTGTCTGTGATGCTGACAGCACAACTACAGGTTTACCAGAAGGGCGGTCCGGCTGCGTCTGGCTGAGCGAGCTGTGCGCAGTGTGTGTGCGGGTACAGCTCGGGGGGATGGGCGGGACGAACTTTGCACTCCGGGGCGCGGCTAACGTTCACGTTAGGATGAACTAGTTAAGTAGTTTTGTTTGGGCCATGTTGATTCGATTACGTGGATGACGTGAATTTTCGGCGCGAATTCAACCATACTGTAGATCGTACAAAAGAGTTGCAAAGACCTACCTCCCCTTGACCTCTTGAAAAACGGCTTAGGCCGAAGAGCTGTACTGCTACACACATGTACTATACATTTTCAAGGTGAAATATAGGTTGAAAAAAAAACATTGGAAAACGATACTAATGTCGTAGAATGCCAAAATCAAACGAAAAAGAGGAAAATGTAAAGAAATGAATTTGAAGAGTAGATTATTCGCCATACCACACTCATGTCATTTGTTCAACCTTCATGACCACGTAGATGTCATAATGAAAGCAACTTTTTTTGCAAAACTTTTTTATTCGCACGTTCGCATAGGTTTTGGGGTTCCCAAAGGATGCCATCCATATAATCAAATCAACATGGCCTTACCGGGAAATTTAGGGCATCGTCAAAATGGCCTGCGTTTGAGAAACTCCTCAAGTTGCCGAGGGAAAGGCCATAGCATGTGGCGTTGATGCATTGGTTGTAGCTACAGTGAAAAAAGTTTCGACACAGACTCAACTTGGTTCCGAGTCCTGGATTACTCAGAAGACTGACGATATGATGTTGTTAGGACCCGCCAAGTAACACGTTTCCTACGTGTAATGCTGGAGTCATAACTATAGCTGGAGCCCGGCCGGGCTGTATGAATGAACAATTACAAAACGTATATCAAGAATATGCATACATTATGCTTATGAGGATCTTTTAAACGTTTTGTGTGTTTCGATGTCTTTTATATCATACTTTTCGTTCCCGTAAACTGCTCGACCGGGCCCCGGCTTGAAAATGTGACCCTAGCACCAACCGCCCAGCTGCCATGCTTACAGAAATTTCATCACACGAACAAGTGCAATCCAGTAAACATCGCGACGTCTTTTTAGTAACGTGCACCTCTGACAACCACCCACCCAGCCCTCAGTGCAGTGCCCTGATTAAATTTGGCTAAATTTTACCAAGTTTTTAACACATTTTACTATATGTTTTGGACCAGCGTTAGCCTGGCGGTGTCGTGTAAGTGTGGACGTGTCCGGTTATTCAGTACCAAAAGGCCATCAGCCATCCGCCAGGCTCTGAATTCTAAAGCCTGCTCTATCATCTTCAGCCTACAGTGCGGGTAAGACCTATTTTTAAAAGGCCACTGACGTCACCAGGAAGTAAAGTTTGGGAACTAGCTTGGGATTCCCCCACTTAATAGCCACAAAGGGACAGGTCACAGTCAAGAGGTTTTGTTTTTATTGGTTGCCAGGGATGAGCGCATCGCATTCTTGTGAGAACTACCTTATAGCGAATCCTCAGACAATACTGACATTAACCGTGGCGACTCTTTGTATCGGACGTATTTTGCTAGTAGTCTTTGGCTATGTTGATTTGATTATATGGATGACATCCTCTGGGAACCACTAAACTGACGCGAGCGTGCAAATGAAAAGGATTTCCTGTCAAAATAGAAACCTCCCCATTGATGTTTTGCACGCTGAATTTGATACACCTTTGCAAACAGGTGCAACTTTCCAACACAAAGACACGTGCGTCATGTGTTGTGGTACGTCACCGTCACGCTGTTTGGACAACAATGACGGGCGCCGCCACGCCCAGTGTCCTACATAAGTATATAACCTCATTTTTCCGGGTCCAAGTTGAGTCCTTGCACAAGAATCGTCTGTTGCGGTCTATCTATACGGAGCTCTGACGGGCTAGGGTAAGTCGGCACTAGTCCCTAGTCTCTACCGGACCTGTTGGCGGACTGAAAAATAGTAGAAAATAGTAGTAAAAAAAGCGGGACTATTTTATCGATGTCTTGGTCGGTTCCCGAATTCCCCCTATTTTTGTGGTTTTCTACAAGTTTTCAGTCCACCGAGAGCAGTGTTACAGAATTTGTTATAGTGTTACAGAGTTATTTGTTATTTGTTGGTCTTTTATATGACCCTTTCTGTGTTTCTACTGCACTAGAGAGCGCCCTTCGGGAATTCAGGAAAAGCGCGCGCCGGTAGAAACGCAGTAAAAAGACCAGCAAAATAACTCCGCTTCATCTGCCGCTTCATCTGCTTGAGAATTTAACATGAGCCGTAACATGAAAAGTATGTTTTCTGCTCTGTATCAATATTTACCGAATACATGTAGTTTCGTCCACGACATTTGCCTAGCTGTAGCGCACTATACTTCTAGGTTTGGCTTTTCTTATGAGGTCACTGGGACACCTCGAGCTCCAATTTAATTTGTTGATTCTCGGATCGCCCTGTCCATTTTTTTCTGATTTGTCAAAAAAATTAAAAGTTCTGAATTAACTGCAAAATAGCTCAATGAAAGACATATTTCGGCCTCAAACAGTTGAAGAAAGTCATTTTTCTTCGTAGTTCTTAAAGTTTTTCAATGTAACAATGCAATTCTGTTAAAGATCAAACTTGTATCGTTTTAATTATAAACCAGCCTGGTATGTTCACTTCATGGCTCATATTTCAACATTTCCTGTTAACATGGGGTGCCTTGGCCTGTTTTTTTTTTCGCCCTGTTGCTTCATATTTTTTTTCTGAAAAAATCCGAGAAACAACAATTTCGATTGGTGTGGCCTGAAGCGCGCTAAAAATAAGTCTATGCATATGTGCAGCTTTGTCAATGGCAATCAAATAAAACAATTGACAGTCCCCTTTTTTTCTGTTTCCAGGAGGATAGACTGAGTCAGCATGGCCCAAACAACACTGGTAGTACTGGCCGTAGTGATGATGACGTCACCCGTGCCTCTGCAAGGGTTCTCTACGGTCAACCCAGGCGTCGACCGGAAAACCCGAAATCCAGAAGTTCACGAGACAACCCAACATCTTCTCAATCCGTTCGACCTTCGTCGACCCCCTCCTTCAAGAGAGAGATGTCCCGCTCACAGCCACATGGTACAATGCCGCGACAGGCTGTGTCGTCGCACCTGCACAGACCCCGAGCCCGTGTGCCTGGAGTGCCCGTTGGGCTACTCATGTGTGTGTGACGAGGGTTACCTCTGGCACAACGGCGTGTGCGTCCCACGACTTAAGTGTGAAGGTAAGTAAGCACACTGTCAAAATTCTGTATATTTTGTCCTTATTTCTTTACGCAGGTATTTCATCAATTTTCATTGCCTACTTCCTGGTTGCCTTGCTCCACCCAAGAGGGTTTTATACAATTTCTATGCAATGTTGTTTTAACTTTTGTATCCATTCACAAATTTCTTTGGAGACGGTTGCACGCATGTATAGGAACTTTCACATTCTCAATATGAAACCGACAACACAGTGAGCAAAAAGGAACATTGAGTTCGATTGGGTTGCCTTAGATTAAGTTTAGCTTTGTGGAAAATTAACTTCCCTGTGTATGCCTGTCCTTGGTGCTATTTATACCTTCCTTGTGACTTCCTTGTGTATGCCTGTCCATGGTGCTATTTATACCTTCCTTGTGACTTCCTTGTGTATGCCTGTCCATGGTGCTATTTATACCTTCCTTGTAACTTCCCTGTGTATGCCTGTCCTTGGTGCTATTTATGCCTTCCTTGTAACTTCCCTGTGTATGCCTGTCCTTGGTGCTATTTATGCCTTCCTTGTAACTTCCTTGTGTATGCCTGTCCATGGTGTTATTTATGCCTTCCTTGTAATTCTCCAGAGACGACAGAGTCTGAGGAACTTCAGCTGGAGATTAACCAGCTGGCACGTGACCTTCCCCAGACTCTAGAAGAGCTGGGACTGACCAGTGTTGTGCAGCACGTACAGGAGCTCAAGACTAATGGTAAGGCCCGTAACCAAAAAGGGCTAGCCTGGTATCCAGTCTATCATGGTTGTAGCAGGTTGTCTTAGTGGCTAAAATAGTTTTCTCCCCACCCAGCTCAACAGACCGCCTGAGTAGGAGTATCACGCCTGTGAAAGAGTTTGGCAAGCCGGGAGTTGATTGTGATGGGGCTAATCAATCTCCCATCATGAAAAACCTACCGGAAACCTAGCTGAGGCGGGCGGGGAAGAGCTCCTGCAGCCCTGAAGAAAACCCACCCCAACCTCGATAGACTGGACACCTGTAGATCTGTTTTTTGATTGCATTTATAACTCTGTCACAATACCACATGTAGTATGATTGATACTTGTACACAGCAAACACACACACACACACATATGCACACACACTCACACACACACAGACACATATGCACAGACACACACACGCACACACACTCACACATGCACACACACACGCGCGCGGACTCACACACATACACAACACACACACACACACATATATATTATATACACATGTATTACGTACTCACACGTACACACACACACACACACACACACACACTCTTATATATACACACACACACACTCACACAAACACACACACACGCACACTTACACACACACACACACACTTACTCACTCACTCACACTTATATACACACATACACTCACACAAACACACACACACACACACTCACTTACTCACACACACACACATATACACTCACACATATATATCTCAAGTATTCTAACAATTGCAAAGAAATTGTTTAATTCTGAAAAGTCTCAATCTTTTCTAGAATACCTTGGGTGTTACCGTGATGTACCGCGCCACAAGTTTCCGAGAAAGGTGATGACGTCATACAGCATGACCACTGAGAAGTGCGTTAAAGCATGTCGGGATGCGGGATACACCTATGCTGGTGGGTCAATAGGATAGTGTTCTCATTTGATAATACACAGAAGAAAACGTAATACCTGTGGTTTCTAACATAACTGTTTTAGAAATTGTATTTATGACTATTTTTAAAAATTTCACCAGGTTTAATTGCTGCCAAATTTTAAGATCTAAACAATATCGTAATCATTGAAACTCACAGAGCTTCTCGGGGAGAATTAAACTTGTAAGGCCTTGGAAAAAATGTTGTGTTTCCCGACCAACCCTAGAAAAAACTGTGGACCATAGCCTTTTTGTGTATGGACCCCTGAAAGGGACATACATTTTTCAAACTGATCGACTTTTTCTAGCTCCATTATCTGACACCTGAGTGATTGTTAAATTGCATTGTATAAGTTGAATCATTAGAGATTGCCAATGTCTAAAAAAGGTTCCCTACCTACCAACCCAAATTTTTTTCAGGACTGAAACAGAAAACACAACATTTTTTCCCTAGATCTAATTGCTGTCCTTGATTCTGAGTTTCCTCTTTTGCAGCTACCGAGGTTTCAAGCAGCAGCGGGTGGTGGCGTAGCGCACATGACTGCCACTGCGGGAGGGAGGCAGATTTCAACCGGCTGGGCCAACGGGCGTGTGACAGTGAATGTAACAGCCGTTGTCCTGGCAATTTGCGCCGGAAGTGCGGTGGGAGGTTCAAAATGTCCGTGTACAAGATCGACGCAGGTCAGTAGCGTCATCGTCAAGATGCCTATGACACAAAAAATGGTTAATTTGTTTTACATTGTAGAACAACATACCTATGTCACCCTACAATATGGGGTTTACGGAAAAAACTGGCCAGGTCTGAGCCCCCAGCTTTTTCCGTAAACCCTTACAACATGATATACTCCAAAAAAGAATAAAAATGCAATTTTCTCAATGCCCACTCTAAGACCTTAGACTGATCTGATCGATAGAAAACCATCCATCTTCTGTCAATGATACCGGTAACTAAAGTGACTAGTTCACCACTAATGTTGCTACTCCAAAAATTATGATGATAACGGCAATATAACAATATTTTTATACATTCTCACATTCTTCCAATCTCCAAGCAGGATTCATGCAGACGAGCTTCTCGTATATTTTTGCGACATCATAGTACGTCTAACTCTTCAAGTCAATTGTTCCTGGGGAAAGGAAAGAGAGAAAATCTGAACCATTACTAGAAAGAGGCATAACATTAAATATTAAAACATTATAGGCATCCAATACAATTTTAGGACAGCAAAACTGGAAATATTCTGAATAAGGCAATCTGTATGATATTGACACAAACTATCCCACATTAGCACATTTAAATCGGTATTTCGTACTTTAGGCATGTATAACTGCAGAAACAAGCCCCAAGACTAGTCCTTTATTTTCTGGGTGGTACATACCCTAAAAATCAATCCAGGTCCTTCCAGTAATCGTTTTTTTGTCAGAATTTTGGGAATTTTTGCTCCATGAATGTTGATATAAATTGGGACAGTGTTGTTTCAATTTAGTATGTAGATAAGTGACTAGAATATTGACTTTGAAAAATCTGGTTTCCAATCCCTAAAAACTGCACTGGATGCCTTTAATGACCTGGACCTACAACCTCTGCCATGTTCTTCAGTTCCCAGTTGTGAGGACGGGCCTCGGCAGGTTTCTCCCCACTGGTACCAGACTGGCAACACGACCCTGCTGCAGTACCGCGGAGAACCGCAAGACCGTCCCTTCGCCTTCACAACTCCGGCTCTGGATGGGAAGACTGTACACATTCAAAGTAAGGAACATTTGCATTAATATTAATTCCTCATGAAAAAAAGATGAGTATCGTTGGGTTGGAGGTGATTATAACAATAAGTCATTATTCATTCAATGTAGAGAAAGTGCAGTAAAATGCACAATGGTTATGACATTTGGTAAATTATTGGCTAAAATTAAATGTCGTAATCTTTTCATCACCTCTGGTAGGACTTTCTATGTCTTTACAAAACTTGTAACCTCCCGCCCCACCCACACCCCAAAAAATCACAACCACAAAATGATTACTTGAAAACTTTTGTTGGAGGGAGCAATATGTAAAATGGTGACAAGAAAGGAAATTAACAGGGACATTCTCATACCACAACCATGCGCATTCTCTTAACTATGTCCATCTATCCAGGTACACTGGAGAACATGACGGCAGACATCCATGGCTTCCCGAGTCATTACCCTGCTACCACTGCAGAGGGCATGCCTGACCTGGTCCCAGACTACACCGCCCTGCTAGCCTCTCTCCAGGCCCCGGGGCTGCGGCTGACGGCAGGGACTAACACGGTGTTGGAGCTGGACCAACACTTCTCCATCCAGTCCTACCCCTGTAGTCTGGAGTACAACCCTGCTATAAACGGGCGGGGAAGAAGAGCAGTTACAGTGAGGATCATAGTCGTCAGTGAGGATCCGTATGAAGTGATGGTGGAAATCATATGTTATTGAGTAGCCTGACTAAATATCAAACCAAGTTATAACTAACTTTATGTCCTACCTGGGCCGCGATTACGTTCGATACGGGTGTTCCGGCCCGTGTGATAACTAGCGGTACGGCCCGGGGTTCTTTACGCGTACGGCCCGGGCCTTCCAAATGTTCCATAGAACGATTCGAACGCGTTTCGCCCTAACCGCGTGCAACGCTTCGAAAATTCGAATGCAAACTACGGACGTTGGAATTGATGTTGTTGCGTTGTTTTTTTTTGGTTTAGGGACACCAAATTTCGCTCATTTCGCATTGAAAGGCGTGTTTTCATGGGTGGGTATGACATAAATAAAATACAACACGGGGTATTCCGTATCGCCCGAGGTGCCAGCCCGACCGCGCGTCGGATCGCCCGACGGCCGAATAAATCTGAAACTAAGCAATTTCATTACTGACTTCAAATTACTGTATTCAAATAGCATTATCTTACTTGTTTACTTCTGTTCCTTTGGCATCGGATGTTACTAATGTGATATTTTTGTCTAGTGTTGTAATTATTATCTTATATCCAGGTGTGACATTAACATAAGCTATTTCGTCATCACTATGTACTGTTTTGTTTGAATAATGGCATATAAAAAATCTGGTGCTTCTGGCTGCCAACTTGTGTAAACACAGGGTGTTTATTTAGTATCAGTAATTACCTTCGCCAAGAAGGTTATGTTCTTAGAGGCATTCGTGTATGTGTGCGTGTGTGCGTCTGCAGACAGGATAACTTGAGAAAGCTTAAATGAATTGTCTTGATACTTAGTAGGTTGGTAGGTCTTAATGAGACCTGGAAATGATTAGATTTTGGACCCTCTAGCAGCTTGTTATGGCACTGCAGCTGAACTTCCGGTTTTGATATCTCATGATCTAGACATGCTAGGGTGACGAAATTGGGTTGGTAGGTAGCTCTTGTGCTGGGGAAGAAGTGACATGAGTTTGGGCCCCCTACCAGCTTGCTCTGGAACTGCAGGGCTATCTGTTTCAAAATTTGTATATGTACATGTGAACTCGTATGTACGTAATTCAGCTCATGAGCTGCGATGAGTTTGTATCGAATAATAAACCATTCTATATTATTCTTAACTTATACATCAAAACGTGATTTTGCGATCAGCTGATCGCTTGCAGAAGTGGTCACAGTCTTTGCAGAAGTGAATTTTCCGTGTCGATCTCATTACCATATGAATGTAAACCAAGCAGATGGTGGGAGGCAAAATCGTAACTGGGCATTGCCGTAGTTTACGCCTGGCATCTACTCTGTTTCCATTCATATGATTGGCACCGAATTGAGATTGACACCGAAATATTCACACAATTGATTTCCTTCGTATATTGCAGTCGGTTAGTTAATATTCAGATTGTTGTCATGAAGAAAAGACCAGGTTCAAACTGAAGCTATCTCTGTCCTTGGTGCTGAACGCTATCCCTACACAACGCCCCCTCCCCTGTTCGTAAGAATACCTAGTATTACGCGGTTGCCGAGCATTTTCACGTCCCCCTAACCTCATAAATCGGCTTCTTTTCTCTGTAAAGGCAGTTCTTACAACTCTGTAGCTTACCTGGGGGAACATAATTGCCCAAAATAGTCCCGTTCCTCCGAATAACACTAAAATAGAGCGAGTCCATAATACAGATAACAAAGATTACGTGGGCGTGACACGTTTCTTTCTATACATGTATATTTCTTCTCAGTTTCTTTTTTCTTCTTCTTGAAGTTCTTCTCTTTCTAATTTGGACACAGTTGTTGTCTTGTCTTCTTGAATACCTGCTCGCTGATGTAGCCGTCACGGTAAAAGTGACTCAAGGTTTCCATTTTCTCACACCTCTTCAACAGTGCACAATAAATGCAGTACGGAGTTACCACGTCCTCCAATGTCCCCCCTGTGACAGTTTTGCGCTTGCTATACTGTAGTTTCAGAGATTCTCCTACTCGTTCGGCCTGAATAGCCCTAATGCTGTTAAAATTTCTTCTCAGTAACAAGCAAAGATCGCCGTCTACTGTAAACCCAGGACTCCATCTTGTACTGTTGACAACTAAAGGTGGCTTGTGAAAAGAGCATTGGCTCTGGCAATGTCCAGCAATCTTCTTATTCAAATTTTTAAAATATTCCACTTCTCCCCAATAGTCGTTGCCGCTTGAGTTTATCCTTCTCCAGAATGATTTGTTGAAGTGGTCGTAAAGCGCGTAGTCCACGTAGCTCCACTCCTTGTGAGTTTGCTGGAGGTCGGGTGGGAGTTGTATCTCCTCGTGACGGGGGTTTTGGACGTTCGTAATTTCGTAAACGATGTCCTGTAATGTCCAACACATCAAGCGCTTCAGTAGAACTAGAGACTCGTCAAAGTATTCTGTTAGATATCACAGAGTCGAAGTCTTCGTCAGTCGTCCTCACGAACGTTTGGGTGACCTTCTCTCTGCTGACAGGATCTGAACCCAGCGTCACTTTTGTATTGTACTGAGGAGAAAATCCCAGGTCGACAGAGATTGCATTTTGGGTGAGACAAACCGGTAACTTCATACCGTGCCCGCAACTACGGTCATATTTCGGGTTGGCCAAAAACGTTGCGATAGGATCTTTGCTTTTTGACAACCCAAACCGTTTACTGACTGTATGTATAGACATTCCAGGCTGATTTTAGGTGATTTAACGGTTTTCTAATGATGGTGACATATGCTGTGTCCTCGGGCATTATTTCCCGAAAACGTTCTCTGTTATAAACAGCGTGGTGCAGAAACATGTCGAAGCTTTGGTTGGGAGGGTGAGGCATGTAATGTTGAGGGTCCACTGTGTCCGGATACATACTGCTTCCAGTCGTCCACGGCTTTGGAATGACGACATTCAGCTTTTTGGTGTATGCATAACGGCTAAGTATGGACGCGAAAGTCGTCCCTCCTACTTTATGGTTCTTAGGGTAAGCAAGACGTTTTCTCTCCCCTCCTCCCTCGCACTCCAGCCATGGCTGCAGCGCCCCCTGGCGAGGTGCAGGGGGTTTGAATCGAACTGGCGGCAGGAGGTTCTTGAAATGTGTCGTCGAATTCGTGATATCCAAGTTCAGAGGCCTGAAAATAAGACAAGAAATAGGAGATTTCAGACTTCCAAGAAGTGTTTGGGTTTTTTTTTTGACAGAGCGTCGACGTTTAATGCATCCATGCAATTCCAGGGCGGCAAACCAAACCCATAAACATATTCTAGACGGAGAAAACTGTATCATATATTGACATCTATTGAAATTTCTAGATCTTCTTCAGCGTCACTAACAAATTAGCAGAACTATTCAACTCAGCAAGTAAATTTTATGGATGACAACCTTCGCAGACTCCAAATCTAATACGATACAACGAAAAAAAAACAAGGCGGGCCAAGAAAAAAACAAGATTCCTATATTTTCAAATGTTGTTAAGCAAGAATTAAGGCGACAAAACATGATAAGCCTTGTTAAGAATTAAGGCTTGTTTTACCATCATGGGCCTACATGGGTCGCTACTACACTGGGTATTTATATTGCAGCACCTTATAGACTGTTAGACCTGTCATCAAACGCGAGAAGTTGTGTCTCAAAGTTGCTTGACCCTATCATACTCTCCAAGCAGAGGTTTTGGTTTGGGGTTTACATATCTCAAAATCTGATGCAAAATGGCATAAACTACTAACATGGTTGGAAAATGCAAGGACGTCCTTGGTAGACCAAAGAATAAAATTGTACGACGAGTGTGCTCACGATTTTCTGTTTGTCAATTAAACCCGGCGACGCTATCCCACTTTAAATACGGCACAAAACTGTAATCACGCATGTCTCTGTCAACTGCAACCCTGTCAGATTCACCTTTATCACAGTAGAAATATATTACCGCGGTCGCGGATAGGTTGTTGTTTTAAATTGCCTGCCCAGGAAGACAGGTTACTCCATACATGTGAACTGTGTTGTTTCTAACAACTCCGCGCCGGTACATTGTAAGGTCACAATTACGCTTAGAGGGACGTACATTTTACACCATTCAAAATATATGAGATGTTTTCCCTAAGTACGCAGGCATATGTTTTAATTACATTCGTTGCTGCCCTCATTTATGACGTTCAAGTATTCTATCATAATACAGCATCTCCATAACATGTATGTAGAGACTTTGCCGTGTTCCATATCGGATATAACGTTAATATTTTGGGCTGGTTGCTAACTAGGCCAACGGTTGTTAAGAACGCTAACATACGGGTTTGTCTGGATCTGCCTCACACATGTAAATAAAGTATCATACGATGCCTGCACGTTATATCGTACGAGTATCCATCATTGTTATTAATAGCAAACGCACATTATCATTAGATCAATGACTCACCGTGCAGCTCAATTCCTTTGTACGCGAAATCTGCGAGTGTCATACGTTCTACGGACCGGTGGCTTCCTATTGTTCAGGCGTATGAGTCAGGGGTTGTTTTTTTGTACCTTGAGGTGTTTTTGGCAACAGCAAGCGTTGCATGCCGCACCCAAAATGCTACATATAAGGGCGTTTTTTCCGGGTCCAAATTCAGCTCGTACGGAGAAGTGGTCAGCTGTGATCAAGCCTCTTCACCCAGCTCTATAAACGTGCGCCAAACGGTAAGTCGTCCAGGAAAAGTGTGTGGTCATCTCGCCTCCTGTGCAGACTTCCGAGCGGGTGGGAGTTTTGGTACTTTTTATACAGAGAACCTTCGAATCTGGCGATGTAACGCTCTCTGGCCTGGCAAAACGTTACGCGTTTACCGCAGTAACAAAACTCAGACCCACTCGGAAGCCTGCACAGGAGGCTAGCGGTGCGCTGACTGTCTACTTTAATTACCGACTTACCATCCATGCATGCTAAGAGGTTATTTGTGCCACAAATCTTTGGTTATTAATATTAGAGAAAAGGATTCTGTTGGAACTTTTCCCTGTATTTATACCAAGAACAATTTCGCAGAAGACTTGGCTTTACTGGAAGTTTGTGCATGTTGGGCCTTGCTGTGAAATGGAAATAAAAAGTTTTACCAGTTTTGTTGATACATGCACACGACGCGTGAAGGAGGTGATAACATTTCAGGCCTCCAAAGCGCTAGCTATATTTCAATTAACGCTGGTCAGCTTCCGTGATCTTAGGTAAAGTAGAGGTAAAGTCGGCAAGTTCTTACGGACGTAACAGGCTCACCACATTCTCTCTCGTCACTCAATTACTCATTTGTATTCGGGACAAAGAATGGAATTAAACTTTTACATTTAGTGTGGTGAATGCTTGCTCAAATATATGAACTTTATGCGGGGAAAGGAAAGTTGCAGTAGATGCTGTTTAAGTTTCCCTGCCCAGCATTTTGTGTATTGTCTTATAGTTTGTAAAAAAAATCACTTCCTTATGAGCAAAGAGTGTATACATCAGAATTAGCAGTTTGTTTATTCTCCATTGGTATCACACTGCTGTTTTAGTAATAAGTTTGAATAAAACTACATGTAATTGGTATGGCACCCCATCTAAAAAAAACAGACTGTGGTGTCAAAAAACTGTTTAATGTCAAGTAGAATCAATACACCAAAAGGTATCACACTACTGTTTGATGCTTAACTGTCTCTGCCAGCAGAGGTATCACACCACTGTTCCATGTTTGACTGCCTCAGCGTGCAGTCACGTGGTATCACACTGTTAAGCTCTGTACATCTTAATCACGTCAAACAGCGGAGCGCGACAGATGGGACAGTTGGCGTCTTGCACCTTCAGCAGGAGTCCGCACCTGTCGCACATGCAGACGTGTCCACACGGGTACGCCACGCTGTTCACCGGACGCTCGTAGCAGATGGCGCACGTCTGGTTGTCGTGGTATGGTTGCCTAGGTTCTGTGTCCGGATGATGGTCGGTAGAGATGGGTGGAGGTGAGATGGAGGATGGAGTCGGTTCATCTGCTGGTACCACTCCTGCAAGAGAACAGTGTGGAGACTTTAATCTGTATCAGGAATTTTTTTCTCAGAACTTTTTTTTATAGAAATGATGGCTTGAAACAAGACTATTGTAACAGTTACTTATTGGTGCTAGAGACTTACTGATGGGTACAATGCTATATCACGGTTCATTTCTGGTATGACTGAACAAAGATAGCAAGAGACATCTTGTACAATGTTTGAATTTTGCAGAAGAAAACAAAGCATTGCCTATGATGTACAGCTGTTACGACAAATAACTGCTCAGACAGATAACTTGTGCTCAACTGACATTATTCTAAACTTAATGGAATTCATCATTCAAACAGCTGGTCTCATTCTGTTAGGTACGATAATTCTACAACAATGATTGTCCGCTACACATGATCAAAGGAGAAACAAAAAAAAACATTGTATTCCTTCCCCACCTGCCAGCCTGATTTTCCTGACAAACAGGGTGAGAATAAAAACAGCCCAGAGCTGCTGTCCTGTCTCCACCTCCAACACCACCTGTAGATCACCCCCATTCACCCCATAATGGACTCTTCCAGTCCTATCCAACAGGAACGTCAGCTTGTCCCCGCTCTTTAGTTTCTCAAGGTATTTAAACGTCCAGTACTCCTTCCTGCGGCTGGCCGCAGCGCGGCTCGATGGCACGTCTTTCTGCTGCAGGGCTGCAGGATTCACCGCAGTCAGACCGAAGTCAAAATTACTGATCGACGAATCAGCTTCCAGTATGTAAATGAGCAGTATCTGGCCTGGCTGCAGTGGCCGGTATGTGAAGACAAACCCGTTGAACATACTCTGGCTCACGTTGGCTGCTACACTTTTTAGCCCCTTCTGGTCAGATTCCAGTCGCACGTTACTGCCATGTACGGGATGAAAGGACAGGCTTGCTGTGTACGCTGACTGACCATTGTCCAGACAACCCGGCCTCGACAACACTGACCTCGAGCCAGAAGGCGTCTGTAAAGTTCTGTGAGGAGCTGTACTTGTTAATGGTGCCCTTCTTACCTGCCTTAAGTTTTGACTTTGTCCATGTAGAGGATGTGATTCAGAAGAAGTCATGTGACTCTGAGATGCATCCTGGTCTAACAGGTGGTCACCTGCGTGTAAAGTTCTTTGAATTGGTACATTTTCCCTCTGACTTTCTTCCAATGCTGACGGCAAAAGCCTAGTCCTAGCCACAGAGTTTGGGACCCCAATGTTCACAGTTCCGCTGACAGAGTCGCTGGGACCTTCTCCACTGGACTGAGAGTGAGTTAAATCTGTGACTCTGTGGACAGTGCTGCTGGAGTTGACATGTGCTGTACTGTGAGTGCTGTCTGTGTGAGACAGTGTGTTGGCTGAACTGCCTGTTGTTGACTGGCCTGGCTGGTCTGTCAGTGTTCTGACAGTAACTCTGTTATCAATTCTGTCTTCACCATTTTGTAAAGCAGGATTTACTATAGTTTCCCGGGAGGCTGTTGCAGCAGAATTCTCATCTGCAGAGATTGCCTGCTGGTTGGGTTGCAAGATGTCTGCAAAAACATTATTTCTGGAACAGAAGAAAAGTAGATTACTGTCCAGAGTATTCTGCATTTGAGGCAAGGATTAAAAAGAGTTTTGACTTGATGTGTGTGAGATATTTACAAAGTGACTCTCAATGTAATCTCCAAGCAGATCCTATGGTGGCAAGGCAGTGTCCATTGGCCATGGGGATGACCATCAGCCCCAATTGATAGTCTGCATTGTGGACACTCCTCTGTCCGATGGATACTGCCTTGCCACCATGGGATCTGCTTGGAGATTATCTAAATGTCCAGTGAAAACATTATTACCTTGTTCCATCAGTTGTGGCATGTGACCCTTGACCATCGACCTGTGACCCTGCAGAGCACAGCTCCATGACCCCAGGCTGAGAGGTCGATGCCCTCAGCACCAGTGACCCCTGACCTTCGCCCCGAGGGGTCAGGGTGATGGCATGGATCTCTCCATGGGGGCTGGCAGTGACAGTGATGGCCTGGTATCCTAGCAACAGAAAGAAGCAGAATAAGAACATTTCAGTGAGCTCTCTTATCAAGTTAGCACCAGTTAACACATGATGTCGGAGGTGTTACAGATTTTAAAATATAGCATCTGGCTGTGCCAAACTGTACTCTCTAGCTAGCATAGCCGTGGCGACTCTTGATTCGGGCTTACATTGCATTACCCTCAGCAAGAGTCGTGGAAAGATCCATTGGTAGAACTGCACATTTCCCGTTGGCTGCTCGATGCTCCGTTTTTGACCCGGTTTTTTGCTGTCCCGAGCTTCCCTACAATATAACTCCACAATTGGCCGGGTTGCCGATGTTTAGATCAGCCTAAATATTCCACAGCGCGACAGAAAAGTAGTAAAATAGCTAGTCGGCACAAGCTGGCGGCCATCTTGGATACAGTCGGGAATGTCCGCTACTGCCGTCGGGAACGCTCGGTAGCCTTTCCGGTTATAACCGGAGAGCTTTCGGTCGGGCTTCGGTAATCGTGACGCTACCGAGCGTTCCCGACGGCGGTAGCGGACATTCCCGACTATATCCAAGATGGCCGCCAGCTTGTGCCGACTAGCTATTTTACTACTTTTCTGTCGCGCTGTGGAATATTTAGGCTGATCTAAACATCGGCAACCCGGCCAATTGTGGAGTTATATTGTAGGGAAGCTCGGGACAGCAAAAAACCGGGTCAAAAACGGAGCATCGAGCAGCCAACGGGAAATGTGCAGTTCTGCCAATGGATCTTTCCACGACTCTTGCTGAGGGTAATGCAATGTAAGCCCGAATCAAGAGTCGCCACGGCTATAGCTAGCAGACCAACTCCCCTGGTATGTTATCCCTCTATTTGGCCATTTTCTACTCTTTCCTGCTGCCTACCAAAGCCTGGTAGAGGCTAACAATAAAGGAATACCCTAAATGATGCTCCTGCCAGTCAGTGTAGGGGATAAAAGAGCGGAAAATAACGGTTAATACCACATCAGTGTGCCAAAGGTTACATTAAACAATACTCTGGCAATTAAATGCACAAAGTGGACACTAGTAAATTCATACAGCAAAAAAAAAAAAACTTACAGTGTTTAAGGACTTTTACTTAGTAGTCAAATATGGCATTACAGTCATCAAGAAGCAGTCAGGATAACCGACATGTAACAACGATTCGCAATCCTTAGTCAAAATCACTTAGGAATCTGTATATACCTACACTGCTAGGATACTAAGTTACTACGCATATGAGTTATGGCGGCTGTGTCCTCCGCACCTATACCAAACTTTTCCCACCTGCAGTCGGGACGTTGACTGCCGCCTCACGCCCGCTGGAAGCCGCGCTGCTGCCTGTTCCCATCTTGACGTGTCCCTTAAGTTGTATGGCAGTTCATGATTCCGTTAAAATCTGAAGTTTGGAAGTAAAACTAAGTTCGCAGTGCAGAGACTTGGCGGTGACGTGCGACGCCACCTGTTGCCATGTTACTTTGTTCACCTTTGACCTTACCAAAGAAGGCAGCAGAATAAAGGAGCACTATTTATACCGATATTAAAGCTCAAATGCATTCTGTCACCCTCATACCTTTCTGAATATAAATTCAGGTATGCGGACACTACATTTTCATGCTGGAAACATAGCGTATGTAGAATGTTTGGGGGAGAAAATACCGAACATTAGTTCATGCGCGAAAACGCCCCCTTGCGACTGACGATGTACATGTACTTTCACCATGGTCTACTAGACTTTTATGATGCTGACGTTATGGCATCAAGACTTTGTTCGTAACGTACGAAAACATACGTCACAGTTACATCCGACCAACCTTGTATGAACTAAATTCAACTTATACTAAGGTTTTGAGTGAAGGAGCCTCCCAAACTCACTGTAAACAAGAGTTCCACGATCTCATACCTTCGCCAAATGATGTTAACCTTTGCGGTTGAAGAATCATACAATTTTAATCATTGATTTTGAAAATAAGAGCCTCATTAGCATGGATTATATCAGTTGATCATATTTTCCACCCAATGACAACCTTATCTTCACAAAAAGGCTATTATAGCACTTTCTCATAAATTATGCAAATGAGGTAATGATTTGAATAAATTATGTTTATTGATGTTCGCCTTCACTTAACTTCCAAATGTGGCAAGTATGAAATTCCCAGAAGTTACAACTATGAAATTATAAAATATTTCCATTAATTATGCAAATTAGGTCTTCATTTACATAATCTATATCCTCAGATGTTTTTTTCGTTCTCTATTACATGTCACACGTGTTTCATAGTACTATTATCGAACAAAGCAGATTTATAGAATTTCCTCATTAATTATGCAAATTAGCTCCTGATTTGCATAATTATCATTTGATTGTGTCAAGCGTCACTTCAGCTACCTACATACCAAAAATCATGACAATCCGTCCACCGGTTCTTGAGTTATCATCCTTCGAAAATTTTTCAACAAATGCTCCTGCAGTTCCAGAACAAGGCGCTAGGGGGGCCAAACTTATGTCACTTTTTCCCTACCCCAAGAGCTATCTACCAACCAAAATTTGTGACCCTGACATGTCCAGATTACGAGATATCAAAACCGGAAGTTGTGCTGCAGTACCAACAAAAGCCGCCAGGGGGCCCAAAATCTAATCATTTCTAGGTCTTATCAAGACCTACCCACCTACCAAGTTTTATGACAATGCATACTAAGCTTCTTGAGTTATGCTGTTCACAGACGGACAAACGCTACTGAAAACATAACCTTCTTGGCGAAGGTATGACGTCATGTGGGAGGCAGTGACGTAATATGTTTGTGAGACCAGGCACCACTAGTCGATCGGTATGATAAAACAAACAGGTGTCATCGGAACAAACTATAACTATTAACGGAACGACGTGCCTTTAAATGTAGGAAAATGAGCATATGTCGCACAAACATGGTATTATTTGTAAACTTACACACGAAACCCCTTCAATATGGACACATAATCATGAGTTTAAAAAAGTGACATTGCGAATGGTATAAACGTTATACACCCCTCCCTCTAGTGGTTCCTCCCAGCCATGCGAAAGTCACGACATACACACAGGTTGATAGTATCATACTAGCGATGTCAGTGTTGTGTTCAGTGGAGTCATTCCCGTAGCACACATTCTGTGTAGTAGAACTGCCTGGCTCCTCATTACTGGTGAGTCTAATGCGCTAAGTTTGAACCCTGATATGCAGATGGCATGATGTGTTACGAGATATATACTGTAGTATAAGTTAGAACCTTCCAAGACTGATTTCATTGGGATCGAGACTATGTCACTTCGGTCGGTCTGATCTTAACTTGATCAAGTTGATTTGAGGCGCCGCAGTTCAGCTTGTCTTTTTGAAGAAATGTCACTGTTAGTGTTTGAACGTCCGAGTATACGACAAAACATAAAACTTGCAGATCATGGTGCATGTACAATAGTCACTATTGTACATGCACCATGCTAGTTTTGAGGACTGGTTAGACGGCTCTCCCGACCCTATAAACCGTGCCCTATGCCTGAAGGGAGAACGTGTGTAGCAACAATTACAAGTCTTCTACAAGGCCTTGAGTAGTATCCAACGCATTAACTGATTTTTCAACTCAAACAACGTTTCTATTAATTCCCCCTTACTTACTTTTACCAATTGACAAGTATTTCAATGTAATTGCAGGTTTTCTTGCACAAGTAATTCGAACGAGAGAAAAATAAACATGCTGGCTGAAATCCAAAACATTTATGAACGAAAGATATTTAAACTTATATGTGACTCAGAACTTGTCTTATCTATTGATCAGCCCATCCCCATACTTGAGTGTGTGTTTCTGTACGGTTTCACAGGATACCACTGGAGAAACTGCCCGATGAAGCACGTCAGTATCGCGCTGTTGTTAGTCTGTTGTGTGGCGGTAACACACGGAGGTTGGAAGTCATGGCTGGCGAAGGCGGCACGGAACAAGATGGCCCAGGACCTGTCGGGCGGAGCCGTGTGTAACTGGTGCTTCCTGTGTGGGGAGGGCTCCATCCAACAGTACAGCAAATACAGGTGTGAAAATGTGAGATGTATAGAGATTGTTTTAAAGGTATCAAAGGAAATTTTTGATAGGACGAAAAACTAGATTTACAGTTGAATCAACCCCCATGACATACTGATATCTGTGAGGCAAAAATGCGATGTTACCGACGGGAAACGGTTACTTGTTTTGTATCGTAGGCTGGTTCTTGCTATTTATGGGCAAGTCCCTATAGAATAAAGGGACTTCTTTCGTGGATTGTTTTGGGGCTATTTCAAAAGCTTCAGGCATAAAATAATGACGAAAATGTGCTAAGAAATGGCAGAAAAATATCAGACAGATTTCGTGTTATGCATATGGCACCCTAAAATTGCATCGGATGCCATTAACTTTAAATAAGAGGGTAAATACAAGTATAACATTTTTGCACTGAAGACAGAATATGATTTCACACATGAATTTTGTTTTTAATCTGTGGACAGGTTGTCGCGACAGATTTGCCAAATGTGCGGAGAGGACTGTGGCTCACAATCATCATCATCATCATCGCTAGTCCCGTCTACGGACGCCCCACTCTGTAACACCACTTGTGCACAAGGTAACTGATAACTGGGACGTTGGCGCTCGATAACATGGAACGATCCATCGCCGTGTAGGCTGCCTGAAATGTAATGCCTGAAATGTAATGTCTGGGACAATTTGACCTGATTCAGCAAAGCTAAGCAAACTATGCTAAAGTTGTCTAGTGACTATTGTTGCCCGACGGAGTGATTTTGAAAACGTCCGAAAAGGCACTGTTTTTTTTATACGTGATTTGCTATATACGCATATTTGTTAGATTTTCAATATACTCCTTTGGTGAGCTAGCATTTTATAGTGTTACCCTTTCTACCAATCGCAACGGACACTACACATCTCTACGGACACTATTACGTGGTAATTTATGATTTATTTATTTATCTGTTTATTCACAAAATATATCTAACAACAAGCTTCAAACTATTGTCTCATATACTTTTATTTGTATGTTATGTTTGTAAATTTTCAACACAATGCAATGACTATTTAGTTACAATGAAATAACGATGCAGGATGTAATTGTACATTGGTACACACTGATCTTAAGCTTGGAAGAGCCGTATCCTTGGCGGAGTGTCTAGGAGGGAATTCGAACGCATCACAGCGAAATAAAACAGCAGGCGTTCAGGGGATGGCATCCTAGGGATGGTGGCATGAACTTCTACGTTTGACCAGAAAATAAGTAAATAAGCGCCCACCGCCCCAAAAAGCCGATGACTCCCGGAACGCCTGCAAATAAAGGAGGCTAGTGTTAATTAACCACGAGTCCACCCGTTTACCACAGAACTGCTGGATTTCCCGGCTATGAACGCCACCATGTCAGCCATGATGGGTGAGATGACGGACCCTGCCGAGATGGGGATGGATGACGTCATGGAACATCTACAGGAACTGGAGGATCTCGGTAGGTTCAGGCCCTGCATGCGCCTTTGAAATGTTCTATAAGGCTTGGGCAAGCTATTTTTATTTGACCGTAATTCGTATGGAAAGTTTTTTTTCTAATCCTCATAACCTCATAACGAGATGGACATACATGAATGTTGCGTAATTGACTTCCTGAATTTAGCGTAACGCGGGCTGGGCTCCAGAATGGAACGCCTAGTTCAAGAGGCCTAAGAAGAAAGAAATCCTCTTCTTATTTACCATAAAAGACGAGATCTGAGACTAAATTTAAGTTTAGTTAGAATCTGAACAAAGAAATCCCGAGTGGCAATCATTTCGACTCTACCGAATTCAGGATGAATTCTGAGACAAAGCTTAAGCTAAAGTATTGCATTGAATTAATTGCCGGACTTCAAAGGGACCTAGAATAAAAGCAGGTGTACAAAACGTGTCGTTCCGTCCGTCCGTAGAGCCGACGTGCGGTGCGCAGACCCTCCACTGGCGGCTGACGGGGCCGCGTGTCATGTTGGAGTACAGCGGCGGAGACCAGAGGATGACGCTGGGGTTTTCGGATGAAACTCTGGACGGCCTACTGGAGGACCCCGACTTTACAGGTTTGGGATTTCAAAGCGCAGGACGTTCTGTGAATAGCTAGCTTATCCAACATAGCTGCACATGGGATCTGCATGGCTGGTGTGCGTGTATCCTGTGTACATGTGTGCACCCGTGCTTCCTTCCTCTCACTGCTAGCATGCTGCATCAGTAGTTTTTAGACAAAATATTGTACGTCACAACAAAACTGAAAACAAGTAAGATATATAACAGTTATACAACGGAAGAAAGTTACAGAATATGATACAAAAATCATTGTCTACGATATCGATACTTTTGATGAACTTCCAAGAGATAGTTTTCTGGTACATCCTAACTCTGGTTTCTGGTACATCCTTTATCAGGCTTCAGAAGCGGCTGAAAGAGCAGAAATTGGTCAGATATAAACATGCCGGGGGAGCTAGTCCGCGAAGGAGTACGTTTGCCGCCTTCCGAACCAACTCCCCTGGTATGTTATTTGTCCGAGTATTTGGCCAATTTCTACTCTTTCAGACGCATCCGAAGCCTGGTACCTAACCCCCACTTCCCGTCACAGATGAGTGTCCCAAGCTGATGTCCAAGATGGCTGACTGTGGCGCGATGGAGGAGGTTGCTGCGCAGTTCCCGTCCATGATGTCGGACATGATGTCAGACATGGTGCCCGACTGTCACGTCATGGTCAACAACTTCACCTGTACAGACGACATGCAACTCACACAGGCGGGCGATACCATGATGGCGATGGGGGAGAACTGGGCCATAAAAAACTACCCCTGCACGCTGGAGTACACTCCTGTTGTGAGGAGGGGGTATTGGCGGTGGATCATCGTCAACGGGAGACCGCTAAGGGTGAAAATACAGATCAGATTTGCTTGAAAACACATTTACTGCAAAGAAACACCATTTTTCCATCATACGATGTACCAATACGTCACCACAGACCCTGTGTCAGCCCGTGTTAAAACTTTGCTTTGGATGACACAGTTCTCTTTCGTCATCTAGTCTGTAACTTCTCTGATAAAATTACCTTCTCCCATTCACCCAAAACAATGTACGGAATGGCACTTTAAAGTAGGAAACAATCTTGTTTATTGTCACACTGAAGGGTAAACGTGAATGTGAAGTACAACACAGAACTGCCACCTAGCGGTAGAGAACATTCTTACAACCAAAAACCACATCTTCAAGAACCTCATGTAGGCTTCCCATCTTTTCTGGTGTGAAAATATGGCTGTGTTATCTTTTTTGAGAGTAATTATAGATGTATTACAGATTGATAGAGTAGCACACATTTTGCTACAGAAACAAATATCTTAGGGGATACCCTTTCCATATCCAATGCTATGTACAAATCATGGGCTGGTATAAAACTCAGGAATACATGTAGCTTCTTTGAAAACCAATGGTATTAGTCTAGTCCTTGTAGACAAAATCCATGATTAGTGTATCTTCTTTACAATGCACATCTGGAACAAAACAGTCTATCTACAAATTGTGACTCAAAGAAAATTCTGTTCAAACTCTCAACTAGCTGCACCATACTGTTAACATCAACACAATCCCTACAAAATGAAACACATTCAACAACACTAAGTCTTGCCATCGAGACTGTAACTGTGACATAAAAAGTCTTCAGGATATATTCTACAGTAGAAAATCACTCAAGATAGAATTTGCACTATCTACATGTGAAACTGTTGTTAACACATAGCTGGTAATGATTGGGTGGCATGCTATGTATGCCAGTTGGTTTTTATTTTAAGCCTATGTTCCGGAGTAGTTCAGAAATGCTAAACAGATATTTGCATTTTGACACAGAGAATTGGTTGCTTACAGGGTCTAAGCCAATAAATGTACCAAGGCAGATTCTTTCCTATGTCCTCTCCAACTGTAGTACTATAGTAACTTTGTCATCAATAGTTTGAAGCTATAAGGTGTACATGTATGTATTTGACCTTTGGTAGAAAGGGATTGTATACAATGTACTAGATTTGTTGTTCACTTATAAAGCATAGTCTAAGTCTAAGTAAGTATAAAGTATAGAGTTATACTTAAACTCATGTATAAAAGCAATGCTGTTGTATTGAAAAAATAAATAAATAAAGCATCTGTATGTAAAGATACAGTATGACAATCTTTTAACTAATAACCAAGGAAACATGCAAAAAAATAATAAACCTTAGTACTGCAACAATACACTCTGGCAACTTCATACACGATACTACATGTATGTACATATATCAAAGAAGTAGTAAACTTTTGCTACAATCCACCACAAATGTTAATATATACATACATATCACAAACTACCTCACAGTAAACTTAACTCAGATTATGTACATCTGTCATCAAATTGTCATCCCGGAGATACTAATGGCAAGAGAATGCTCTGCCTTTTTTCTGGACTAGCTAGCTGCATGTCTGGCATCAGTGTAGTCATCTTCTTGTTGATGACAACACAACTCAGTACAAAAAGCAGGAATGATTCAATAGTTGCAATGTTGTTGCAACATTGTAGCCACCCATGCTCTCTTTTTAATGCAAACACTACACAATTGTAATTGAGATTTCAAGCACATAACTTCGAAACAGCAAATACACATCACATTGGCATATACAAAACTACTAATATACTACTGTATAGTACAATACGAAACTTAGCAAATCTGTAACTGTTAAGACTGACCCTATTTTCAAGTGTGTAAACCATCTTCTACAAACAGTCATTACCATATTTTATCTAAAACTTGTTACTGTGGTTTCAGGGCCATCATGAATGTGGGGAAAAGCCCAATGTCTCAACACATCACACAAAGCTTCTTAACTCCTTAAGTAACTAAGATGATCAAAGAGATCCTCCACACAACTATGGATGCATTGTAGCATCATCATTTCAGTCTTGAACCTGATCACTAATCTCCAAGCAGATCCTAGGGTGGCAAAAAGACAGTATGAAATTGGCCAGGCAGTATCCATTGGCCAGAGAGGGTCCATGCGCAACCCAAGGTGGTGAGCGTAGTGACACAAAAAAAGGGCCATACATGTATATAAAAAGGTAACAATCTTCCCCCATCAACTTGGAGAGTACCTGATCATTGCATGCTCAAAACACTAACTGTCGAGTGTTGTTAATTACATTTCTTCAAATTTAACAACAGGTTCATAGATTTTTCAGGAGTAAATACTAATGCTACAGATCCCTCTCACTGGTCAGTTTACTAGTAAAAGAGTTCCCGTTAGTTGCTGATGCATGGTAGAGATCTTCCTTAAAAAGTTTCTGTAGTGAAACATAAACACACAACAACTTCATGTTCACACTTGTCTTCTGATAACATAATACACACACACACACTGCAACAAAGCTACTTTTTGTACCATCTCATATTCAAACTGTACCTCATGGGGTGAATACAAGTCTTTACACAGATGTCTAGTACTGTTAGGGAAAAATATATATCTTGGCTATTCACACATCTTCTTGAACTTTTGGTTACAACATGTCAGGATTACATTTCATTTGTTGTTAAACATAACCTTTTTTTGCTACCTATGCCACTTTACTGTTATCAGGCCACAAGCTGGCAACTCTGGACTTTCTATAAGGGTCCCTTTTACACTACTCATTTCATGCATGGACAAATTTTGCTACATCATACGGGAAACAACACAATGTATACACCTGCCTGAAAGTAATCACATATGCAAGAAAAGATATTCTTTTCCCTACCTTTAGCATACTGGTATTTTCTTGATCAACTTATATGGAAATCTAAATATTTTTAACAACCAATGAAAATACCGTACAGTAGAACCAATGAAAACAGAAGTACTAAGCCCTAGATTTATTAGTACAGAAGACAAAAACTTCTGTCTAGTTTCAGCTCCGACTGTCTGTCTGCAACAAAAGCTGGGTGTTCTGAGCCTTAGTTGTTGTTGTCCGTGTCTTGCAGTAGGTTGTCAGCTTCAGGACAGTCCCAGGTGTTCCTGTTGGCCCTGTCCATGCCTGTGTCTGTACTGTGGAATGTTCCTGCAGAGTTCCCGGCAGACCCAACATTCCTGTCCTCAGTCCGCTCCGCCTCTGGAATGCTGTCCTGATGAATCCTGTACTTCTGGGGAAGTTCTTCTTCTTCTTCTTCATCACTGTCCTGGAGATCAGCGGGTAATTCTTCTTCGTCGATTCTTGCCTCGTCTGCGTACAAATCGTCGTCCTCTACGTGGCCCAAGCCAAAGATATCCTCACCACCTACGTTACCATCGTCTGCGGGAAGGTTGCCTTCTCCCTTGTTGTTCAGCAGACCTTCATCAGCCTGGACGTTGTCATCCTCCTCGGCATTCTGGTTACCATCAGGAGCGGCCCGATCCTGCTCGATCATCGAGTCAATGGCGTCTTCCTCGCTGTCCCAGACCTCCTGACGGTTGAATTCCTGCAGGACCTCCTCGGCGAGCTTGGGCCCGACGTTGCCGTCCTCGGCGCCCTCCAGCACGATGTTCTCCTCCCCAAGGTAGTCCTGCACGGCCTCCTGGATCTCCTCCAGCTCCTTGGCAGAGAGCTCGCCGGTGAAGTCCCAGCTCTCGTTCACCGAGGACTGCTCCGAGTCAGGGTCGTACTGCACCTCCATGCTGCGGATGGACTCCTCGTACTCGTACTCGGACCCCCTCCTGTCCACGCGCAGCGAGCCCGAGTACTTGTCGTAGTTATCCGGGTCATCCTCATCGCAAGCCCCAGCCTGGTCGCTCTCCGGCTGGGTGAAGCTGAACTCGATCCCGTGTCCGCGTCGTTTTCTCAGCTCCGTCTCCAGGGAGGCGTGAACGTTCTCCACCTGAACCTGCTCTGTGACGTCGCCCCCCTCCCCACCCGGTGGTTTGTCCGGGCCCCCCTCCCCACTGCCGTCTTCCTCAGGCAGGTCGTTCAACTCCTGGTCTGACAGGTACTTCTCCTGGTAACGTACCATCTCCTCCTGTTGTACATATAAAACAGTTCACATGGTAAGAACTAAAAGCAGCTTCTTCAACATGAGATATTTTTCTTGAGATTTTTTTCTTCTGAATAGGAACTAACCTATTGGTTATGAAGACCACTGACAAATGAAAATTCTGTACTAACCAATCAAACAATCAATAAGTCAATCAATCAATCCGTTAGTCAATCAATCAATTCCTTAGTTACTTTCCCTGCAAGAAATCCAATAGTTACTCTAACGACCAGAAAAGGAAAATCTTTTCCACAGTCTACCTGTTTAATTGCTTCAGACAAATTTGGTAGGATAATAAAACAATTTTGCACAAAGAAAATAGGCAAACTATTCGTTAGAATTTTACCTGGAGCTTCCCAGACACGTCTCCCATCTTCTCCATCATCATGTTCATCAGGCGCTCCGTCTCATGCAGCCGCATCTCCAGCTGACGCAGCTCCAGCTCACCTGCAATGACAATCACAGGTGTTGCTGCTTTGTGCTTCACCATTCACAGATCCTGTTATGTATCAACTGACCAATCACAGGTGTTGCTGCTTTGAGCTTAACCAATCACAGATCCTGTTATGTATTACCTACCCAATCACAGGTGTTGCTGCTTTGAGCTTCACCAATCACAGATCCTGTTATGTATCATCTGACCAATCACAGTTGTTGCTGCTATGAGCTTAACCAATCACAGATCCTGTTATGTATCACCTACCCAATCACAGGTGATGCTGCTTTGAGCTTAACCAATCACAGATCAAAGATCTGCACATTTGCCACTATGAACCGTACATCCAAACTTCAGTCACAAAGTCTTGCAGAATATTCAGGAATATAAGTTAACAGAGTGAACTGTTGATTGGAGCAACAATCCAAAGAGCCCTCCTTACTTATAGTGGTCCCCCTGTCTATCCCCTCCATGGGGTTAGCCCTCCTCTGCAGGGGGTCTCCCTGACTCAGGCGGTTCAGGAGGTTGGCTTCGTTGGCTTCGTCTGCGTCTCGGAAGCCGCGGTCCCGCCAGTTGTCTGCCTGTGGTCTTGGAGATGGCTCGTTCTTTTTCTTAAGGAATATCTGTGTAGTGTGTACAGAAATGCCGAAGTAAACATGTTTGGTCACTTTGGTCCTATACACAAAGTCATGTACAGTACATGTGATGGTATATTAAAGTGACCATTCTAGAGCTTCCAAAGTTTCTGTATCTTATAGCTTGTATCAAAGCAAGTCAGGAAGCTAAAGATAACAGATGTTGTGTAGAGGGCAGATATCACCACTATGTTTGGACATTGAAGGCTATAAGTTACATACACTGAAACAAGGAATGTCACAAGGGTCTGCCTCCAAAATATACAAAGAAAAGGGTGTTGACAATCTTAAACTCCCAGAAAAGCTGACAACAGTAAACAGACACTACCTTTGACCTCAATTTCTCATTATATTCTCTGCACATGCAAGACCTAACCACATTACGCCTGCAAAAACTAAGTGAAACGAACAAAACTTGACCAAAATAGGAAAGTTTAGACCCCACCTGTTCCTTCTAGACTAAAAGTCTTCAAACTGGATCAAAATTAACAAGAAAAAGAAGGATTTTCATAGACATCAACTAGGGTCTAGTCTTGCGTTCCCATTTTGGGGGCTTCACTGTGCAACGCAATGGTGACATCAGCCCTACAAACACACTCCATGCTGACTTTTGCTGTCACCAATACAACTACAGTAACATGTATACGTGTAAGGCACATGGAACAAATTACAATCAGGGCGAAGATCAAAGAAGCTAACAAAGAGAAAAAGTCCTACCTTATAGATAACGTAGACAAAATAGATGAGTATCCCCACGGTGTACATGGGCAGGGCCACACCGATCCAGCCCCGCCCCTGGGTCTGGGGAGCCGACGCCTCACTGCCGCTCGCTCGCATCATCCGCTTCTCGTTGTACGCCTCCTGGCCGAACCCCGGGCGCGTTATCGGGTCCAGGCCGGCTCTGGGACCTCCGCCATCTGTGGAGAGACAGGGTGGGACTTCTTGGATTTTTGTGTATTGGATTTTTGTCATATCAGCTTTCTAAAATAACAGGGATGCAGATAAAAAGCAGGGAAGGAAATATTTTTTTCTGCACACTTGCAGTTGCACTGTTGCAGTTGAACATTACAACATTGAAAGTTACCTGCACAAGTATAATCTGAACCAGTCCATTCAGCATTTAGGAACCAAGGATTATACTAAAAACTGTTCAGAATCCATTGCCATTATCTCTTTCATACTAACTTCATAGGTGGTAACACAGTCAATGCAGCAAATAAAAACCCATCTACTAACACCTGTGCAGTTCCAATTTTACCTGCATTAGGCAGGTGGTATTTCTAGCCCTAAAAAGGGAATGATTTTTGCAGGGAATGACTCAGTACAGTCAAAATTCTACCTTCTTGAGTTACTAGTAGTACTAGTAACTCAAGAAGGTAGAATTTTGAGCATGTAAGGTAGGAAATCTCAAGGGTACTTTATGTACTTACATGTGCAGAAAGAAAATGTAATAAACACATTGACTGCTAATATATTCTCATTGCACAAAGTGAACAATATAGAAATAAACAGATAGCAACTCTGGAAATGCTCATGAAAAATTCAGAAAGCTATGCAAAGCATGTAATTAAGGACACTTGTAAAATCATATACATGTAGTCATCAATGTGCATCATTTGTGAGGTGGTAATTATTTACAGAACAACTAAAATAAAATGTTGCTGGGGTAATCAGACATGTGGTGACTGGTTCTTCTCTGGAAATAGAACATGTGGCAGGAAGGTATGAAGGACTACTCACCACTTACTAAAATTAATGTCCCATTTTACAAAGTTTTAACTTAAAAGAATGTCCATTTGAAATGCTGCTTTGGTACAGAGGTGGGTTTATCTTTCCCAGTTGAGCAGAACAAATGGACTAATTTAGGAATTATGGTCTACCTGACAACTGTTTCCCTCAGCAAAAGTGTGTCATGTGGAACATGAGATGGCAATAAGCCAGCATGAGGGGATGTAAGGGGAACATTACATGTTACTGCCTACAGTTTTATATCACTCCATTAGAGGTATTCCCTTTACAAAGAAGCACATTGGCAAAAGTGCGCACTGTGGGACGCAGGTTATATGCACTTTGGCAGAATTAAGGGCATATTGAAGTACATGTACATTGTATTTATGGACGACATTGTGTCTGTTAGCGTAGTTTTGAAATGTAGTTTTTGGTTGTGTAGGAAAAGAGATTGTTTGTAATTTGGTGGCAATGTTGCAGTTGCAGTTTGTCCTGCAGATAAATAAGATGACAGTGGAAAACCTCTTGTTGCCCTCCAATTGTGTATTTGATTTTGAAAAAGGTCTCCAGACAGCCCATACTGGCTGTTGGAAAGGCATGAGGACAGAACCCTTCACGGTCCACCTGTTCTATTCAGCCCCCCTGGTACATCCTTACGTTTGTTACCGTGTGGTCCTGGGAAGGGCTGGTTGGCGGTTGACGGTGCGGGAGCTTCGGGGATGAGGAACCTGGGCAGCACCATGGCGATACAGAGAACACACACGCACACCACGATGATGGTCTGTGTCCCCGTGATGCCCTGCTGGGGAACCGGCGCCGGCCGGTCGGGAACACGCTGGTATTCATGCTCGCCGAGTGCCATGGCTAGAGACCTAGAGATTCACCAACAGCACTGGGAAGGAATAGAAACAGGGAGTATTACCGACTATTGTAATTTGTATACACAGGGTTAAAAATTCATTTTTGGGAATTAGTGCACTGGTAATTGGGTGCACAAAAAATTTTTTGGTGCACCATATAAGATAAAGTAATTTCTAAAGAAAAGTACTATAACAATGATTTACCTGACACGAATGTTAAGAATATGCTGCAAACTATTACTATATTACATTTAACATCTTTACATACAAAACCTACATACATGAACCTACAAAAATATTTTGAGCTGATACATGTACAAATATGTTTAAAAATATAAATTTTACTTAATTCTAAAGAACATCATTCATTATCACACTGCAGCAAACGTAATACATGTACTAGTAGTAGCCCATGGTATCACAAGTAACCTTTTATGGTTTGATTTTGAATTCAACTTATTTGAGGAAGGAATCTAGTACTCAGTATATACACAGTCCCGAACCAAAGGTGATTCAGGACCTTAAGGAGCATACAAATGAATGAATCATGGCAGATAATCTCCAAGCAGATCCCTCTCGGTGGCAAAAAGACAGTATCAAATTGGCCAGGCAGTATCCTCTAGCCAGAGAAGGTCCGCGGCCACCGACGGGGATCAGGACAAAAAAAACGGCCATATATAAAAAGGTAACGATCATTCCCCACAACCTCTGCTTGGAGAGTAATGGCAGACAGTGTGGGCCTTAAATGTCTTGCTACTGACTTTAAAAAACATTTAATTGTTAAACTTTGTGATACTTTGATCTTCACCATGCAAAAAGATTCCATATCTTATGAACATACTTATTGGAGTTTAAAGTACTGTCATCTGGAAAACTGGTCATTCCTAAGTCACTTATTCAGTCCCATAGCTCTCCACCTCACCATTTTAAATGAATCATCAAAATCTGATGGTTTTACAAACGTGACAGGATGTACAAGAAATATTGATGGATGACACGGTATATAAAATCTCATTACTGACGAGATTATGGTATTAGTAGGACAAATTCTGCATAATGAAATGATATTCAATACCATACAAGTTCTACATGGCCAACGGTCCATATACATAGTAATGAAATCATTCTTCTACTTTGCACTTACGTAACTAATTTTTACCTGTGCTCAAATATTCAATGACTATGTCCAGGGCAACTTCAATCTTGATTTTAATCTGTCTGTCTCCTTTGACCACTTGCCATACAGTTACAGTACACATGATGGCCAAATTAGGCCATGATTTAATCCAGTCAGTGGCTTCCCCTGGGAACCCTCCATATCACTGGCATGATTTGTAATCTGTACAGTGGGTTCACCGTTCAGTCAGGGATGGGCAGACTGCCAGCCATCAATCATGTCAGGAGAGGGCCAGGCAAATGAGATAGACAGATATGAACACAGTCAAGTCACTTCTACTGGGTACTGTATAATGTACCCATTCAACCTCTTTGAAGTTGATGTACCATAGTTCCCTGGCAGGGTTGCACAGTTAATAATAGTGTTATACTCACTGTAGCTGAAAACAAAAAGGGGTTTTGTAAAGTAAGGCCCAATGGTAATGATAAGCAGTCATCCTCAACTGAGGTGAAGAAATATTTATGCTGCATGAGGCTTTTTCAAGTAGCTGACAGTGCAATGTGGCTTTACTATAGCTGGTGTTTTTATAGCAAAGCACACTGGGTCACCCATACTTTTCCTGAAGGCCGTGGAAAAAAATGTTGTGTTTCCTGTTTCTCGACCAACCCTAGCAAAAACTGCTGACCCTAGCCTTTTTTTTTGTGTGGATCCCTGTGCACAAGGGTGGGACATAAACTATTCGAGCTGATCAACCTTTTCTAGCTCCATGATCTGACACCTGAGTAATGAAACTTTTCAGTTTTCCAACTTAATGTTGTTTTGGAAGTGTTGAGCACAAACAGATATTTCCCTACCAAAGCAGGCTGGATTTAATACAACCTTAACCCTTGTCCTGCGGAGCCCATATATATATGGGTTGCACATACAGTACCATCTATATAGTGCCCTGTATATGTACGATTTGGGGGTGTTGCTCGTGCAACGCATCACACCGCAGCGAAACGCAACGAATGCGGAAGTAACTACGCCACCGCGGGCCAAAAAAAGTCAAGGGTCTGTGACCTGATTAAGACATAAAATTATTTGAAAATATTATGTAAAAATTGCCAGCAGGACAAGGGTTAATAGTCTTAAATGCATTACTGGAAGATGGCCAGGAATCTGCACGCTCTGAATCAGTCTGATTCTGTTGTTGGTCTTGTAAATGACTTGATTTGATTTGACTCTGCTACAAATCACATCCTTGGTTTGACTTAGAGTTTGATGAAAGGTTGTAATTTTCCTGCAAATATCAGCAGTACATATACAAATTATGTATTAGGATGCTTAGTAACTACACCTGTTTCCTGCACTGGTGCAGGTAACATCAAGTGGTATTTCGAGATCTGCATTACCATGTGCATTCTGAAACTTGCAAGTACTAGTATTAAATTCTTGGGAACTGTCTATGAAATTAGTACACTAAATTTTTGCTACCTCACTTTGAACTTCAAATACCAGCTTTCCCTGTGAATATGAATCACAGGAAATGTTGGTAGCCTGCCAATATCATTAACGTTAACGTTATATGTAAAAGGTCATGTTGGCTTTCACCAATTTACATGTAGCCTCATGTGATTCCAAGGACACAATCCCAAATTATAACAGCAGATGTATAGTAAGATGCCTGTTAAATATATTAGTTTTACTGTATCAGCCACAAGACAGGCTAGGATATTCTTGCAGCATGCTAAAAACATACATGTATCATACAGACATACATTAATTTGTACCAGCAACCATTCTAATAACATGGCTGGCATCTTGATAAAGTTATTTTGGCATACTGACCTAGAAATGTGTAAAAGGCATGATTCGTGCAACATGCACGATATTGACATTATTATGCATGCAGAACCTACGAAATATCTGTTAACAAACACGATGTTACCCTATAGTTGATAGAGAACATAAAGGCAGACCTGTAAATTTGTTCAACGAAATAAATTATTTTGGCCTACATAACATAATGCTACTTATAACTTAACTGTGGCCTGGAAGTTTGAAGTCACTGACTAGACAGGCATCTGTTGCACGTAGGACTTCCTTAGATTGTGACAAATATTAACGGTTATTAACTAGTTGTTCAACGTCCTCCCTGAGCCACCCTATCCATCTTTGCAAAACACATTCAAAACATGAACACCATAACATCGTGATTCTCACCAAAAATCTGCCCTCAAATCCACTCCCAGAACAAAAATGGCGGGCTGTAGGTTAGTGTGTAATTACTACGTCTGATCCCGCTAGCAAAAGTAAACAGGATATCTAGTTACCTGAGACAATAGCTCTCGATCACTCACATTTCTGGATGAAATGTTCCCAACCCTCTCCTTTCAAATAGCCATGATGGACGATTACATCTAATTCAAGAGAGGGTAGGTCCTTATTTATTACTAAAATATCCACCGTAATCACCTGAAAAAAGAGTAACGACACGTGACTAACACTGAAGTTATACATAGCTAATCTATCCTTAAAATCGATATCAATCACCATTTTGTTTAAAAAATTAAATTAATATATAATTTTGTTTGACCCCTTTGTGTAGGCAGCATTAGAATATTCCATTCCTGATTACCCTACTTTGTAGCATTTGACCGCATGTCGACCATCTATAAAATTGCCTACAGCTGACAATATTCATGCACAAACTTCCAAAATGTATACATGAATGCATAAAAACTGATATTTTATGTAGTGCATGAATTTGATCATTTGAATCATGTTTTTATGGTAACATTTGTCCAGATTGGTACATCACGCATGTTCTCGCGAGAGTTTCATGGAGACCCTTGGATTTCTCCCACGGAATCCCCTCCAGTCTTTCTCTTTTCCCCTCATCGAAAATGGCGGAGGCAGCACAGGTTAGAACCCTGCATTTATAGTCAGATGGCTCGAAATGGAGGAGGAAATTGTTATTTTCGCAATGAACGTCGATAAGATACGAACGAATAAAAATATTGGATGACAAAGGTGCCCCAAATCGGTCCCAGATTATTCGTTGATGTTAGTTCATTTCGTACACATGGCCAAGTGGGGAGGGGGGCACTCATACAGTACATCTGTGTTTCTGTCAGTGATTATAAGTGAATAGATAAATAAGTTTGCAAACTGACCAGGAAGACGTTTAGAAACTATAAGAGGCTCTAAATCTTAACCCAGTCCCTGATGTTCACCAAATCATCTATGTCAGACACCAAACCTTATGTTGAACACCCTAAAGAAAAAAAATCCTAGTGTACTCTTCTTAATATTTTCCTTAACTTAGTACTAGTACATGACATTCAGATGACATGAACGACCAAATCAATCCATCTAAGATCTGTTTCCAGTGGGCTTGACCCCAACAACCTAAGGGGTGTTTCTCCTTATCCAGAAAAGAACAAGAGATGCTTTAAGAAATAAGAAACTCTGAGCTAGACATCTGTCAGCCATCATCATTTATACATGTAGTATGCACTATTACACTCAACTCTATTCTTAACATGATTCATTGTGTTTCTCCTTAAAGACCGAGAGGGCTTTCCAGAAGCAGCCCACCATCTTCTTGAACAAGAAGAGGGTTCTGGGCAGCAAGATTAAGAAGAAGGACATGCGCTATGTCAGAAATGTCGGTCTGGGCTTCAAAACTCCCAGAGAGGTGAGAGGGTTTTTGCCATGTGCAGATTGAATGTATGTATGTATTGAGTGACACTTATATTGTCTCTGTTCTTCTCATCTGAACTGAACTGAACTTCCCATCATAAGTTTCGATGTCTGTTAGACCACACTTGAACTTCACAACTTCATGTTGTCCCATCCTCTTATGTCTTGAGGGTCAGGGACTGTAATTGCATCCAGCATCAGCCTCTTCAAATCCTTCTCTTTTCCATCTTTGACTACCCAATGCCATACTACTAGTAAGTCAATATGGTGTTAGTAAGTCAGTAAGTGACTGATGGACCAAGAGTTCGGAAGGATGATGTTGGGGAAAAGTGGAAGACAGAGGCTACCGGTATTGAGGCTAGCATGGAAATGTGGAAATAAAACTGCATATCCCGTCATTTTGATCGTCTCATCTGCTTTGCCAGTACCTTTTGTCACTCATTGCTGCAGTCAGGTCATGGCATTGCATCTTGGTTCTGGAGATCAAAAGTCTCCCACTGTCTAACATAAATCCTGTACTTTTGTTACCTAACCTGAGTATGCATGCCTCTGCCTCTAGACCTCCCTAGATTGCATCATCCTTGTCTTGTCTAACTTTTGTTTCCTTTTGGACTTCCCCAAAAATTTGTTTTCACCTATTTATCAATTAATAGTTTGTGCTTATAAACTTGCAATTCTCCTGCAGTCTATTAGTGTCACGAAAAGTAGTGGATGCGATCTGAAACGTCTGACCGTTTCCCAAATCATATCCAGTTGCTTGATTAACTGTTTTTTGGCGTATCTTATTACCTGGATGTCTAACCTTCACTGACGTAACCTGAGTATGACTTTTTTTTTGTTCTTCAGGCTATCGATGGGACGTACATTGACAAGAAGTGTCCGTTCACCGGCAACGTGTCGATCCGTGGGCGTATCCTGAGGGGCATCGTGGTGAAGCTGAAGATGCAGCGCACCTGTGTCATCCGCAGGGACTTCCTCCACTACGTCAAGAAGTACAACCGTTTTGAGAAGCGCCACAAGAACATCTCTGTGCATCTCTCCCCTGCCTTCAGGTGGGTCATTCAATTCATAGTTTCATTTTTCAAAATCAGTGCCAAACTGAACATTGCCACAACCAGAGAGCAAGCCAAGAGTAGTATTACACTTCCATGGGGGTGAAGTGATGTAGGACTCCAGACTGTCCTTTTGACTAGAGAAAAAAAAAAACTTGCACCAGCAAAAATCTAGGAACAACACCATGAAGGTAGATCTTTGTACTGAATGTTAGTTTGAAGAGTGGAAGTATCTTATTTTTATTCTAATGATCAGACAGCAAGAAAACAAATGTATAGTGATGATTTTCTAAAATTTCTAGGTGACTTCATTTTTGGCAGAATATGCTGCTGTCAGGAGGTCTGTGATAAAGCCTTCTACTGTAAAAAAATCTACAGTCAAACTTGCCCAAAATGACCATGTCTATAAGTCAGTTATCTGGCCATAACGGCCACTTTTCACATGGCCCAAATTCAGACTGCCTATGACAACTGTATCATTTCAAGTGTGTCGGTGAAAGAGGGTGGCTGTCTTATTCCTAGACAAGTTTGACTGTATCTCCTTGTTGAAGTTTCTAAAGCCTAGGAAAAAAATGTTGTGCTTACTCGTTACTGTTTCCCGACCGACCCTAGAAGACTGAAACAGGAAACACAACATTTTTTTTCCTAGGCCTAAACAAAGTACAAAACTGTGTGTGACAATGTTGATGATTATAGATACATATGTTTCATTGTTCATATTTGTAGCCATTGTGATGTGAGTAGTTGTTGATGCTAGTTTGTGTTGTTCCCAGGGATGTGGCGCTAGGTGACGTGGTGACTGTCGGAGAGTGTCGGCCACTCAGCAAGACCGTGCGGTTCAACGTCCTGAAGGTCACCAAGCGACAGGGCAGCCAGAAAAGTTTCGCCAAGTTCTAGATGAAAATTATGTCACAAATATAAAAAAAGAACCTCACAATTCCATTGCCTTTGTCTTTATTGTTTGACACTTATTTGCTTGTCTGTGTGGTGAGACTAGTTTGCAAGGCCTAAGAAGAGGTTATGGTACTTACTGACACTTTACAGGAAGATGGAAGAGTATGTCATTATGTACCTGGTGATGACTAACTTTTAACAAAGGCATTGAGGTTACCCCATTGATTAAAAAAAATTTTGTAACTAGCTAATATTGCATTAGCATGCCTATAATTGTTACCCAGTAAATCTCCATATACTGACGTATGCTATAAGCTAAACAACAAAACATCATTGATTGCAAATGTGTTGGACACAGTGCTTAGGCACATAAACTCTACATGTAAAAGAGTACATTGTATTGTACACAAGAAACTTGTGTCTACTGAAATTTGCCTGGAAGTAAATGTAGGAATGTTGTCATGTACAAAAATTGCAATATTTCACCTCCCCCATGTTTCGTCTGTGCAACATTAACCACTAATTTACCAGGGGGGTACATGTGTACATGTCAACATATCATGTTACAGTGATTAGTGACTTCAAAAGGTACAAAAACAAATCTGCATTAAAAAAAATTCTTTGGTGGTTTCCACTTAATGTCAAATGCATAGATGTACTACCTATTGGCATATCATCATCATGCCATTATCAATAAGGGCCATTCAGACAAGTGCATGGGTATAGCATCTTCACTTTTCCTTCTTGCGTTGAAGCTTCTTGATGGCAGCCTTGCGAACATTGTTGAGGAGTGACATGGCAAGGCTCATAGCCAGACGTTGAGGAAGCAGATCCAACAGCCAACCCTGTGTTGTATACAGACATGAGGTTAGGAGCAGGTTGAATTCATGCTTGATTGATATGAAGCATGGTGCGTTTTGCTATAGCTTTCCTCTGTAGCCAAGTACACCAAGCAGATCAGTGGCTGCAAGACAGTACAAGTATCGAATTGGCAAGGCCAGGCAGGGCAGTATTTATTTGGCTGGCATAAGGCCTAGGAAAAAAAGGTGTTTCCTGTTTCAGTCCTGAAAGAAGTAGGGCCTTTGGCGATCTCTAGTGATCCAACTTTACAGTACAGTTAAACACTGAGTAAAACTTACATGAGAATGAACATACATAAACTTACATGAATGTCAATGTTGGAAAACCGATTGTACAATGTTTCATCACTCAGGTGTCCTGGAGCTAGAAATAGTCTATTACATTGTAGCTTGAAAAATTTATGTCCCTTGCTGGGGCTACACAAAAAAGGCTGGGGTTGGCCGATTTTTCTAGGGTTGGTCGGGAAACAGGAAACACAGCATTTTTTCCCTAGGACTTATCGATATGAGCAGAAGGTTCTCCTCACCTCCAGGGCATGTAGGTAGTATCCGAACGTGTGATCTGCCAGTCCGACGGTGTTTAGGGCGCTGCGTACGTAGGACGTCGGAGTCGGCATCAAGGCGTTGGCCTTACGGATCCCGCTCAGCTTGGTGGCCACAAAGTGGGGAGTCACACTCTGGGAGATGGGGCAACATTTCATCAGGATGGTGTAATGATGCAAGAATTGCTAATTAAGAGATGTGCTAGTGAGCATGAAATTTTTTCTGTCATCTCAATTTTGTTTCACGTATGTCATGTTGTGCACAGAAGATGGATCTCTTGAAATCTTGAACTAACATTGAACTTAATATTGGGGTTGGTGGGAAATGTTTGTAAAAGTTCACCTGTATGATGATACCCTTGCTCCTGTATTCATGTGCCAGGCAGCGAGAGAAGTAGTCCACAAAGGCCTGGAAAAAAATGCAAAATGTATTTACAACTGCATAACTCAAACATTCAACTGATGCCATTTTAACAATAGTGGCTGTGTTGTTGAATGTGAAACAAAATCTTACTGGTAACCTGGTTAGACAAAGACATTTAACTTGAACATAATTTTTAAGAGAAACTAGCACATGTTTTTAAAGAAGGTTCAAAATGCATGTTTTGAGATGTTCCTTTTTATAAGATTCACATTTTTGTTTTCAAAACATACAGATAAAGAAATTGTACCTTGCTTGCAGAATAAAGAGACAGCAGTGGGGTAGGGCTAACTCCTGAAGCAGAGGAGATGTTCAAAATCACACCCTTCTTCCTGGAATGTACAATAGTAGTTTTCTTACATAAAATGTTGTGCATCATCGCAACCTTTGGAGCTGCCAAGTCGACATGTGCAACAAAGTTGTGGGAAGGTCTAAGGTTTATCCATTCATAATGTACCTGTTTCTGTTACAAGAACATGTATAGACAGGATGTAATAGCTTATCATTTGATGTGTACTGAATTCAATGCCTGTGCCGGGTACAGGCTGTGTGTACTAATGGAGTTGTACCTACATGTATATGTATGTCCGAAAACGGTACAACAAAATTTACCTCTCTTCCATGCTAGACAGCACAATCCTTGTCATCTGAAAATCAAAAATAGGAAAGAAAATGAACCTTTTTTAGCTAAAACATCAAAATCTAGATGTTGTTTGTCCACTTTGTTCCATTTTAATGGAACTATTTTAGAGGAGATTTTTTGCATGGTGTGAAGATTACTATGAGGCCAAGAGAAGAAATAACATGTATTAAGATAAGACTACCATACTGATACTGAGACACGTACCTTGACAACAGACAGAGCGTTGACATTGAGCATCATTTCATCAATCTGCAAGAAAAAAAGTATACAATTGAACAGACCTACCTGTATTTCAACAATATATCAGTTCTGACTAGTTTTAAAATCAAACAGCATGTGCCGGCTGGTCGTAAAAGGCACTTAGTACATTGTACAATATTAGCTTCATATTCCTGTGGTTAAGCAGCATTTTTTTTGTTTTTTTATTCGTTCGCACACACTTGTTTGGGGGTCTTCAGAGGATGTCATCCATAGAATTAAGTCAGTGTGGCCTTATGCTGAAAAAAGTGTCTGTACGTGTACTTACTTCTGCACCAGTGTTCCCATAGAAGTCAGGAAACTTGTATCCTACCCCAACATTGTTCACTGGTCAAGGCAGAAAGAATTCTGTTAGATTTGGACACCTTTGAAGTTTATCACTCCAAACTGTTTCCAAAAGTACAACATGTGCTTGACTAAATTACATGTAAGAAGTTACACAAGAGCTGTTTGTTCCTGTTGTTGTTTTAAGATAAAACTTCTAATGCCTACAACATGTTATAATGTTTGGTTTCTTTCAACCTGTGCTTTTGGAGTTATAGAGGTCCTCTTATCAACAAGATGGTACATGTGTGTGTACAAGATAATTCAAACAGTAAGTGATTCAGCAGAAGGTGGTAACAACTATATGTATGCCTGATTTACAAGCAAAAACCTGAAGTATAAAAACTGCATGCATGTGAGCATACAAAAACTGAGTACATAAAGAATGTTCACATTGTATACCAGCCCTTGAAGTAACATATGATCTGAATGTACATTCTTGAAGTACATGTACATCAAAGCAGGCCAATTTACATGCAGGAAAAAACTGACATATAGAGTTTACGTAAGCTTGCATGCATATACAAGTTTTTGTACGTCAGGCTTTTGCCTGCAATGTAAATTGTGTTGTACTTGTATTGTAGTGCATGAGGAGTGTTACTTACCCAGACAGGCAATGTCCAGTCCCTCCAACTGTAGACTGATGTTATCATAGATGTCTGCTGATGAGAAGTCTGCAACCACTATCTTAGTCTGGACACCAGCTTTGTCTTCTGTATAGGATACATACAAACATAAGTTCTGTAGTAATGTTCCTGTTGCTGACAGCACAGTTCAACATGACTTTGGGTCATTTTAACTTGAGAAGGGACAGAGAACTGTCTAAAAGCTTGTTGGTAATGTGTTTGGTTATATCATTTCAAATCCAGATACCATTTACCTTATGAGAAACTGTTCTACAACTCAAATAATTACCAAAATTTTTTACCAAATCACAGTACTGTTTTCAAAGCTTTTGGAGTTGGAGAAGAAGTTTCTCATAATATACTAGTATTTCATCAACTCAGATGAACTGTCATCATTTCCCGTCACAAATTTGAATTCTGTATTACATGTACGATGGCACCTTGATGGCACTAAGTACTGGCCGTGTAAAGGATTGCCTGTAAGAGCCTTAAAATGATGAGAACATGACTACTGCCCTCTCACCTATCTCTGCAGCTACAGCCTTCAGTTTGTCTTCTGATCGGCTGATCAGGACAAGATTTAATCCACGAGCTGCCAGCTGAGAAAAAATGCAATAAAAAAGTTGGATAAAAAGTTGCAGTATCAAAACAAAGAAGTTTTGACATCACTGATACATCATTCTGCATGTATTACTGATGAGTTAGTAAACTATATGTATATATTTTGAATCATGCACATTACATATAGACTTATACATAGACCTTTACTTATGCATACTCTGTAGACCTCTAAAAAGTATAGACTACTAAAAGGATTCAAAGTTAAATGTTAAATGTTTTTCCCCAAAAGAAAGCATTTTCTACCTCTTCTGCATAAGCCTTGCCAATGCCATCAGTGGAGCCTGTCACAACTAGAAAGCAAGAAAGAGAATTCAGGTGTGAGTTAATTTAGACTTTTGACAGATTGCACCAAACAAGCATGTACCAGGTACATGTAACTTCATTGAAAACATAAGAGTCAGTGCATACCAGTATCTCCCACATAATGTACCAATGCACCTTGGTGGTTGTCTATTACTTAATTTTGTTTTATGTGATAAATTTTGTACATCACCAAATCACAAAATTTGCATTGCAAGTTTTTTTCACCACCAGTGCTTATGTTATGCTTAATCCTTAATCGTATTCAATGAATTGCTTAATGAATTTTTTCCGTACGGCCCACGTTGCCTAACACATACGTTCCTGTTATTCATTACCATGGGAACAAAACTGGCGCGCTGCCCAGAGCTTAGGGTACAAAGATCAAATCCAACTCCAACAAAGCTTTGCCCCCCTCCCCATCACACACACTCTCTCTGTCCGTACCTGCCCAGTTTCCCAGGTTTTTGATGTTGACAGAAAGCCCCAGTGGTCCTGACAGCATGTACAGCCTGATGCCCTTCAGTAGGGACCACAGGAGTTTGAAGCCGATGTACGAAAGGGCGACAATCCCGACAGTTTCCAACATGCTGTCACCAAGGAGTGGCGCCATTTTCTTCTGTCGTGTCAAAGGTCATGAGGAGGGCGTGGCACATCGGGGCGCGGTTGCGCCACTCGCTAGTAGAGGAAAAGGAGAGGAAGCATTTGATAAAATGATAAGAAAAGATAATAGTAAAGGGGAGGAAAATGCACAAATATAATGTAACGTTATAAACCGTGAAAGGAAAAATAGAAACCTTTTCACACAACACCCCTTTATGCTCCTACTAGTATAATTGCTATAAAGGATCATATAAAAGTTCAGTTCAGTTCAGTTCATATCATAGTTCACGCTATAAAAAAGGAAAGAGAAAGGAAACCAGAAAAGAAGAACTGAAAATCAGTTTGAGATGATGATAGAAACAAAGGGAAAAAGTGTACATAAGTGAGAGACAGAGGGATAGAAAGAGCAAGAGACAGAGAGAGAGAGAGAGAGGGGGAGAGAGAGAGACAGAGAGTGAGACAGACAGACAGACAGAGAGACACTAACTTTTTCTTTAGAGGGTTTTCGGAAAAGGAAAAGTGAAACCAATCCGAGGTTTAAAAAAAATTAACTCATTGGTGAAACCATATAAACTTATTCCCCACATTGCTCATTCCCATAATCTGTGCAAAACCCTTTTCTTATGATGATGATTTCCTCATTGTGACAGTGAAACTCGGTTCAGTTGAGTTTATATGATGAGTAAAGTGTTAGTGTGTACAAGTATCTTGCTTGCTTGGATTGTGAAAGAAACGGGTAAAAGCGACTAGAAAGAGTAGAAATAGGCCAGATAGACTGATATGATACCAGGACCAACTCCCTGTTTCATTCTGTCTATCCAAGGAGTCTATCTGACCAATGACTCACCAATTTCTACTCTTTCCATCCGCTTCTCTCCAACGTGCTCTATTAAAAAGCCTGGCACCTGAATTGTCTTTTGTTCATTTGTATGTGGAGATAGATTTATTCACAACCACGAGGATTTCTCCTGCTAAAATCAATACAAAGAGACAATGACTAAAAGTAAACAAATCAATTTCCCGGTGTTATCGACTTTCCAAAGTCCCAACGGTGGTTTGGGTGCGACCGGAAGTTGACTGACTCACGTGACCCGAACGGTAATCTGACCCAACATGGCGGCTTTGGCCTGAGGCAACTCCTATTGGTGTCAAATTTGGTCCGAAAAAAGCCTGTATTCAGAGCCTTGCCTTAGCGGGAACAAAATCACAGCGTGAGAGGAACAGTCGCGGATTGTGCACCGAGATTTTGAGGTAGGTTCCGTGAGTAGTTTTGTTGTACGGGGGCGAATTCCAGACTTGAGTCCTGCGTCGGGAAGTTGCCGTGCAGTTTGATTGAAACTTCGCCAGGGAGGGCGGCCTGTTGAATGTCGCCGTCAGCCCGGCCCGCGCTGCTAGAGATGGGAAACAGACCGCTCCTTAGCATGTTTCCCTGATGTTTATCACCTCAAACTGTGTGTAGAACAACTGTGTATATATTCAAGCCCCCTGGTGACGAAATGTAGGATGTTTACGGGATAAAAGGCGATTTTGATTGTAGTTGATGGAGTAAAAATATTCGCCCAACTCTGTTATTGTGCTCACAAAGCTTCCGTCCTTACGCTATCCGGCGCTCTAGCTGAGTCACACATACTTCTGTCTGGGTTTCTGATGCTGGGAGGCATTCCCGGCCTCTCCAGGTCGCCAACATTAAACAACGCGTATGTAGAAGCCGCAAGTTCACGGTCGGACCCGGGATCGTTCCAATGTTGTGGTCTGGAACAACAATAAATCTTATATAAGGGACAAAGGTGAATGAACTTTTCTGAGATTTGCGAATGCCTTGTAAATAATATTTCGAGATTGGGCTATACATAATCTTGGTAAGATGCAACGATTTAAACGTTTTTTGTTTACTGTTTGCTTGTTGAATAATTTGCTCAAATAATTGTGCAAAAGACAGATGTTTTTGAGAAATGGATAAGCAATACCAAATGTGCTCATAACAACTGTTGTGAATTAACCCGTGTCACGGCTACATAATTTTGTGTACTTTGAATGCAGAACATAGTGGTCCATCCCTGAATAAGTCGTTCACAATTGGGTGAGGAAACACCTTGAGTGTGCCCTAATTACCTTCGCCAAGAAGGTTATGTTTTCAGTGGCGTTCGTGTATGTGTGTGTTTGTGTGTGTGTCTGTCTGTAAACACGATAACTTGAGAAGGCTTAAATGGATTGACCTCATATTTGGTAGGTGGGTGGGTCTTGATGAGACCTCGAAATGATTAGGTTTTGGGCCCCCTAGCGGCTTCTAATGGTACTGCAGCTGAACTTCCGGTTTTGATATCTCATGATCTGGACGTGTTAGGGTCACGAAATTTGGATGGTAGGTAGGTCTTGTGCTCGGGAAGAAGTAACGTAGGTTTGGGCCCCCTAGCAGCTTGCTCAGGAACTGCAGGGACATTTCTTTGAAAATATTCAAAACAGGATAACTCAAGAACCGGTGGACGGATCTTCATGATTTTTGGTATGTAGGTAGCTTATGTGACGCTTGATATGATTATGTGACAATTATGCAAATCTGGATGTAATTTGCATAATTAATGAGGAAATTCTATAAATCAGCTGCATTACATTATAGGACTATTCAATCTTGTGACATATGTAATTGAGAACGAGAGAAACACAGGCAGATATTAATTATGTAAATTAACACTTAATTTGCATAATTAATGAGAAAAAGTTATAATTCCATAATGGTTACTGCCTGGAATTTCATACTTGGGGTATTTAAAAGTTAAGTGAAGCTGAACATCATTAAACACAACTTATTCAAATAAGGACCTCATTTGCATAATTTATGAGGAAATGATAGAATGGCTTTCTTTGTTAAGATAAGGCTGTCTTTGATGGAGAATATGATCAACTGATATAATTCATGCAAATTAGGATGCTATTTGCATAATCAGGAGGAATCATCTTTGTCAGTCATAAAGATTAACATCATTTGGCGAAGGTATGAGATCGTGGGACTCTAGTTAGAATTTGAAACAATAATGAGCAGTCAAAAGTGTCAATTCTTGCAATTGATTGATGATGTAATTATAGTACACGTAACTGTTCCACACATTGTGAAAACCATGTAAAGAACTGAATGTTATTTATAGCAAAGTATGCAACAACAACAGATAACAATCTGTAAGTGAGCAGCTATTTTGCTGTTGTTTATTTTGTGGCCTTTTTTTGTAAACAGTTCTTGAAGCTGCATCAAACTGTTCATAACATATCAGTTGACAGAAAATAATCTGTTTTTTTGCCTTAGCCCAACCATTCACTTGATATTGTTTCCGTATGTTCAACTGACTGTACAGCTTTCAAATGTATAAAACATTGAATGACTCATACAATGTACTTGTAAGGTTGGATTTAGAAATTGCTTTTGATACTAGTAGTTTCAGCAACCTTGCATTCTTTTATGATAAAAATGTGCCAAGATGATTCACTCCAAATGAAGTCATCAATGAAACTTGCCAGCATGTTGTTTACATTCTAATCTACTAGAGTTGCTGTTGTGCGAAGCGCATTTGATCAGTGTTTGTATTACTGGCAAGTTTCTTTCTTATTCTTGAGTTCTTATTTCAAGATAAGTGGGTCCTTAGAATGAAGTGTCGTCCTCCAGTGTCTCTCAGTATTGATGGGATAATTGTGTAACCTGTGACCCCCATGCATAACAAACATTCTGCTGTATAAGCCAGGACAAAAACGAGGGCTTTGTCATCCCACTGACCCCTGTAAGGTGTCTTGTTCATCGTTGTAAACAAGATTTCAACCTGTTCTTGTGCGTGCCGCTCCGGTGGTTCTTGCAGAAGAGTTGAAGTGATGTGAAATCTTGTTCCCCTGGTCTGTGAAAAAGTGGGAAGCAGCATTCCTGTGCGGCTCATTGGCATTGGGAATTCTTCATTATGCGGGTCACTGGTGCTGGGAATGTCTTGGTAACCCAAGTAAGGACAGTCTACTTGTGGGATTTAAAACAAGGGGCTGTTTAGAAAAGGCACTAGCAGTGGGGGGCTCCAATTTGTCAGATGTACCTTTTATAACTAGTCATTAGTCATGTCAAGCTTATTTTGCTTCAATTTTTAGATCTTTTTAGGCAATAATTCTGCCTTAATGGTCATCATTTGTGCTCTCCCATGTCTTGTAACAAGTTGTGAGCCAGGCAGCTGTTTACTTTGAAACAGCTTGCTTTCCATTGTGGAGCTTTCGTCACATGTTTCAAACGATCAATGATCATTTTTAAGGAATAAACTAAGATCGATAAACAAGCAAATTATTGAACATCCTTACTATCAAAGTGTTAGTTGTCCCAGACTCCCAGTATATATATAACTGGTAAATATACTAGTATATATTTTAATGAAAGTCCTTCATGATTTTATTTTACATCTCTTTATGTTCTCGCATAAAGTACAGTCAGGTCATGGTAATAAAGTAGTTCTAGGCACAATGTTTCTGTATCAGATCCAGAAAAAGCTTTACCATCACTATAACTCTGGACTGGTGTTACGTTTTATGACCCTGTGTATATGACTGCCAGAAAAGCGTTATAGTCATAGAAAATTTTATAACTGTCCACCCAACATCTGTTTGGAGATTTAGCGGTTATATTATAGCCCTGATGCCAGGGGAAACAGGAAGAGTGTGAAGTATTCTGGGTACATGACCTTGTCTGACCTTGGGGTGTTTTGATGTTTGCTTGTCTCGCTTTAAGCATGTTTGTTTCCTGTCAGCCTCTCTTCAAGGGCTTTTTGTTGTAATAACATCAAAGTATGCACTCTCATAGCCAGGATGCCAGACTGGATACTTGTGCCCAGATTTTTCACGGCTTTCGTTGGATGTTAGGTCGATGCTGCATCAGAATTTTGCTTGTTTCTGATGATATCTTTTCCGACACATCATTTAAGAACTATAGACAGTATGTCTTCCTTAAATGCCTAAATACGACCTTGAACACAGGCTTTCTACATTATGGATTTTGCGTAGGCAATGTTCTGCCAACATGCAGTTCCACGAGTCCTGAAAATTTGATAGGATTACAAGTTATTCACTGTGTTAAAAAAAAGTTATTGTTGTCTAAGACTGTGCCACTTTTCCTCAATTCATCACTTTGATTTTTAAAAAATTATAGTTCACATTATATTCTTGTCAATTCATTAGAAGGGTATCAATATACTGAATGCCCCCTTGAACAACATAGGAGCCCCCTGTTCCAATCGCACCTTCGTGTATGTTACGCTCTTCTTTGATGACTTACTTAGTTGCCCTTTTACTTCTCACAACTTGGCGGCCCTTATTTAAAATCCAAGATAGGATTTCTCTATTGTGTTTACCAAATTTTGCATGTGAAAACACTACACACAAGAAGTGCAAATGCTTCTCTATCAGTATCACCATTGTCCGTGTTTGTAATGCTTAGCCTTCATCCTGTATACAGTTACAGTTATTTCAATATTGTACTGTACTGTTACTGTACTACTGTAAAAACATATTTCAGGGATTATTGTTCAGGTTATTCCTCATGGCATAACTACTTTGTAATTGTAGGAATCAAATGAAGTGAAGGAAGTATATTAAAACCTATTCCGGATGGCTTTTAGTTTTACTGTAATGATACGCAGCAGTCGACACCGAAGTGCTCTATTTTGTCAATACTTTTAATTAGCTTTTCTCCCTTAGAAGCGGTGAATATGGAGTTGTTTAGCATGGCTTGTACTTAAGCCTGTTTTGTGGAGGCTGGTCCCCAGCATTGTTGGAATTCTTAGCGGCTTTACTTTGGCGTCACTTTGTCCACAAGCCAAGAACAACACAGGGGGGCTTTACACATGTGTACATGTCCCTGATGTGGGAAGGGGGAGTGAGTTGGCTTGGGAGGGAACAAAAATTGGAACAGCAGAAGTTTCAGTGATACAGAAAAAGGCATGATGAAAGAATCATCAATGCGATATTTGTGAGTTATATGACTTGTTGTCGTGTACTGGGAGAGGACGCAGGAAGGGGATGTTTGTTGGCCGGGCTCGTGTGCGTACGTTGTCATGGTAACGGGGCATGTCCACACCTGGTCAAATGTACTTACCTGCACAGGCGGCCAGTCAGGTGTGGTGGATTAATCTCACCTCTTAACATACCTGTGGGCCACGCCAAAGCAAGCGTTTGGTTCCTGTCGCTATGAAACATTTATTAACCTGGGTGCGGAAAAACGTTGCATGTTTGGTCAACGTTACATCAGAATTTGCCTGATACAGACACAACATCTGAAAACTATAGATAATGATGTCATCCTTGAATATACAAATGAGACATCCTGCCAATGTCCTGTTCATGATACATTGCGGGTTTTGCGCAGATGCAGTACACTGTTGTATGTTCTGCCGACATGCTGGGACATAGGCCCTCATGAAGTAATTGTTCGGAAACAGTTGTATGTATGAACTTGTTCTACAATTCTGAAATATTATATTATTAGACTATGGAGAATTTAACTTTTGTAATGGGAAAAGAACAACAGAATTTCTGAAGGACAACGACTTATTTCAAGCACAATATATTCTTATTAATACAGTAGTATACATATGTGTATGTATACTACTGTATCTGTAGAAGTGAAAAGACTGAACATTGGAGGGCAAACAGGAGTTTCCCATGTTTTTGCCATGTAACCGATCACCCCACTGTGACAAAATGAATGTGTACCTGTAATGAATATGGCCATGAGTGAAGTTGTCAAGAAGAAATATGTCCTGGTCTGGTCTGGTAGACATTACATCACAGTGTACATAGACCTGATGTTGGCTTCTTACAACAGAGGTACGCTTTCTTACACTGGACCACAGGCCATTCTTCTTGCTTCTTGTATTGTTGTAAGTTCTTTTTACTACTTTTACTTATGTCTGGTGGTTTTCATTAGCCATAGGTATAGGCCTTGTATCTGTTCTAACTGTGCAATGCTATTACTATCCCTATAGCAGAATGTTGGAAGAACCTACTGCGCTTGCACGAAACCGGTAATGTATTCTCAATCTGCACAGCACTTTGGCATTTAAGGACGACATCCTGTTTATGTATGGATGTCAAATATTGTGTTGGAAAGGATATCTTCTGCAACGGGCAAAATTCTGATGCAAAGTTGACTAAATAACCAACAAAAACCATGAAAAATTTGAGTTTTGTGCAGGTGTAGTATGTTCTGCCAACGTGCTTATAATTTATGTATGTAAAAGGAGTGCACAAGGAAAGACTGCCAGATGTAACGTATTAGTTTTGATTATACAAGTCAATTTGTTGATATGAAAAGGTCTGTTTGACAACTGAGGGGGACATTTGCAAATTGCCAATCTGTCAGATTTTGACCTTTGTCATAACCGATAATACCTTAGGGGTATTCTGGAGTTAAGCTAATTTTTTGCAGTTTTCTATGTCTATGATATTGATAAATCTATTCCAAAATTTGTTTTCTACATGAAGGACATTAATTAAGTATCAATTTTATCAGTTTAAAAGAAACATTGTTATAAACTTGACTTGCAGATTTTGCATTCTGAGAGCATCCTCTGCTTCGTTGACCTTCACATCTACTTGAATAATTAAGTATTAATGACTTGAAGAAATCCATCGTTATGAACTTCACTTATGGATTTGTATTGAGAGCATCTACCGCTTTTTTAACCCTTCACATCTGCAAGTTTAATAAGAATGCAAGAGAGAGACTAGATCACAGGGTCAGCCTTGTTTACATAGACGTGTGTCAGCAAACTTGGCAACAAACAGAGGAAACATGTCAGCCTCTGTGCTTAGTGCAGGGCACCAGGAACCAGCTGGTAGGGTTTTCCTGTAAAAAAGGGGCCAAAAACTGGTGAGGGAGTCTGTAGTTTCAGTCGGGAATATTGTTCATGGTGTAATGACAATGCAGAAGCAAATATTGTCATGAGTATGATATGGTATGAATATGATACTACAAAATGTATGAATGAGTGGCTCTGTGTTGCAGGGTCCTTAATGCAAAACTGTGTTGGAATTGAGAATGCTGTTAGTGTTAGTGTTACAGTTGTACTTGCAAGAGGTAGGAGCCATAGTAGCCTGGATGTAAGTAACTAAGAGTACCAATCTTGTTTCCAGGGCCTAACACATCCCAGCTCTTCAATTCCAGGGAAAAAGTATTAGAGCCCAGAATACACAGCCTACCCCAACTACTATGCCCCAAACAGATTAGACTAGATACATGTACCAGCTACATGTAGGATGCTATGGGTCTGGTATCCAGGCTAGCACCATAGGAGATTCGGCATTGGCTAGTCAGCGAAAGGTAGCCAGGAATCCATCCGTGAATGCTGTGTCTCCACTCCGTTCCTCCGCTCTGCCTCTTCCTCTCAGAGACACAGCGTTCATGGATGGATTCCAGGCTAAGAAAAAGGAGGAGAGCAAAAGAAGCCCCCTGCCTACCATTTTAATTGGCCAGGTCTCTGTTCTGTCAGTTCTAATCTACCCTCTGGTCTTCAACCCTTACATCTGCTGGGTTCTAGGAATGAAGGAGGAGTGCCCAGATGCCACCTTATCAGGACCCCCCTGGTTCTTATAAACTAATCTGGAATAGTTAGTGGCTTGTTGATTGGTTCCAGTGATTTGACCCCTGACACAGACAGAAAAGAGGGTTCCAGTCAAGGCTAGGCCCCTCATGGTCTTCTGATCTTCCATGTAATTGACAAGTTGTAGGGGGGTGTAAAGAACCGCCAGGTAAGATGTTTACCATGTAACAGCTAGCGACAAAGTAATTTACCAGGTACATGTATATCCTAGTTTTAGCAACCTACATTTTGCTATTGAAGAAATAGTTTGAGGAGAGGACCAAAGCTAACAAGGTGGACTCCAGGCTAGTTTGGATCACAATCTTGGCCATTCAGAAATTTTTGTATTAATGAAAAGTAGACTGTACATGTAACCCAGTATATTGGTATAATATTATTTTGGTACGTTCAGCATTGTTTCTGCCTTGGACAGGTTCTGGACCTTTAGAGTTTGCACAGCTATTTAGTCTGTTACTGTTAGAATTGTAATCTATTGCACAACTGCATGAATGTCTTCTGGTACAACTTGTTGAAAACAGAGCATATAAACATGTACTTCATGTAATTCAAGTTACCTGATCATGAAATAGAGATTTTTGTGTCTGGAAGATACAAGGATGATTATGCGTACATGTATTTACATAGAGAATGTGAAAAGGAAACTGAGAGAGGGGGTTGCTAACATTTATCATGAGGTAGAGATCAGGTTAAAACAAGTTCAAGACTTGCAGATTGAGATGTATGTTTGATTGTGTCATCTGCACAGCCTTGGGGTAAGATGTAACAACCTCCAGCTGACTGAAGGGTGTTTATGGGAGTTTGTAGTCTCCACAAGGAGACACATGCATTTTGGCAAGGATTCATACTGAATGGTCCATCTCTAGATGGAAGTTTGAAAGAATTTTTTTCACTATGAAGGATTTGACGAAGGATTGTTTGACCAGACATTGGGTGGGTGGGTTGTTGTATGAGTTCACCTTTCGGTGGAAAAATCTTACCCCTAACCGCTTCTTTATCCTCTGATAGCAGGGAATGTCTAGAATGTCTGCTTGTCAGCTAGCGATAAGTTACCTCCTCAGTAACCCAGGGAAATTGGTACTCAGTGCAGCCGATAATCTTACTTAGTGGGAAGGAGCCATCGTTTCTGAGATAGTATCTTCTTAAGTAAGAGTCTTAAGGAATCTTGATGAGTTTGTACCACCCAGTAAGTTTCAGTATTGCCATAACATTTCTGTGGAGTGTACAGCTGTTATCTATCGATGAACTGTCACTGTCTATCCAGTCAGGGCTGGAAATACCACCTGCATGTGCAGGTTAGTTAGTGTAGGTAAAATTGGAGCTGTGCAGTTACATGTATTTCTGATGTCTACCTGCACCTAACCTGCACTGGTCCATGTACTGGGTATATGCAGGTTAGTGCAGGTAAAATTGGAGCTGTGCAGGTAGTATTCCCGATGTCTACCTGCACTAAAATCTAGGTGTATATATTTACAAATGTAGGTGTGTGTGGATTTTCTTTAGCTATATTGACTATCACCATTTATGAAGTGTAATTTAAAAAGAAACAATGGCAATGGTTTCCAGTTTCTGAATAATTTTTAGTATGATTCATACTTTCTATATTCTGAGAGGTGCAAGTAAAATTTGTGTACGATTGCATGTATGCAGAAAAAAAGCATTTCGAGTACCGACAATGGAAATTTTGTCTCTGTTCTCATGCCAAACTTCAGACTGACATGAGAGATTGCTTGGAATCCAGTCCTGGTGTTCACTGTGAAAATAATATTCCTATGGATTGAATATTGATCTGTTTTTGTCTGTTGTTTTATACAGGTTTGGCTTCTCCATTTTGATGAGTAGCTGGTAACTGGGACGTATCGGTGCCATGACAACCAACATCGCCTCCACGAACATGACGACCGACGCCAGCGAGATGCTCGCCGCCGCGCTGGAGCAAATGGACGGCATCATCGCCGGTAAGTGTGCATCCCTATTCTGCCATGGAACGGTCCTACCTTTTGCTGCACTCCTCCCATAAATGGATTGTTCCATTCCTGTTTCTGGGTATGTGTTTTGTACCAAAAATAGTTATTTTGATATAATCCCATAAATGTAGAAAAGTTAGTAGCAACTTGACTTGAGCAATGCTGACTGATTTCCTACCCAAAACCTGCATGGTACAGTCCTGTTTCATGCTTGTCAAGTACAGCAAGTGGAGCAAGCCATTGCTTGAAAGGGGTGATAGATTTTTAGCCATATATGAAGCTGGGATAGTGGCAGGTTGCCCTCCCTCCTCATGATGGCCTGTGGCTGCTTGATACAGAGAGGCATACTGGGAGCTAGTTTGCATGGTTTTCCTAGCGGTTGCATGGTGGCCTGCAGTACCTGCTTACGTCGCTAGGGCAGCGTGGTCGTGGTGGCGGGTAAGTATTGTGCCGTTTTGTCTCCTGTGAATCCACCTCCAGATTTTGTTGAAAAAGACCTAGCGAACGAGGAAAGCAAGCCACGGCCGGAAACAACACCATCACCCTCACCCAGCCCAGAGCCTTCCGACAAACCACAGGAAGAAACCCCCAAAGTTAACTTGTCCGAGCCCCTCGTGGAAAACAACAACAACACCTCCTCGGCCGGTGTTCCAGGTAGGGTGGCGTGGTATTGCTGTGCAGGTAATGCCTCTAACAGAACTCCCTCTGGTGGCTTCTCTCTCCAGCTGCTGTTGGGACTAGTCTATCAACACACACCCTCTAAATACAGCCCCAGTGTTTGTTTTGAACTTATGGAAGCCTTTTTACACTTAACTGTGGGTGGAGGGTAGTCTTACTACAAGGTATCACTGTGTCAGACCTGAGGATGGTCGTTTGTATTGACTCTGACAGGGGAAACTGCACCAAATGCATGCAGCCATTCATTCATTGACATATAAAGAAATGGAAGTCCCCCTGGCCCCTGCATATAGCCCTGGCCCACTGCCAGGAGATATCTGCCTGGATTGACTTACCACAATCCTCACAACAGCCTGGATTTACACACACCCAGTTCCAAGGTTTTTCTGACATCCTTTTTTGATATGACTATAATGAATGATGTTAAGGTTACTTGATTATTAGTAAATCTAAATACTGTAATATACATAGAATTTGTGAAGTTGCTTGCTTAGGTTAACAGATTTACATAATTTAGTAATTGCCGAAGTCAAATGTGAAAGATAGGCAACATAGACTGATACCATAGACTTGTACTGTTGTAGAATTGTAAATTGAATATTGTGTAAAGTTGTGTTATGTTTTAACATGATTAAGGCAGCAGCTGGAATTTTCATCAGTATTATTCAAATGTAATTTCTGTTACTGTGTATTTGGTACTGTATATTTTATTACCAGTATATTGACATTGACTGCTCCTGTTGTTTTTAGTGTACATGTGAGTGTGTTGACAGTCCTCCCATGTGAGTGTGACCAGAGAATTCACTGCTATTATATATGTGATGTGACTGTCTGACACTGTGACCAACTGTTTTGACACTGTAACCATCCCTTCAGAGGACTACATTCTCTGTAAAGTAAACTACCCCAGGATCAGGCTGACCCTGTAGGCTCCTGCCTGCTGATTAGGTCAACAGATGGTATCTCTGCCAGAAAGTTATCCTCAGGGCTCCAAAATAGCTTTTCGTGTGATGGTGACGTTCAACAAAAATCTAGCTGGGACTACAGATGTATCCCATTCAATGTAGTAGAAACATTGTGTCTGTGATGTACATTGTGTATAGATTTTTGTAATTGCATGTAGTAATAATAAAAGTTGAACTTGAAGTTAGGTAATCATAATTGTAGAATTGCAGAGAAATTGTACTTTGTGTATGCAGTGTTGCAATTGGTTGATGGTTCTGTTACAACTACACAGACATGCCAAAAGTTCATTTTGTGCCCTGCATGCACCCGTGGAGTTGGCCTATATACAAGTAGCTAGAAAAGTGACACGGTGTACTGCACTCAACTCTGGCACTGGATACAACCCGCAGCTACAGTGATTACTGGTGCAGAGTTCTCTGCTTTGTGATTAGGGCACAGAAATTACAGATTTTCATTCCGCTGGAAAGTCCCTGGCGTTGGCAGTGAAATTGCCTGCAGTCCCTCCAGTGTGCCAGTCTCATGTGTCCCTCTAGTCACCCCATAGAGCCTGTGTCTGTGATGACCCAGCTGTTTTATGTTGTATACATTTAGATATCCCTTTACATTCTAGTAGGAATATGTTTCACTTGAGCTTGGGTCACATATAAATGTGCGGTGGGTTATGTATTGACGGCGCTGACATAGCTCCGCTGTGTACGGTCCCCAGGTTCAAAGACGGAGTTCTTCAACGGCGTCATCGAGCCTCGGTCTCCGCAGTACACCGCCGAGCCGTCCAATGAGGTGCTGACGTTGTTGGACGGCGCCAAGTCGTTGTTGGAGACGATGGAAGAGAACGACCAGGACACGGTGATGTCACAACTTCCGGAAGGCACCAGAAATTACCTGACGCAGTGGTTACGGCCCAACAACTCGGAAACAAAGGTGGGTACTTTGTGTGTTTTTTAGTGTTTGGAGGTTGTAGAAAAAATACTAGTTTATAAGCACATCTGCATAATGAAATGCGCCTGCGTGAACCCTGTAATGTACTGTGCATAGTACTTCTGTAGCACAGCTTGTTTTAAGGCTATATTCGAAGGATGACATCCTGTCTATAGTTTAAATGTTGTGTCAGAAAAGATATTGTGTGCAACGAGCAAAATTCTGATGCAATGTTGGCCAAACGTCCAATTAAAATCCTGAAAAAAAAGGGTTTTGCACAGGCGTAGTAATTCTGTTGTCGTGCTGGGTTTGTCAGTAATCAGTTTGACATCATACATTTTGTAACTGTAACACCAAATTTCAGGTTCAACCTATAGCTACAGTAGTTTGGATTATCATGCAAAATTTCTGTGTCGAACTCCTTTTCTCGATTTTATCAAGTGTGATGCTAAACAGCTGCCACATGAAAAATTCTCTGAATCAATTTCTTGAAACATTTGATAGACAGTTTCAAAATGCCAGGTCTGTGCCTTGTTCTAAAGTTATCCAGACTGCCCCCCTCCCCCCTGGAAAAGCCTTTGCCCTGTGTGAGACATAAATCCTTCCCAGCATGGTAAAGGTCAATGTGTAGGTGGCACAGAGGAGAAACTTCTGCCTTGAAGACAGCTGGGCTTGATTTCTAATTTAATCAGATTGTGCTAGTCCATCTTCTGAGGTTCACTGAAAGCTGGAAATGTACTTTAGGGTTGTGTTTGGCCTTGGAGAGGCGACTTAGCAGCTTGCTGTAAAGTTAATCCTTATGAGCATTGGATTGCCATGTGGTCCTTTGATACAAACTGTGGTGAAGTTTGTATACCGTTACAAGAGACAGAAGTACAAGAGGGTCTGCTTGGGGTCATAGGGGACAGCATGTAACAGTAAATTTAGGAGTGCCAATTGTGCATGCTTAATGGTAAATTCACTTCAGGCAGGCCCACAACACTTAGTGGTAAATTGAGTTGTTCTCATGTAAGGCTTTGGGAATGACTTCATTAGAATATTCCTTTGTATCCATGAGGTTTCTGGTAAAACTAGTCTGGGGACCTTGGATGCTCCATTATGTGATTTTTGGGCAACAAGACATTGAACTATGCAGTACGAAGAACTTTTCTATAACGCTTAACGATGAATTCAGGACAACAAGTAATGTTCTACGTGGAATTTAAGCGAGTTTTAAGAGAATTTTAAGTGGCTGGCTGCAATTAACAATGAATTAAAATGGCTCTCTATGCCTCATGGTTAAAAGGCATGCAGACCCTTGGAAAATGGCATACAGACCCATGTTACTGACTATGTACACACACTGGAAGTGACTGAAGACCAGAGTTGTAGATCAGCTAGGAGAAGCCCTGGTCCTTATTCCCCATGACCCAGCACCCTCTCTCTCCCTGCCTCATAATTTCTAAGGTCATTCTTCCCCTGAGCTGTTGGACAGATGTATAGCAGATGATGTCTCTATTGTGTTGCACAGTGAAGGCCCCGAAATGGGAAAAGATTAGTCCTAGGCTAGTTAACATTTAAAAAAATTGAAGCCGTTCTTAGAGTTTGAACTGGTCAACCTTCTGTTTTCTTTGTATATTTGGGAGGCAGATCCTTGTGACTTTTTGGTGCAGAAGAATTTTTGAGGTTGAAATGTGGAAAAGTACTTTTATGTTGTTGTTTCTGCATATTTAACTAGTAAAGCCCTCATCAGTAACCAAACATATCTGCCCTGTAGTGCTACATGGAAGCTCCAGTCGTATTGGTCTAATTTGAACCCTGACGACTAGCAGATATTTTACTGTGCCATTTTTGGCAGGACTCTCCCACTGAAAGGCTTGCCATGGCTGGAAGGCCAAAGTCACCCGGCACCGTTACAGTCATGGAGGGTTCATTTATAGCTGGTCTATATATAGCCTGGCCTCCTATATTTGTTGATGATGTATTGGTGATGGTACAAACTGTCATCCATGTGTCCATGTATTGGCATGTACTGTAGTGGAATATCTGTGTTGTGACTTATCACAGGTGAAGAGAGTTGTAGGGGAATAGGAATCAGAACAGAAAAGTTCTCCATGGCAATTTACGAATATAACGTTATGTGTATAGAATATCATAAACAGTTCATCATCGATCATCATCATCTTGAAATATGATTGTAGAAATACTTGGTAGACCCTACTAAATATATACCTGTACATGTACTATGAATATGATGTAGTCTTCTCGAGTCTTACTTCAATATATGTTTGTAAAAATTGTATAAAGGATAGGAAGGAAAATGAATTGTGAGAAAAATTGGATATTCCTCACTCAGTTCTTGACACATTTCATTATTTTGCAGATTTTAAAAATTTATTTTGTACAAGTTTGATTATTTTGCATATTTTCTGGTTGGTTAGTTGCAAAGAGTACAATATGCTGTATGATAAAGGTGTAACTTTGTGACATTAAGGCTGTGTGAGATTTCTTATGAAAATCTTCCTGCCTCCACAGACGACCAATGGCCATGCCTATCCCAGCGACGGTTATGAAGAAAAAATCCAGAAGTTGGAAAATGACAAGGAGAGTCTCATTCTTCAGGTAGGAAAAGTCCTAGAATAATAGTACTGTAGCATACAGAAATGTAACAGAGAGAGCGTACTATTATATTACCATAACCTTTTTTAAAGCAAAAAAGGCTGGCATCCAGGATAACTGTATGCCACTGAACTTGGCAATGAACTGTCTGGGTTAAGTTACTTCTACCCAGACCTGGAAACTGTCCAATACATACACAGTCAAGGCATGATGCAATGTAAGCATTGTGCTTTCTTGTGCAACAGCCATCTTTCTCTGTGGACTATTTCAACATCACAGAAAAATTCCACTTCATAGTACATTAGGATATCACACAAAGTCATTTTCTTTAACTTTGATGCAGTGATGTATTTCATTCCTTTATATACGTGATGGTGGCTGTGTATATGTGATGTTCCCTCTGAATCAAAACTGTTTGTACAATGATTGGCAGTAAACCTAGCACAATATAGGTATCATTTCCTGCATTAACTAAAGTTTATGATGTCAAAATTTGAAAATGTAGGAATCTTGTTTTTTTGGCCCACCTTGTTTGCCCTATCGCATTAGATTTGGAATCTGCGGAGAATGTCATCCATAAAATTTACTTACTGTGGCCTTAAGTAATGTTTTACTGATCTGATGGTTGTGTCCCGTGTGTAGGTGAGTGTGCTGACAGATCAGGTGGAGGCTCAGGGAGAGAAGATCAGGGAGCTGGAAAATGGCATGGAGAGCCAGAAGGACCAACAGGCTGACACGGAGGAGATGCTGCAGCAGGTAAGCACAGGACATGGGTTCTAATCCCTGCTGCTGTTTACAAAGAAGTTACAGTATATTACGGAATTACTATACCAGGTCTTAAAATACATTTTCTGGATACCTGTGCTGGTGTAGGTAACATATTGAAAATTACCAGTCCTGCACCAGGCAAATTTTACTTGCACCACTCAGAATAGAGAAAGTAAGGACCACAGTCACTATAATAGTATAAACTGTTAATAAAGCATTGCCATTAACTATTTTACACTTCATAGCTGAAGTACATGAAGTTCATAGCTGGTAACCATAGTTTTGCGTCTCGTTACAAGCAGTGAAAAGTCAAGGCAAAGAAAAGAAAATATCCTAGTTTGCCAGAGTTTTCAGTGGAGTTGTTCTGTCCCCAACAGGAAATCCTGGCCAGAAGTTCCCTGGAGACCCAGAAGCTGGACCTGATGGCTGAGGTCTCCAACCTGAAGATCCAGATGGCTTCTCTGGACAAGGAACGCGCAGACCTGGAGGACAAGAACCAGACAGCACAGGTTAGAACCAGTCAGCACAGGTTAGAACCAGTCAGCACAGGTTAGAACCAGTCAGTGCAGGTTAGAACCAGTCGGGCTGGTCCAAGCCCTAACTGACCTGTTTGTAGTTGGAAATGAAGTCCAACTCTGTTTGGTGTATTCTTGTTTGAATGTTCTTTGTTGATGATTTTGAAGCAGGTCTGAAGGTTGACACTTTGTACTCTATTTTCTTCTTTGTGTTTTGTGTGAGTCCACCATGTGAACAGTAGTGTTCTGTCTTTGTCTCTAACCTCTCTGTTTACTGTCCTTTCTCACTGTATACAACTCTTAAATGTTGTATCTAGCTTTCCTTCTTTCTTTGTTTCAAGCTTGTGTTGAATTCAGGATGCAATACACAGTCTTAATTAAATTGGTCTCTTACCTGTGTTTTCCTGTCTTGGTATCCTACCTGTGTTTTTGGAACCAGTTCTTGTTCATGGAGTGCTATGAGCTCCGCACACGGGTGCTATGCCTGATGGAGGTTATGGAGCAGTGGGAAACTTCCCATCTCCCCTCAGAGGTCCTCTACGTTCTTATGCCATCTCTACATTTCATTGTCATCTTTTTGTTGTTTGCATGCTGTCATTAACCTGTGACACTGTTGTCATTTTTTGCTTCATAATTAAATTATTCATTGTGTTTTTTCCTTCCTTGTTTACATGTTGGTAATGCTTGTTCTTTTGTCCTGTGTTGTTTTGTACTCTTTTCCTTTACTGTCTCACCCTTCTTTTGATTTGACTTTTTTAATTCCATGTCAGCATTTTTGCTGTCACTTCTTCATTTTGCATCTTTATTTATCTGACTTTTTGTTGACTAAACTTATTCTTATATGCCCGTGTCCCTTTCTCGTGTAAATGTCTCCTTGTCCACTTTCCCTCCTATTTTCTCTCTCCCCTGTCCTTGGCTAATATGTTTGTGCTCAGACCTTGTCTGACGAGCTTGAGAACACCAAACAGAAGTTGGTGCGGGTTGAAGTTCAACTGAAGGACTTTGAGGAGAAGTCCTGGGACTACCAGGTGACCCTGTGTTGAATGACAGCAAGAAAAATCCTTTATACACCATTTTGACCCAATTTACATGCAAAATCCAGATACAAATGGTACAAAAATAGTGTACGCAAGCGAGTGTACGAAAAACTGCATACATCGAATTTTATGTGTGTAAATTGGCCTGCATTCATGTATGTCAAGAACATACAATCAGATCATACACCAGCCCTCGAGGTACATGTAAGGTACAATATCTGAATGCATGTTCTTCAGGCATGTCAAAGCAGGCCAATATACATGTACACACAGAAGCAGTTAGATGTGTACAGTTTCCTCACATGGTTTTCGCACCATCTGGTTTTGGCCCAAGTGTAAATCGGGTCTTTGGATTGATATTAAGTTGTGAGAGTACGGTCAACTGATGATGATGATGAATCATGACTTTTTATGTGACTGGAATGTTTTGACTTGACTCACCTTTCTTTATCAGTGTAGCTCGTAAGGTTTTAAGGTTTCAGCTTGTGATGTTATATTTGTGCATCCGAATAGTGTAAGAAAATGTTGAAATTGATATGCAGAATACCCTAATTAAAATCTCCCCGTAAGTCATTTTGTGGTAAGTACTGATGGATAGAAGCATTTTTTCTTGATGTACTTGTTGAATTTCAAGCTTTTACCTGTCAATCTTTTATTTATCCCATCAACCCTTTCATGATGGTAGATGCACTGTAGTAATGTAGTATTACTGTAGTAATGTAGTATTATTGTAGTAATGTAGTATTACTGTAGTAACAGTAGTATTACTGTAGTAATGTAGTAAATGTAGAGAATATCTGTCATGGTAGTTTGACCACTACTTTATCACAATGCACGTGGCCTGGTGGTCACATGCACATCACATGATCCCCCTCTTCCCTTCCTCCCTCTCCAGTCCCTTTTGAATGAGATCGCTGAACTGAAAAATAAGTTAGACGCCTCGGAAGAAAAATGCGCAGAGTTTGAGCAGAAAAATAAGCAAACGCAGGTGAGGTCATACGATACCATACTTGTCCAGTGTTGTGCAGGTTTTGCTGGTGGCTGTGCTGTCTTGCTTGGGAGTAACCATGGCAACGGTTGTTTACCAACAGCTGTATTCCTAACTCTCCTCTGACTGTCAGTAGTTCTTAGTACAGTTGCATGATGGGATTGTTTGAGTGCATGATGGGAATGTTTAAAGTATTGTAGTATTTTGACTAGTCTTGCAGTAACTGTTTAGTTTTGCCTGTTAGTGATAAAATTGTGAACATTTCCTATATGTTAGTACTACTTAGTAGAGTTTAAAAATGTAGTGTTTTCTAAACTCTTGATCGTGTATAGGACGTTGTATGCCTTTCAGAAACCTGTCTGCTGTTTCTATGCTTTTCACTTAATAAGAGATATGAAATCAAAATGATTCTTGTTGATTTAACATTTTGATTCACGGTAATTATGGTTGCTGAGTGTTCAGTATGAGAATACTGTCATATATAAGATTTGGTGTTTATTAGTGAGTCTGAGAATTTTTCCTTCACATTAGCTTCACCTACATACAGATGACATTACTTTTACACTGCAATATGCTGATGATGTCTATACATGTACATAATTACATTGTAGCATGTAATGTAGGTTTTGTATTTTGTGCTATGATACGCATGTGTGTATTTTTAAAAGGAAGTCAAACACTAAATACAGTCATATACATGTAGCTTGCATGTACTGGATGACATTCGAATGAAATGCCATGTTTTTAGATAATGTACTTTTTAGTCAGCTAATATGTTAAGCCTTAAGGTAATAATTGTCAAAAGTTTTAGAAGATCTGTAACTTCAGGGTTCCTTTAGTGCTGTTAAATGTAGAAAGCTGCCATCTTTTAACCCTTTTCATTTTAAGTGCTGAATAGTTTCTGTCAGTAGTTGGAATGTGAAGGGTTAACTTAAACAGTTGATGACATAGATGTATGGTAGTAAGATTAGTTTAACTGTTTATAGGCATAGTTAACAATTCAAGATACTTACAAACCTGCCTTAGCTTTGATACATTGTACATTGTACAGTTTTTTTATAGTATGATGCTAATCTTTATTCTAACACAAAGGGTGTTGGAATAAAGTTTAGTATTGTACTATCATGATTACTACTGAACACAGATGAACTTCCATGGTACACTTCCTTTGTTTGTGTGTATGTTTGGTAAGCGAGATGTCATACGTACCAGAGTTATGCATGTATGTTATGTGTGATGTTCTGTGAATGTTTCAATGGTCCTTTCCTTTCCTATCACTAGTATCAGCACTAGATCATACTTGCATGTAAATGGAAGGTCACATCACGAGTGTTGCTTTTCTCTTGTGTCTGTTGTATGATGGTTCATGTAGAATTCATGTTCACTCCACTGTACGATTCTTAGTGATACCTTCCATGCTGCCGCACTGCTCAGTGTGTACTTTACATACCTGATAGACTGCTGCAACTGTCGTGTACTTCATCTTTTTTTTAGAAGAGTCCTAAGGCTATGTTCAATGTTTTTTTGTAGTTTTTTGCTTGTGCGCAGCATTTACATACTTGGTCATCTTGCATGACAAGACGTGATGGTCTGCAGTTGTGTAGTTTTGTCACTACTATGTACATGTAGTAAGCATGTGGTGTACATTGTTCATTGTACAAGACAAGATCATATCATTCTCTACTGTTATTCATGTACATGTACATTCTACTGTAATGCATAGAAAACCACCTGTATGCTTGTAAACATCACAATGTTATCGTGTGTATCTCCCCACTAAGTTGTTTGCTCAGTGTAATGTCTGAACCTCATGTCTGTATGTGGTTGAGTTACTTCTTTGCAAAAAATTTAGATTAGTGTAAACCTGTGCTACATTTCCAGTTCCACTTCCATGACTATCTGCTGTGCGCTGTATGTGTGTATAATATCCACACTTTGAATCACTGTATGGTAACTTTTCTCTGATGTATACTGTGTGTGTAAACAGGCCATACTGTACAGTGACTTTTCTCTGCTGTACTACACTGTACAGTAACTTTTCTCTGCTGTACCATGTGTTTGTGTAAACAGGCCATACTGTACAGTAACTTTTCTCTGCTGTACTGTGTGTGTGTAAACAGGCCATACTGTACAGTGACTTTTCCCTGCTGTACTACATGTACACTGTACAGTGACTTTTCTCTGCTGTACCATGTGTGTGTAAACAGGCCATAATGGCCAAGCTGGCGAGCCTGAAGGTGAAGATCTCCTCGCTGCAGTTCGAGCGCCATGAAGTGGAGAAGAAGTACAAGCAGGCACAGGTCAGCCGCGCTAAGTGCTGTGCCTTCCCCTCAGTTCTTCCCACAACAACACAGCATGCCTCCACATGTCTGAGCATTTATACAATCCATAATACAATCCCAATTGTTTTCTATGAAGTATAAAGTACATGTATATCTGAAAATTTCCAGCACGATTCTTGTGAAGCATACAATTTGATAAAATCAGAAAATTTTAAACTATTTATTTTCATTTCAAATGATACCTGCCTCACAGACCTGTCAGGGCGCCCTGTTTTGTGGGAAGGGCCTTGTTGCTATGACAACTCACTGCATGGTTACCATGGAGATGCAACAACTGCTCACTCATGAACTCACCCATACATGTACATGTGTTTGATACTAGGTATAGTTTGAAGCAATAGTTATTTTACGTTTGTCACCATTAGGTAGCTTTGGAGACAGTCATATGACATTCAAGCAAAGACAAGACTCTTACAAGCCTTTTAGTACATGGTTCAGCCATGTCAGTTACAACTTGCAGTCTCATTGGTTACAAGACAGCCAATCAGAAGCCAGAACTTGAAATTGAGATCTGATGAAGTTGGTTCAGCTTTCTGATTGGCTATCTTGTAAGCAGACTGCAGAAGAGACATTCATTCACTGATGACTAGTAAAAATCTAAGAAAAATGTAGACATCTCAACAGTGGTAAATGACATATTACACTGCATTTGCATTGTGACTGTATTTTGTTTCGATTTTGTTTTTTATGCCATGTCCTGCTTTTGCATTTCATTTTTCCTTTGCAGTTTTGATTTTCATGGCATGCTATTGTCTGTAAAATGTTTGTATGAGCATCAGACTCTGATTTGTTTTAACTTAAATGCAGGATGATCGATTTTTATTTTGTAAACTTGTGTGAACAAGTTTTTTGAATGTCAAATGCAGTGTCGTGCAGTAAAACTAATTGCCATTGCTTGGTTGTATGTGATTGTACTTTTATTGAACCTCAGTACCACAGTAGTGATTGGTTGTAAAAAAAGCCTGTATCAATTAAGTCTTGTGTTAATGAATGCTTTCCTAGAAATGAAAAGACATTTGCTTGGTACATGACTGTAAAATTTAGTTTTGCGTTGTGAAAGCACGAGTCTTCCCTGTAATTTAGTATAGCTACATGTAGTCCCCATATTACAATGTATGTCAAACAGGTAGATATTTAACAAATGTATAGCATGACACAAAATCACATTTACACCCTTAGTGTAACTTGTATTAGGGTTGTTGGTTTTAGAACATTGATTTCTTAGTCCAAGCATTGTGTATGACATGATGACATGTATGAATCTTATAGTAGCAAGTCCTTGACACAGTATTTTAGAGGTGCTTATTTGCATGTTGACATCCCAGACAGTATACTTGTATTTCCCACAGTGTGAAGCATAGGGCATGTTTATTTAAACCATAATTGAGAATTTTTCCCTTTACTTCTGATGCCAAAACATGAATAACATCTCTGATGAGAAGGAAATGTATTTCCTAACACTGCATACATACCCTATTTGGAAACCAAACCTTTTCTGCCAGATTTGTAATAGTGCCTACTGGGAAACAGTGCATTCCTTTCCCAGCAGGTCACAATGCTGAATGTGCTAATTGGACAGTCTCCCAGTCGGCTGTGTTTTGTATCAGACAGAAATTAAACTGGTGGTGGAAAGTATTTTCCAATCATTGGCCATTGCCACCAAGTTAATTTTAGGATGAACAAATAGTAGAAATCGGCGTAAAAAGAGTGTAACTGGCCAGGGGAATCTGCACGGACTAGACCCTCTTTGGCCGTCCAAGTTCCCTGGCCAAATGTGCAAATAGCCTAATGCAAATTCAATATTCGAAATGGACTGTAGGTTGTTGTATTGCATTGCTACCATTGACCACATACTGTTGCCATCTGTACCCTGCCTAGGTCTGTCTGTAAGCAAACTAACCTGCTCGCTGCAGTGCTGTGTACTTAACTGTGGTACGGTGTGGAAGGTGACTAATGTGTCGTTGTGTGGTGATACTGCTAGCCTTCAGGGGTGCTGTCTTCTTCAGGTTTTTGGGTAGCTCCAGACATTGTCATATACATATAGAAGCATGTCAGCAGAACATACTGCGCCTGTGAGACCTGGGTGATCATTGCATCTGAAAGTTTCCTGTTGCAGAATATATCTTTTCCGACATACATGTAGCAATTCAAAACTATAGACGGGATGTCATTCTGAAATACCCGAATACAACCTTACACAATATGTTCTGCCCAAGTGCTATGCACAATACATTACAAGTTTCCCCATGTTCTGCTGACACGCCTCATGTACATTTTGTAGACCTTTTCACAGATCCCAGTATGCTAGGAAAACGTGGAACCATGGGGCAAAAAACATCATTACTATGGCAACATATTAGTACATACCAGACACAGTATGCATGTACTGCATATGCATTGTCATAGTAGTGGTGTGTTACCCATAGTTCCTTGTTTTCCCCAGCATGCAATGGGGTCTGTAAGAATGTCTATTGTATGTACCAAGCTTGGCAACTCTACAAAGCCTGATGAGAAATGAAACTTTGGAGTTGACTCAAGCAGCCAAAGAAGACAGTACTGTGGCTATGTTGCCTTAGCATGTTGATTTTTCAGTTTGTTTTAGCACACCCGTGACTGGAGTGGTACAGCCCATGTCTGTATTAAAATTGCTGCAGGTTATACCATTAGGCCACACCAAGTAAATTTTATGGATGACGTCCTTTGGAGACTCCAAATCTAATGCGAGAGGGCGAAAAAAAAACAAGAAGGGCCCAAAAAAACAAGATGCCTAGATTAGAAATATACTAAGAGACGACACATGTTAGGACACAAATTGAATGAGGTGACACAGTGTAAACAAGCAAGAAGTCTTTTATTCATCATCAAAACAGTAATGAATCAGGTGGAACAGCAGTTGTCCCGTTCTGTTTCTTTCATCACATTTTGCAGACCTGCAGAAACAAAGCATAAAAGGCAAAATTAGTTGCTGATTAACCCTTTGCATGCATTACTACATTTCTACCTATGCAAATAGTCTATAGGAGCGTTTGAGAAAGAATATCAATAAAGGTGGAACCAAACAGAATATGTTTAGAGCTATTCTACATAAGTTGCGTAATGTATTTAAGTAGGTAACAAATGTATGCCTACCTGACAAACAGGGTTTATTGTCTGGTATGCAGCAGTCTTCTCTGCTGGTATGGGCAGCGTTTCCTCCTCGCCGCAGTTCCAGCACACCAAAGGCAGCATCGTCTTCATCACCCCTGACTTCAGTCTGGCTGAATAGTAGTACTGTGCTACTGGTGAAGTGCATGTCACTGCCCTACATGAAACAGGTGGAAAATTATGGAACAATAGTCAATTGTGCTAAAATCCAACTCTTCAGAAAAAACTTCTTTTTTTTCAACATAGAGGTTTAGGTTCTATGTTGTAGTTAAATGTACGTCTTTACTGTCCCCAAAGTGCCTTAAATTTAAAGGGTATATTCTGCAACAATCCATATCAAATGTACCTCACTACTCTACCTGTGTTGTTATTGCTACATTGTTGTGTGCTCCAAGTCCCAGCATAGGCTGGAAACATCCACTCCTGCTGACCTTGTTCTCTTGATGCTTTCATCATACCTGTATAAATGTGTACATGTGAAAGGAAAAGTAAACCTTATGTTCTTAGTTCACAATAAATGTGTCTTAATGCAATCAAAGAAATTGAAGAGCAGACAACGTTACTAAATTGGATATCAAAGCTAAAATGATGGGGAAAAAGAATTCTTAAGAAAGACTAAAAACCCCCCCAAAAATAGTAACTTCAAAAAGAGACTTTGAGCTTGAATGCGTAGCTATAGTAGTATAGATGCCAAAATACCTTAAAAATCCGACTGAAAATTAGCAATTTACTTGCCAAATGTGAACCAAAAATTTAAGAATAAAAAAAAACACATATTTTGCCAACATCAAGTATAAATAACCAGAAACGAATAAACGATCATTATCCATGCAAAATACATGCAAGGAGCCTTGATACATGTAACGTTATGCATTTATTTTATACTCCCCTTCTAGGAATATTTCACCCGTGTTTTTTTCCGTACAGGTATTCGATTCAAACAGACTTTTCATACCTCAAAAGCAGTCTTAGCCCTAGG